CGAATTAGGCGTTTTGTCATAATCATGTATGTGAGCATAGCTCTTTTGTTTTGAAGCGTATACGACCTACCTGCGCAAATCCGGGTAATACCGGGCGATTATATATATATGAACTGAACTCGATAACGGGACTAAAGAAAGCATAGAAATTCTGAGATATTTATATGTTGCATTTTAAATAGCATCTTCTAGCAACTATCGAACGCGATTGACAATGAAGTAAGCTGAAGGGGTAAATAAATCATTAATGGAAATCATTCAAGAATGGAAAAAGTGTCCGTTGAAATCCTACTCCCACTATACTCGGACGCAATAAACTTCCTAACGATTATGTGGTATATGATGATAAATGACTCCATATTACGCACAACAGGCAATAAAATGTTTGATAAAGACATAAATTGATTTCATTAAATTCCGTATTTTATTAAAATTGATCCAGGAACGTGATTGGAAACACGAGATGAGGGATATCCCAAGGTAAGTTCAATGCAATTTTGAAACACGTTTTATTCGACGATGTGTTACGTGAGCGCTTGGTGCCGCCCAAGATCCGGGATAAGTGGACGACTTGAGTGGCTAAAAGCTATTAAATATGATCATCGGCGTCGGGCAGGAATCTTTCCGGAATTGCTTCCATTGCGACTACTGTGGAACTATAAGTGATACTGACTTTTGTCGTAAGAGGTGTCATTATTGTACCGATGAGAAAAAAGAAATGATCTGAAAGGTTGCGTGCAAGTTGGGTATCATATTCTCAGTTTCAAATATCTCGTTAAGTATCACAGTAAGTTCAGCAAATTAGGACAAAATAGGAAATTGTAATATATATTGTTTCACTAGCTGATTATAATTATATATAGCAGCATATATAGCATATATTATGGTATCGAAAAACACCGAGTGGTATCACGTTAATAAATATGTGATAAAACTGTTACTGGAAGTTACCATGTTACTAGATGCATAATGATCCATATGTTTGTACTATGTATCGGTGCGCATTTGAGTGTTATGCTTGGCGCGTTCTGTCGTTTGCTCTTGCTTACGTTTCGTGACATATATTGCGTTTTCTTTTAAACGCTTTGTCTGTTTGGCGTTACCCAAAATCACTGAAATCTCATATCGCCATGGTTCAGGCTTATTAATTTCCATGATAAGTATTACTATTTGTCGGTATCACAAGAAGTGTGAAGGAAAGCCTGCTTCGTTTTGATGAGAGTAGCTAGAAAAGGGCGCGAAGTAGGTTGCATATACAATACAAATCCTCGGCATTTTGGATGATATAAATCGTTGTTCGCTTAACTCACATTTATAAATGATTGACCCGAGAATAGTATTACACTGAGGTCTCGAGCGGGCAGGGGCGAATATTAGGATTCGCGGTACTCCCGAATCATGTGAACCAAGATGGCGGATACCGGAACGTAGTATGTGTTCCAGGTTAGTGTTAGGATTAATTTTTATTCCAATTTTCCTTATTTTAGTTCTATTACGAGTTCGGGGACTAGCCAAGTGACTCCCGTAGTATTTGTGCCTGAAATTATGGCCTAACCTAATCTGGTACACATACTACGTTCCGGTGTCCACCATCTTGGTTCACATACCGTACTTCGGGAGTACCGGATCCGCGATTAGAAACGGATATTGTGAAGTCACGCTTTTCGGTTATAACGGAATGAGATTTTTAAAAATTTATTCCTGATGTCACAATTGGGAAAGTCGGTATGTTGTCATGATGCATTTTCGAACTTAACATGTCGCCACAGTGGGGTTGGTTCTTTGTGTAAAATAGTTTATTATGATGTCACGATTTTTCAATTTTTAAATACCCCCCTCCCCGAGGGAATATTGCGTACGCACTGTACTTTTACTACTGTCTCAAGGAGCTACACTAAAATTGTAACAACAGGGGGCTTCTAGCGGTAAAGTTGCCGTTGAAAAGTGAATTTTCAAAACTAATCACGCCATATCCTCATTAACTTTAAATGGTTTTATAATTCGAATTGTGTTCGTTATGCGTGTTGTACAAGTTGTCGACGTTATGTGCATGCCGAAGGCGCGTATTATTCAGTCAATGCAGAGATAATTGTTTTATAAAGGGTCAAAACAATACATTATTTTCAAATTAATATATTTGATATAAACGTAGATATATGTTTGAAAATATTTAATTATCACAAAATTCTAAACAATCTAAAGCATTACATTACATTGCTATGCTGGCTTGAATTTACTGCAATAGTGTTATTAGATTGAGCTCATTCAATAAAACATTTTATTTATAAATGAGAAATAGAGAAGACAAAATTCTTGACCATATCATATCAAGCGAATTCGAAGAAAATTACTTTCACGGTGTTTGCGGAAGCATTAAACCAATATTTTAAAGTAATAACCAATGATTCGTTACGCCGTATTAATATATCATGTATCAAATTCGATACGCTCGGTCTCGATCATCTTGAATGACGTCTTATCTAAATCATTTCCAGTTGCTGCAAGCAAATATTTCTTCTGCTTTCGATCTCGAATGTGTTCCCGCTTTCTATTATTTTCATCAATTACTAAATAGTCATTCATTCCATTTTTGTCCATATAAAAATATTTTGGACCTCCTGAGGTATGCGCACCAAGATGGCGCACAACCTGAACTCAGGTTGTGTACCAGTTTAGGGTTCAGGTTATGCGACATCTTGGTGCGCATACTTCAGGAGTACCAATACTTTATTTGCTATGTTCTGGGCTCAGGTAAATTTAATGGATGGACTGATTTATAATTCCTAATAGTGGCATCATACTAACGGAACCCTCAAAATGTCTCACGTGACTGATTAACTTAACTAGGGTAATAACTTTTCATTAACGCATATTTTGGTTTCGATGGATTATGTGGTATCTCATTTTTCTTCATTTCGTCTACGTTAGTATTTTGTTTGTTTTGTGGTGTTATACGATCTTGTTTTGCCGATAAAATTACTGTGATATGAACTTCCGTTGTTGATCGTTATTTGGAAGTTTTTTTCCGAAAATGATTCATTTTAAATGCATATCGATTTTCCTAGTATCGCAGCAAAATTTAATCGAATGGCCCTCTGGACAAACAAAATGCGATGATAATTTTTTTTTTTTTCATATTTCTCAGCATCATGCGAGTTCATTTTTATGAACGTTTGTGTCGATGGAATGGCGCTTTTTTGTTTACTTCGTTTTTTATATAAGAGTGTTTTACTGTTTTCAATGTGTTATTATAGGATTGAACAAACAAGAACGCTTCCGATAACAGCCCACTATTAATTATTCGACTTCCGAATGTTTTTAGATCAGGTCGTGATCGGCCAATATTTGCATTGGCAAATATCAAATATTTATTTTTCAACTACAGAGAGTTCGCCGACTATTGCTCGAAGCACATGAAAAGGAATTGGCTATTGAGTTATTATCTTCTGTATATGATAAACGAGGGTTAGTCGTAAAGCCATGAGCATGTGGGTTGCGACCACTGTTTTGAACAGAGATATCCGTTTCCGGATAAAATTATATATTTACACCCATTAACCCACAATGAAAAACGTCTACATTGAGCAGACAATTGGCGCCATAATTATTCATTCAAATAATTCTCTTGATCACTTTAAATTCGCACCTCAAAGTATAAAAGAACAATTTTCACAGAGAATCGCTCAAATCCGAAAATTTCTATCAGATGGGCAGTTTTAATAAAAAAATATATAGACGAAGTAATCTTGATATCGCTTTAGAATGGAAAAAATTATATCATGTCGAGTACTTTATTTCCTGATAAAATCCTCCTAATAAATTATGTAGAATGGAAAAAAAATATGTATATATATATTATGCCGAGTACTTAATTTCCTAATAAAATTCCTCCATCAATTTTTGAAAATTTACACCGTTGTAGAATTTCTTTAATTGGCCGCCAAATGGGTTTTTCGACTCGATGGAACAAGTGAACTTCACACCTGATACTAAATACAACCAGGCGTCGATCCCATCAGAAATGTTACGCAACGTCTCTGATCCAATGATGCACCAAACGTAAATTTGGTGCGGACATAAACGTAATTTGCTCGACTCGCATCCCAGATTTATCGCTGGTTATGCGTTTGTTTACGGTATACAATAAACGCGCCGCGAACTGTCAAAACAAGCCACGAGGTCGTGTTGATGGTATTTCGGCAATGTTACATTCCGCCATAAATGGGAACATTTCTTACAGTGTAACGAAAAGATACCTATCAGTTTTCAAGTGTGTCGATTTTTTAGGTTAATGACTGTCTGAGTTTTGTTTGGTTGAATGACTAATGCAGGAATTAGCTTGAGAAACGCACAATAAACTGTAGTTAGTATCAGAGGTGACAGCCTCTCCATTTTCGTAATTGGGTCTCGTGGCGTGATTTTGTTTTGTAAATAAACGCTAGCAGTAGCAGATGAATGAGAGGTGGTCGCTCTGGCATAATACGCGTTGTTGAGTATAGGAACTTATAACCAGAGCTGAACCGATGTTTGAGTCGCACGATCGCTGGGCGATTGGGGAATCAGGCTTTGGTCTTCATCGATGCACCGAAATGACGGATTTATAAAAATATCACAGGGTTGCTTAGCCCCGCACGACAATCGAAACTTTAATAATGTTTTCATTTATTAAAATAGGTCGTAAATATCGTCGCCTTGGGAATTAATAAAGACTTGCCTGTATAAGCGTGATTGATAAGTATTGCTGGCGCAATTTGGCACCAACAACTTCCTGTAGGATTACAAATAATAGTTGGGGATTTCAATTTTGATTATTGTAATGAAATACTGTAATAACAATTATAAATGAAAACGCATATCCAATACTTTTGAAAGAGTTTCATATTTGATAAAAAAACAAATGTATAATGTTGTTGACAATACAGCAGGAATAAATAATCATACACTTTCTGACTTTTCCATATTCATAAATAACTTCGTTCTCATGTTCATATTCTTTGATTTTAGAGAATCATAGTACTTAGCAATTTATATACTCTTTTTAATCTCACCCTGTTTTGGGGGCATGATGAGGATTCACTTGGCGAGAACTTGCCCTTGTCAAGATATCACATCTGAAGAAAGGAATGAGTGCAGAATGTCGAAGGCCACTGGACATTCAAGTCGAAACTGTTATAATAATACAGATTATAAAAAAAATTTGAAAAAGTATTCCCATGGAAATACAACATGCAAAGATGATTCACATTTTATTTCTTTGGTTTCAATGCACAAAAGCTGCTGGTCAGCGTATTGTGTGACCTTTCTATTTATTCTTACTGTGTACTTTACTTTGGCATCAGCCGTCCCATCGAATCAACACACTAGAGGTCAGTTTGCCTCAAGTGGATTTTCAAGACACATTGCACATTCAAGACGGGGCCATCAAAAGCAACCTCGTACATATTTAAATCAATTTGCAGTTAATTTAATAAATGGCGATGAAGCAGTGGCAATAGCACTTGCAAGAAAATATGGATTTGTTTTCAAAGGGCAGGTAGATTGATATTATTAGCAATTATTTAAATTTTATGATTTTATTTTGCTATAATTTTTAAACTTGACTTTTCGGAAAACCATTTAATTGAGCTCGATATATTTTACATTTCTTTACTAAACATATTTATATCGTATAGAAACCGCTCTTTCATAGTTTAAAATTCAGTAGATTTATTTCTGAATTATTTCAAATGCTACATGCTCAAATATTTTAATAGGTACCTATACCTCTGTGACTCTTACTTTGTAAGGAAGACTCATTTCCGTTTAAAGGTTCAATTAACTTTTGAAATGTATTTGCGCAGGAGATAAAGCCTGTTCTTGTTTGTTTCTAATTTCAGTTTGAAATTATATGTTTGCTAATCACATGCAATATTTTTGGTTTATAGATTGGCACCTTGGAAGGCTGGTACTTATTTGAAGACAAAAAAGTTCACAAGAGGTCTCTTAAAGTTCATCACAAACCATCATCTTCTCACAGATTAGAGAATGACCCTCATGTATGGTTCTTTAACATTTATGAAACACTAGGAATTGATTTCCGTGTATTTTATAGTATATAATTATTAATGAAACTGGCTTTCAGGTTTTCATTGTTGAACAACAAGTTGTCCTCAAAAGAACAAAGAGAAGTATCCCTAATGATCCGGCTTGGACGAAAATGTGGTATATGGTGAGAGTTAAATAAATATTTGTTATAATTTTCTTGCGAGCTCCATCTAATATGGCACTTGTTTCAATCGAAATATTTTTTCGTTTTATTCCAGCATTGTGGTGGAGTAAATAACAGTGTATGCCCTACTAGCATGAGAATTTCTGATGCTTGGAGGTCTGGTTATCACGGAGATGGCGTCGTGGTCACTATATTAGATGATGGTATCGAAACAAATCACCCAGATTTATGGCAAAATTATGTAAGAGGACATTTATATAATCTGAGTTAAGCAAATACTACACATGGCTCTTTATTTACACATTTTAAATTAAACTTTTTCAAGGATGCTAATGCATCATACGATATCAATTCACTAGACAACGATCCAATGCCACGATATGATCATTCCAATGAAAACAAACATGGAACGAGATGTGCTGGTGTTGTTGCTGCTGTATCTGACAATGGCATATGCAGTGTGGGTATTGCTTCCAAAGCAAAAATCGGAGGTAAATACTAACTATTCAATGTTATGGAAGTTATCTGATTATTAATTAATGTGCCAGTTGCTCACTACGTTGTTTAACGATGATTGTGGCTTCATAGAAACGTAAGTTTGCTTTGATGTGGGGAAATCACATGTCACATTCACATATTTTAGAGATTGGGTGGAAATTAAGAGGAGTACTATTTATGCCAAGGAAAATCTTATGTTATAAAGCCTATTTGGTGATATTTGATCAAAGAAAACTTCAGCGGGAAAAGGTGGTCAACAATCTGTTGAACCTGCCGGAGGGGTTGTCCATTATTAATGATATTATTCATCCTTTGACTGATAAATTTATACAGGCATAAGAATGCTAGATGGCGAAGTTACGGACAATGTGGAAGCACAATCTCTGGGATACAATCATAACTATATTGACATCTACAGTGCATCGTGGGGACCAGATGATGATGGAGTTACTATAGAAGGTGAGGTATAGAGGTTATATGAGCTTTGATGTTGTGGAATGCGGAAGCCTGTTCTGTGAATATTTATTCCCTTGACAGTTGTGGTGTCCCAAAGTGATGCTATACGAGTTCCTATCTTGCCTTATCATCTCATCTTATTTCAATAGATTTCCTTTTAAGCTATAAATATTGTTCGCAGGACCTGGATTTTTGGCCATGGCTGCCTTCAAAGAAGGTGCTAGAAAGGGGCGTAATGGGAAAGGCTCAATATTTGTTTGGGCGTCCGGCAACGGAGGGCACAACAAGGATACATGTTCTTGTGATGGCTATATAAACAGCATTTATACAATCGGTATCAGTAGGTAAATATCTCATAAATACTATTTATCTTAAGTGGGCAATCTATCACACTCAAGTCCTCAATAAATGTCGCAAAAGGCTTAGATCTATTTCAAGATTCTTTTCACCGAAACTTTCACATGCGGATGTGAATAGAAGTGTTTTTTTTTATATTTTTTAGACGAATATGTTTGCCCATTTGGCTTATAATTCAATATGACCCATTTAGGATTTTTGTTAAGACTTCACCTGTAATTATAAATGGATACTTTAATTTGAAACCAAAGTTTGCATTTCTTTAACCAATTCATTTATAAGAATGCTATGTAATGTGACCTGGACACATTGTGCTTCAGTATTCCTTAACAGCACTTCCACGCACACATTTTGCACAAGTTGCATGTGCATTACATTCCATTGTTAACTTGAAATTAATTCTGAATAAACACGATATACACAGGGTTAAGCTGAATAACTATATTATAAAAGCAGTGATTTTAACGTGACATGTGTAATATATAATGTAAGCGTTGTAACTCAAATTTTTTTCCCTATTTCAGTGTATCACAGAATGGCAAAAGACCATGGTATTTGGAGAGTTGTGCTTCCACCTTGGCAACTACGTATAGTAGTGGGGAGATTGATGAGGGAAAAATTGTGAGTTTAGCTTTCCTAAATTTGCTTAAGTATTTTATCATCGAATTTGTAAACATATTAAAAGCATTTTATCCTTTCTGGATTTGGTCAATGTACTATCTTTTCACATATTTGGCGTAATTGTGGTGAGCATATCTTTACATCTGAGTATTTCTATGTAAAGATAGAAATAATTCTAAATCACCTATAAACCTTGATAGTCTCGTAACCTATAATAAATACTTTGCGGTTAAATCTAGAAATTTCTTGAACTTTTAGACATATTTATCATGTCTAGTCTGCTTCAGACATTTTATCAGATCTCGTTTCAGACAGGAACATTTATTCCAGAGTACCTGTCATACTCTATTGACATGAAAGAATCTGATAACATCTTAAGCGTGACAAATGGCATGTGCAAAATATTTCAAGAATGTGTCGTTCTATTCTTATCATCTATAATCCTGTTTATGTCTATAGATTACAACGGATCTTCGGAGGCAATGCACTTACGCTCACACTGGCACCTCTGCGTCTGCTCCGATGGCTGCTGGCGTCATCGCATTAATGCTTGACGCAAATAAAAATTTAACATGGAGAGATGTTCAACACATTATCGTACAAACTTCAAATCCATATGGTTTACAAGCGCATGACTGGGTGATGAATGGTGCGGGTTATAATGTGTCTCACGTATTTGGCTTTGGCCTTATGGATGCTGCAAAGCTCACCCATGTTTCAAAAAATTGGACGACTGTTCCCGAACAGAAGCAATGTCCAGTATCACCCATTGGGCGAAATGATGGCGTGCAGTAAGTTATCTTCTTTTGATTCTTCATTTTTTGGGCCTGCATATTCCAGTGTTGCCTAATGATGGTGATACTTGTTACTAGAAGGTGGTTGAAGACCTTCAACTACATCTGGTATTTCAATGTTCGTTTAACACAATTCTACAATTCTAACATTCCAAACAACACTTTGTACTACAGGGTTACTGAATAATAATCCACATTTTCTGTTTGTGTATAATTGTGCCCAGATTGTTTCAGTAGTCTAGGACGCTTAGTACAAAAGTTATGTTTTCTCTAGAATGTGTTCTTTAGGGCTTGGGTTATGTTTTTTGTGTCATCTTCTATCTCTCAAATACTCGAAATATGGTTTATGGCACTACATTTATTTTCATTTTGTATTTACTTTCTTCAGCTCGATAAACAACAGTCAAACTCTTCAATTGTCAGTGGAAACACGAGCATGCCATGGGAAGGCAAATGAGATCGAATATCTGGAACATGTCGTTCTACGCATATCACTTTCTCATGTCCGGCGAGGTGACTTACAAATATTTTTGACATCACCAGCGGGGACGAGATCCAATATTTTGGAACGAAGGTCAGTGATGATAATATTGTAATGTAAATATGTATAGCTATACTTTTCTTGAGAATTCTAAATTGTTTTGGTATTATTTCTAGAAATCTCGATCGATCAACTGTTGGTTTTGACGAGTGGAATTTTATGACAACCCATCATTGGGGTGAAAATCCACAAGGTGTATGGGTTCTAGAAATATTTGATTCTTATTACAGACACAGGTATAGGTTGGTACCAAACTTTCTGTCATTTGTGCTTTCTGCTCAGAGATATAAAAATTTTTTTAACTCTCGTTTACTTACATTTCAGAGATAATAATATCAAAAACCAGCTTCTGAAATGGCAAATGGTGTTTTATGGAACAAAGACACATCCTCAACCAAACTTTTATTATAACAGTTGTGATGGTGTGTTTTTTATTTGTTGTTAGTTTTTCCCCTGATGGCATCATTTTATCATCATGTTTCAATTTACAGCTTTTCCACAAGATCAATGTCATCGAGAATGTAATGGTTGTTGTGGACCAACTGAACAAGAATGCAGGGCATGTAAGCATGTTTCTACCTTTACCGGAACATGTATACCTGCTTGCCCACATCATCAATTTCCTCATCCATACACAAGGATTTGCCAGGTATAATTAACATTATTTAATATAGTAAACTTATTTAACTCTTTTCCAATCTTAATTAAAATAGAATTGACAAATTTAATATGATACAATATTATAATCAGGGATTGCCAAGACCAAGTATTTTACTATTTCTGAAATATCCTGAGAAAATATGTTCGAATATGGAATTTCAAACAAATTCTAAATTAGGGGCTCATTCAATTGAAAATCACATAGATCACTATATTCTCACATTGATCACTTCTAAAACAACACAAATATAAAAGATTATTGTTTCTCGTGTTGTTTCTTACCAGTTGATATATTGTATGTTCTTTCTACTTGTCTGACTGCACAAATTCCCTAATTTGAAAAAAAAATGGTCTAAATTATTTCCAAATTCCAAAATTTACTATAATAAATATAATTGATTTCCAATGTATTCGAATATTCGATTCGATATGGACATCCATGATTGTAATCAAATCAAAGATGGATATCAGAACCTTATTGATGAACCATGGAAGGAGTTTGCATGAAATGATGTATATTTTCTCTATTTTTTACATAATAAGTATTTTTTCCAATGCTATATTTTCACTTACAGCCATGCTGGAAAACATGCAGGGAATGTTCTGCAGCCTACGAATATAATTGTACTGCATGTGCCGATGGTTTTGCTCTTTTTGAGGGTCGTTGTATGAAGCAATGTGCGAAAGGATTCTTCTTGGATCACGGTGAGAATAACTTTTTTGTCTGACACATTTTAGGGCTGTCAGGCAATAATAATTAGCTAAGCTTTTGACTCTTTTTTTTTTCTAATTTCAGTTACCCAAAGATGCTTAATCTGTCATGAAAGCTGTTTTACTTGTGAAGAAAGGAGGGATAAGTGCACATCATGTCGTCCTGGTTTTGAGTAAGTTATTTCGCAGGGTATACCATAGCTTGTTTCAGTTCATTCATGGCTTCCGGGGATCACTATTATTAGTAGTTTGAAAATGCACTAGCTTCCTCTAACAGCCATTTTTTTGTAGGCATCAAGGTTACTCTTGTGAGCCATCTTGTCCTGCTGGTACTTTTTTATTGTCGTACGAATCTGGATGTTCTTTTTGTCACCCGTCGTGTCTTGAATGCACTGGTCAGTCTCAACAACAATGCACTGCATGTGGCGATAAGATGGTTTTGCACAAGAGACGTTGTATCGAGTATTGTCCGAAAAAGCACTATATAGATGAGTCGAAATCGAAACCTTCTTGTAAATTGTAAGTGTATGTGAACGTATTCTATTTTTATGATGCGGAATGTGCGCAAACTTTGTATTACGAAATTGCTTCCATTCCGCAGTAGTACTCGAACAACTATTTCTACTTCGAACTTACTGACATGTTAAAAATTAGTATATGAGGATAATCTAATTTAAAACATGATGAAATTTCCCATGGAATGTAAGTATATATTCATGATATATTTCTAGATGTCACCAGTCTTGTAAGTCTTGTGACGGTCCACTTTCTACCAATTGTCTTTCATGCAACGCAGACTATGTATTATTGAATGGGGAATGTAGGAGAATCTGTAGAGACGGTAAGCAAATATTTTATGCATGTACGTTTCAATCGTTTTGCTATCTACGTCGTCGTGTATTTTTATATGAATTGAAAGAAGTCGGTACTAACTAGTGCGTGTATTTGCTCGGTAATAAATTAACAAAGGATTTATGGATATCTAAAACGGTTTGGATTTTCCAAATGGATTTTAAAGTAATAGCCTTGACCAAAAAGAATCCATGTATATATGCTTATTAAAGTCACGTAATACACCAAGAATGGAGACTAAGTTTTAAAGCCATTTTACAAAATTTTTGTAAACTTCAATATTTGTTATTTGGATTGCGCACATCAACTTATGGTCATAATATCATTAATTAATTTAGGTGAAACAAACAAATAGGAATAAAGGGTTAAATTACAACTGCACTCAGAGTATGCAGTGTATAACCAACTTTCTTTGCCCAGAAATATCGCTCAGTATAATCATATGTGGAGCGTATCGTATGCGCTTCCGCCTCTGGTTTATACTACGGCGAATACAATTTATGACTTGAGTTAAGTCTTATTGAAGTTTTATTATTTTTCATTGCTTCCTATGCGCTGTCTGCTCTACCAATACTACTACCACCACTACCATCTCTGCCAATCCGCCGACGCCGTCTATCTTCGGACACGGCCATCGGACAAATGCCGACCCGACTGATTTCTTCGACCTAACAACGACAATCTTTGCTGGTTTGCTTGGGCATGCTTGCATGACTTGTGTATAATTATTGTTGTTTACTCATTAATTATTTCACCAATGCTTATATATCACTAATTTTCACATGTTTGGAATCGCATCTCATCTCGCAAATTTGTTGCATTTTATCGAATGCTATTGCGCTCCCATGTCAAAACTGTCTGCGCAACGCCAATTGCCTATTCTCCGATTTTTCGTGACAAATTTTCATAAAATAATAGGCTATGCTGGTAATTACACAAGTTATCCATGCCTCCTGGTCATACAAATGAAATGGTGCAGCGTCGATATTTTCCACACCCTATGCTGTCACACATGTACCCAGTACGAAAGCGGAGAAATGTTCGTACCTACGCCCGATTTTAATTTCGGTGACGAAGAATATGACGACGAAGAATATGACGACGAAGAATATGATGGATACGATTATAGCGAATATGATGATGAAGACGACTCTGTTATCCACGATAATGACCTCTTAGGTCAATTTGAAGACGGCGATAGTAGTAAATTTGGCGGAGAAGACGATGCGCACGAAGTACGTGTTATTACCGAGGTACCAGATGTTGAACCAGTTTTAGTTCAATCCTCTGCAAGGAATGGTATTAATAGACAAATCTCAAGAGGTAGGAACAGGAATGGAGAAGATGCGACCCATGATCGAATATCTTTAACTAGTAAACGGCAGCGGAGACGGAAACTCCGTCAAGATGATTCCGAGTGAAAGAAAAAAAATCAGGTATATCCTATTTCTAACCAGTATCAGAATCTAATATATTTCAAGTGTCTCATTTTAGATTCGTATGATCAAAATACGAAAACGTTAAGGATGTACACAAAATGGCGTTCGCGTTTGATTTTTCCACGTGCAATTTACGTTAGACATGTTTCCAACAAAGCTGGGCAAAGGGGCTATGACCTGACATAAAATATGGTTTAGTATCCGAAAGCTAAACTCTGAAAAATGATTAGGTACACTTTCCAAATGCGTTTGAATAATGTTATTTTTATTGGCTTTGTTGCGCCGCTGTCTCGGATTACGGAAGATTTCGAAAGTAAACCTTGGATAAATTTTTCATATGAAGCTATTGTTATTATGATGACATGAGGCCTTATGACGCACAAAGGACGGCTTGTTAACCTTATTATGGTCGCGCGTAATATGTCAAGCGCGTGATCACGCACTTTGACGATATGTTGAAGGTTTAAAATTATCCGGTAAATACCTGTAATATAGAGTCTGTGCGGTCGTCACAAAAATGTTATCGCTTCTTCGGAATACTGACAACATATTGATTTCGTTGGAATGTCTAAGTTTTGGTAAATATCCTATCTGTTTACTTGTTGTGGGTTCTCATCGTCACGCCTTATGCGAAATACCGATTGAAATCCCTTTACGTACTTGTATGCACTATGTTGATACCAGTTGGAACGCTTGATATGGGCTAATCTTCCAAATTCGATCCACACTGCGTTTCAAAACACCTTGCTTGTTTTCAATTATATAAACATCAATATTTTCGCTTCTTACGTATTTGGTACGACAATCAAAGTACAGTATTTGCATGTGTAATTTTGCTCATATATAGTATGCACGCATGGTCATTTTCAGGGCTTAAAGCGCATTTTGCATGCAAGTTTTATGTATTTATAAAATTAAGTTGAACTGACATATGGCATGCTATAGAGTTTCATAAGGTACTTTTTGTATGTGATATTGTTTTCACTATTTTATTCTTTCTACCAGTGTACTCTCGAAAAACATTCTGTTCCACAGCAAAGTCGAATGGATTTTGCGGAAACAGGTTCTGGGGCTGGCAGTGTTGTGGAACATGCTCTGGTGTTTATTAATTGTGAAAATACCCTCATTCTACCTTTTATTTGATCCCATGGATGAATCCTTGCTGCTGATGCCTGTTGAATTTTGAGCTGGAACCAACTATTAACGATACAACACAATGTTAATTTTTATTTTGGGGGTATTTTCTCCTTTAGACTATTCTCGTATGTTAGCGGTTTTAAATCAGCATGACAGGGAGTTATTAAAAAGGTCTTACTTTGAATTTTATCTTCAAATGACTCGATTTTTACGAAGCGCTGGCTGCTGAACTATTTATAATCCACATTTGAAGAGCCTATTTCTAAAATGCTACTATCTATATGATTTATTTTAAGATTCCCATGGAGTCAAAAGTGAACTTTTAATGGTGCTTTGTCGTGAACGCCTTCCTATTCGATTTATTCACACACCAAAATCAATACCAGTAATACTACCTTTTGGTGTATGTGCCAGCCTCGTCAAAATTAGCGCTTTTTATGTAGTACTTTAGAATGTTATTCGCTGCTCTCATGTTCTCGATATTTTTCTGCTTATTTTTTTTATCTACACGCTTGTATGAATTGTTGCACAATTATGATTTTACACCTTACTGCTATTTTTTGTGTCCTTTTTTACTATATTTCTGACAAAGCAGTGCCTAAGCGGCAATTTTTTTAGTGATTCTACTGGGAATGTAAGAAAGCGACTTTTTATATCTTGATTATTATCCGAATTTTAACTTTGCGATTCCTGGAAACGAAATCGTACTTATATTAATGTTACTATGTGGGAAAATTTACCGTCCTACCGCAACTTCTAAAAGTGGGGGGATATTGCAATATAATCAGGCCTAATGGTATTAAAATTATTTTGTTATTGTTGACTTGGATATTAAGTAACCCCATTTTTGTTACTGCCTGTTTTGTCAGATTTTTGTACATAGATTACACCATTTATAAATAAAGTTTCGAGTCTAGCACTATGTGATGTCTCTCTCTGTTCTATGTGAGAAATTATAAAGGCTGGTTTGTGTTTATTCCGGATTCCGCCACCATAATTTCGAGCCCAAGGTGTATTCGAAGTTTCGGTTGAAAGTTGACCAGAGCATTTTTGATCACAATTTTTGGATTCTCTCCATGAGTTGTCATCTACGGTAACGTGTGGATAGGTAAGCCAAATCTCGCGGTGCTCTATCATGTTCGTTATTTGCTGACGACCTTCGCCTTCCTTACCATCCCGTTGTGGCGCAGTTTTCACTTCGTTTCGCTGTCCTGGGAAATGTGCTCTCTAGTGTCTTTGTCCGTGTCCTTGTGAAATTACTTTCTCCCGCAGGATGGCGCTACAAACTAGATCGATGGAACGACATAATCCAGCGGAGGAAGCGGAACACAGTTTGCCCACAATTTTGTGAAAAATGTCAAAGGTAGTAGATTTTTTTTAATTCAAGTTCAAGTATATACAGTCTTGCATTTTGAGTAATTGATGTTGAGATCCCCGCATATATCTAACAAAGTGATCGTTACAGCGACATCTGCACCAAATGTATCCCTGGTAAATATCTAATGAATGGGACCTGCGTCGATTACAACGAATGTGGATTGGGAAAATTTAGTTCTGACCTTACCAACTCGTGCGAAGAGTGCCGGGAAACCTGCACAAACTGCGATTCTATGGACGATTGTCTGCTGTGTGAAGGTATAACTGTTTACATCTTGACATATTAACATGTTCCAAAAATGTACGGTTTTAAGTGTGGTGAAAGCATAGCTTCATTGGAGGTATTATAGTATTTTTCTTGACTAGTTGCACCACGTGTACTATGTAAAAATATGTACCAAACGGGGAATTCTGATACCTGAATTTTAATTTATGATAAGAGAGAAAACAATCCAATTTTCTCGGTCAGTCTGTAGTAAGCATTAACGACTCTTTCGTAATTATTTAGTATTTCAGCATCACCCGGTTAAGCTGCATGTAAATATGCTGTTTTATCCTCACTAAATATTGTAGTCTCTCTCGATTGTGGGCAACGGGTGGATTGTTTGACTGGAACGTTTTTTCTTTCACGGCCGTTGCTTTACAATATTGTCGTTATATCGATAGTTAGGGGTTGTCTATTTTAGCGGACATAACATTAAGTTTTTGGTTATAGATGAATACTTCGAGTATGCTGGGAGTTGCTTGGAAATGTGTCCTGATATGACATATGTTCAACGCGGAACAAATCAATGTAGATCATGCTTTCATACTTGTGAATCATGCACTAGTTTTAGTGTCAATGCTTGCACAAAGTGTGGAATTGGATATTATTTATATGGTGAGTTTGCTATTAGTGAAATAGGTAGAAAAAGAGCTTATCTTTGTGTCAGCTGGTAAGACCAGGGTGCTCCCGAAGTATTCGTATTAAGATGGCGCACAACCTGAACATAGTATGTGTACCAGGTTGTTCAGGCTGTGCGTCATCTTGGTACGAATACTTCCGGAGCGCCAAGACCTGGTCTATAGCCGATTCGTTTCGGACGTTACGAATATTCGAATTAGAACCCTTTGTGTAAAATTCAATTATGTACAGAACTACCCACAAAAAAAAAAAAAAAACAGAACCCAGGAACATATTATTCATTTAGATTTAGAACATATTTCAGGAAAAACTTGACTTTTCTGCACAGCGACCCAGATTACTGAAACATTTGGGTACAATCGTGCACAAACGAAGTTCGAGTGTCACATAAAATTTCTTCATTTTTGTAAGAATAATTAAGAAATTTATAGGATCTGTTTTTTGGGTCACCCTCACGTCAGATTTTTTTTATTTATCATGCGGTCTCGCACACCATACAAAAGTCGGTAATATGAGTCGAGGTATATATGTTTTTGTAGGAAACAAATGCCGTAGCAGATGTCCGAATTTGAAAGACATTTTCCCAGACGACGAAAGGCGAATTTGTATCAACATCACACAAGTTCGCACTAATCACTTTACGACTGATTCTGAAATGTTTACTCTCAATAGCACTTCACTTGACGAACATTCCTCATTTTGGGCGCCTGGTAAAAATTCCACACCTAATCACTTTGCGACTGATTCTGAAATGTTTACTCTCAATAGCACTTCACCTGGCAAACATTCTCCATCTTGGGCGTCTGGTAAAAATTCCACAGCCGCGGTTCTGGTACTTTTATGTATATCTCTGTTTGTCATAGGTTTGGCAGTGGGTATTTTCGTCCGTATCAAGCTTAAAAGAAGGTTTCCGAAATATCAGGCTTTACCTCTTAATGAATTACCTCACCCAAGATATGATGAAAACTAAAATATTTTCTGATAATTCGTTGGGTTGAAATGGAATAAAAAAAGCTCCCCCCAATCATTTCTTTGATCGCTGTCTTTGTCCACAATAACAATTATACAGTGTCTAATAATGCTGAGAATTATGCGTGCGATATTATAGGGAACTCGGCGTGTTATGTTCGTTGTTTATTCACGACTGTTTGTAACTTTATATTCAAATTCTGAAAATGAAATGTTAAAGTTGTTGGTTTAATGTTTTCCCTGATCAGAATTTGAGCTATTTGCAATGATACTAAATGAAATGTACTAGATTGATATGTTTCGCGTTTGTAGGATTGGATGAACATTGCATTCTACTCGCTTCACGTGGGCTTGCTCCGATCTAGTTCAGAAAAGCTTAGACTCCAATAGAGTTGGTTGAGTTTCTTTTTTATCCTAAACAGTCGATAAGAATAGCAGCATGTGATGTTTTTGAAGCGAACACTGACAAGAACATAGGTTCATAGTTAGTCACGGATAGTAGGATAAAGAAGAGATTATTGTCCCTGCCTGGTATATCAATGTATCTGCTCAAGTCAAGTTTAATTTTTTCAACCAGTAAAATCGATCATATGGTATTAAATAAATATAATCCTGGAGAAGGGAAGTCGCGGGGGAACCAAAGCTGGTCATCGAGAAGCAACACTCAAAGTTCTAATGACTAAAGATCGGGAATTTTGCTTATGAAACTACGGTTATTGTCGGTGAGTACCGTACGGTTTTGCCGAATAATATAACTAAAATTTCTTGCTGGAGATAAGATAATTATTAGAGATTGTACTCTCTCTCAGTAGTACGCTCATTGAGTACATCAGATAAAATGCATTATGTATTCAAGGTATTAGTTAGTATTTAGTGGTATTTTTACACTCATGCTGTTCAAAATATGATTTTCTTCCTCATTTTAGATACTGTACTACAAAAGAAAACTGCAATGTTCCACCAATCCGATCTAACGCAGGCTTCAATCCCTGCTGGTATCAGTGCTATAAAATGGATTAAACAAGAAGTCTTGAACCGTAAATGTAAATGAGAATCATAATAGTTGCAAACAGCTTAGAGGGGTTTTCATATTGAAATACTTCAGCATTTTTCTGCAAATGGAACTGCTCCTCAAACTCATGTTGGAGACTTCATTGAGGTTTTCAATTCATTTTTTTTCTCAACTATGAAGATCTGTTGAGGTTAACGAGGCATTAATAAATAAAGCCGAGGATTTGTTTGTTCACTGTATAAAGAGGATATGAAGAATGTAAATGATACCAGGGCACGTCTATTTAACACTGGCAAACATATGGATTATACTCCCCACCCAACAATGATTCACTGAAGAAGCATGTGGCCCTCAAATCAGTTCATAAGTTGGCAAACTGCAAGTGTAAGAAAAATAGTCAAAATAATTTATGCAAGTGTGGCAAAATCAACTTAAATTGCACAGATTTTTGTATTGACTGCAAAAATCACAATACACTTATAGAGGAAAAGTCGATTTTCGAGATAGTGGACTTCGAAAACAATTCAGAAGAAAGTGAATTATATATTGCAGTTGATTTAATAAGTATCATTTATTTGTTTGTTTTTTCGGACATTTGTTAGTGTCGTAGTCCTGTTTCTAGAAATAATATTGCCCTTGTTCAAATACATAACCACATAAACCAAAAAAAGACTAATTGTAATATTTTTGTTCACTATGTTATGTACATACTGTACATTCATTTAATTTTCCTGACTTTTCCGGTAAATTTCTAAGTGAGAAATAACTGACTTATTTGTGTTTTCGTGCTCACGATGTTAATTTGTGACTTCATTGCTTAAAAATAAATACGTTTGATAGCTTCTATAAATGATTGTAGATTTTTATGCTGTTCTTGTTGTAAACTGCTTGTGGTTATTACATAAAATTTATTCGACCTTTCGAGGTAACTCGCGACTCTTGTCACACAATTAAAGTATTTTGTTGTTGGTTACATGTATGCCTTATTTTTCGTGATCTACCTAATAAATTATGATTGAGGAAGTCTGATTTTGGTCAGACAAAACGTTACAGGTGGCAATTTTTGATGACGTCATGGCACACAAAAACCGAATTTCATACAGCTCACAAAAACATTTGAAATAAATCAATCTTTGACCACTAGAAATTTCAAAGCAATTGGTCCAATAGTTGAAGAGAAAGGCGATTTTTTCATAACGATAGGAAGTAACGCAAAGAACAAGAACAACATAATAACAAAGCGATCCATAGGTCCCATTACGTGTCCAATAATTTGAGTTGGTCAGACCTTAAACATGTTAAAATCAATTTATGCTTATTGTTTTTTTCAAGTATCATCTTAAACCTCTCTATAAATGTTTGGAAGCGATAAAAATATGTGGAATATTTCTAACTTGGTCTTCAATAGACCTTTTTCATTAAAAACCCATCCTACGCGCAAAAAAAGAGTGATGTTAAAAAATATTTTTTAACATTAGCTCTTATGGGGAATGTGATCACCAGAGCAGAAATTTGCATTTTATGTAATTTTCTAGATATCTTTCATTGTATACGTGAGCAGTTTTGAGGATAGAATATTTTTTACATCTTTTTTGATATTTTTATTATGATAAACATGGTCAAGATTTTTAATAATCGTTCATTGAAATTTTAATGAACGCGGTGTTTCCGATGACGTCATTCTCACTAGACCATGAGATTCTGCCAACGCGCCGTGCTCTGTGGAATATGTGCTCCAACTGCTTGTGATAACAGAATATTGGAATACCGGTACCGGGACCACAACTGGCGTTCAACGAAAGACCTATTTTGGTTTTAATTGGATGTTATATATTTCATGAATTCCATGTACATTTCTGGTACACCTTTTCAAAATCCAATGGCCTAACTCAGTTCATATGTTGACGGTACCTACCATGTACGGTACCTATCCCAAAATTGATGATGTTCAGGGCTGGATTCAGACCATGAGAGCCCCTTCATATTTTTGAGCTCAGAATTTCTCTCTAAACAACACCACATTTAATTGCTTAAAATTTAAAAATATGAAAGCATTAAACTTTTCATTCTCCCCATTCATGGGTGTGAATTTTTAATTGAGGCAGTTTTGCTTTCAATTTCTTTGATCAAACAACCGCTACAACCATACTTTAACATAGAAACTTCCAGCAGAATGCGCATAATAATAATTTCCCTTATTATGATGCAAACGGCCGAATAATGGCTGTTTACAATGTGGTTGAAACTTGTTGTATACAGAATTTTCTACTCTGAAAAGCTTGATATATATATATACTTTTTGTAGGGTTTAAACTTGTCAAGTTTTCAAAAGAATTAAAAACTTTAAAACCGAATTTCGAGGCTCTAGGTTTTAGCCTGCCTAGCCTATTGGTAAATCCAGCCCTGGTGATGGTCCCTACAGCAAATTTCTGGCCTTAATCACTCAGCAGATTGAAATAAATGGTTTTCAGCATTTATTAGCAAAGATAGATATTTTAATTAAACATATAGTTCAACTTGAAGCCTGTATAATGATATTATAAATATATGTCCCATTATTACTGCATTGTGAGAAGGCTTTCCACACTATCAAGTCTATAAGGTTTTAGCGTCTTCCAATGTCTCAGATGGAAACTTCAGTCCGCATATTCTTTTCATTAATGCCATTAGCATTTGAAGCTTGACTGATTCCAATGTACCTTTTCCATTGTTGTTTAATGTAATATCCTAAACGTGACTTCAAATTTTTTTCTCACTTCAATCATCACATGTTTGAATACCCGAGCTGACTTCTACTGATTTGTTATTAATTTACAATTTTTTTTATAAATTAACTGTCGTACTTGCTAAGTGTCCACTAAGTGAAAATCTACAAAAAAAAGCAGTGTTTAATAATGGACTACATTTTTAACCGAATCCAAAAATATTCCGTAACTTAGTCAACCCTTCCTCCGAGGAGTTTTTGTTAAAACATCTTAAATAACTGTTAATCTTGATAGCAAACATGGGGGGCAGGGGAGCTGACTGTGATGGTCGTATCGCTCCCCAGTCTATACCGAATAACTGTGTGTTTTGTATATGATTTTTATTGATTCAATGCTTGTATTCTGGTTGACAAAATAAATCTCCCTCTCGTATTCAGTCATGTTTTTTAACCTAGTTACGAGACCGGTATTGTACCATGATAGGTTGGAGATATTCATCTTTTTTGTATACATGTACCGTAGAACGGGTCCTGCCTATTGGCAAGATGGCCAACATTTTTGTTGGTAGGCCTATTTCAGTATTTACTAAATAACTTAGTTTTCACCTCTTGCAGCCTTGGTACGGTACCGGTAGTTTAAATAACACGTCAGCATGCCTTCAGTAAATGATTGCTAGCTGTACAGGTATAAATGCGTAAAACCAGTAAACAAACGTGATAGAAATGGTACGGGTTATAGATTGTCAATGCTAAACGCTCCCAGTACCGGACGGACACGGACCCAAAGCGACACTAGGGCCGCATTTGCAGCGCATATCCCACAGAGCACGGCACGTTGGCAGAATCTCATGGTCTAGTGAGAATGACGTCATTGGAAACACCGCGCTCATTAAAATTTTAATGAACGATTATCAAAAATCTTGACCATGTTTATCATGATAAAAATATCAAAAAAGATGTAAAAAATATTCTATCCTCAAAACTGCTCACGTATACAATGAAAGATATCTAGAAAATTACGAAAAATGCAAATTTCTGCTCTGGTGATCACATTTCCCATAAGAGCTAATGTTAAAAAAAAATTTTTTACATCACTTTTATTTTTTGCGCGTAGGATGTGTTTTTAATGAATAAGGTCTATTAGTACTGAATTGACTTTCCCCGACCCTTGACCCCGGAAAATTTTCCCTATATTTCACTATTGCGATAATTTTGATACTTATTTTGAGAGAGTTGACGCTTACGAATGCGAACTAGTTTACATGTTTAATTTTTATTGAAACTATCTGACCGCGTGCCACTTGCAAGTACTAACTGTTAGTTGACTGAAACTGACAAATAACACGCAAAACCACTAAAACGAAGCAATGCGCACAATGATTCTTAGATATCGGTCTGAGCGAATAAAATGTCTGAGTGACGGATTCATCAATAGGCAAGCTTAGGGGCCTCGACATTAAATTTGGAGTATCAATCATTTCAAAATCGTTTTAAAACTGGAAAAGGCTTGTTTTATAATAAGACCGGTTCAAAATTTCTGAGCCGTGTCTTCCCACCTCTCGCGACTATAAACGGGTATTATGACGTTGGATTTCTGGTGCCATGAAGTTTTATTACAGCTTGAGTTTGTTAAAATGTTCTTATATTTAACCTACTATTTAATTTACTTGGGTGATTAGCGTGCGTTTCTTACCTGTAGTAAAAATTTTGTATCTCACGCAATTGAAATTTTTATTCATGACGTCATATCACACTTTTACATAACCGTGAAATGTCTATTATGAAGCCATAATGGATTATTGTTACGTCATTGTTAAGGAAGGGCCTCGTAAATTGCATAGCATAGGGCTTCTAATTGTCTGAATCCGGCCCTGCTGAAGGGTCACACAAATTTCAATTGTCACAACGTCATTGCTGATTGGTCATTGTTACGAAATAAACGAAGAAATCGGTTCCAGGGGAAATATTCATACTGAAACTTATTCAATTTCAGATAACATGGAACATTGTTTCCCTATTACTATTTTTTTCTATATAGGGCACTAAAGTCTCAAGTGCTTAGGGCACCCGAAAGGCATGATCCAGCCCTATATATACAGGGTGGGCCATGAAAATGTTATCTTTTTCACATTCTAAATATATAATGAAGAAAAAATTTGATCGCTACTCGTACATATTCCATTGCTTACTGGACTCAGAACAGCAGTCAGAGAATACAGTTATCTACATCGTGGGTTTATAATATAAAATCATACTATTTAATTATTTTACACGGACTCTATGGTACAACGTTTCCCCATCGGGAGAGAATTCTTCCTCACGAAGAAATTTTGATGTTCTTGAGAAGGAAATATCACTTTGCATTTTGTGTAGTTTCATAAATATTGTTTAGTTCTAAAAATATTACCATAGAACGTATTTATGGATGTGTTATAAACTATTCAAACACTGCAAAAGCCAGAGTTCAAATTGTGCGTAGAACTTGCTAAGGATAGATTGAACAAATAACGAAAAAGAATTTCTATACGTAGTGAGGGGGGGAATGAAGGGATCCGAAATAAGCAGAGGACGAAATTTATTGAAAAAGGTTGGAAACCACTGCTATAGCACGTGGATGTGGAGTAAAGTTACGTATTACGATAGTGCTCTAAAATGCACGGCATCACTGAGCTCTTGGCAAACGTATACACCATACACAATGACTGCCTTCTTCACTCTCCTTATTAGGTATACGTTTCACGTAGTTTACCAGACATGATGCATACTGCTTTAAATTAAATAATATTGCATGTTGTGTAGGTCGTCGTAATATAGCAGACGAACACAATATCCACCTTGAACGTGTTAATTTGTCGAGTAACTTCACACGATATTTGAATAAAGGACTGCATGTCAAGTTGATCTGGAAAACGGAAAACTTGATAATAAAAACTACGCAATCTTGACATATAACAAGTAAAGGGCTTCAAAATATGCATTTCAAGAGTAATGATCAACAAAATTAGCGGAACGTTATCTAGTTAGTCATACCAACATTTTTGCACTTTCAAAACAATTTAAAATCGTACAGTGATTCGTTGCAAAAGCTGTACAACAATGCGGTACTGACAGCTTACACGTAATTGACAATGGTGATGTGACTGTTTTTATCAAATTTTTTCAAAACAACCGATAATTACTGCGTTCATACCGGAAGTAGGATTGTATGCAGTTTCTATCACGTTCCGACGTCCTCTCATTTATTCCTCCATGCATTCGTGACGTTAAATATTTAAATACGAAATGTTCACGTGTATTAGGCATTATTGAGATGCCGTACCTCTGCCCACTAATTTAATTATCATCTACAGATATTTCTGATAGTTTCTGGTATGATAAAGAAAGTATGAAGTAGAAATGTCGCAGTTGGCTTTTATCGGGAAATTTTTTTTTTATGGCAATATAGATCTTGTTTTGTTGCAATCCCTGCTTGATGCTTAAAACGACGAAAATACAAGAATCTTTAAATCTTGCTTTAGATAGCCAGTGAAACCATCTTGTAATATGCTATCTATAGGCCTATATGAAACGACCAAAAAGAAGATGAACATGCTTTTCTAATGTGTTGGCAATACAAAATGCAGTTGCCAAATTTTGGAAAATGTTTCGAGACATATGAAACTCTTGAATATGTACAAGTCATTCTTACAAAGTTATATCATATTCGTAGGTTCAATAATATATATTTACAGTATATATATAATATTAATATGCAATTTCTGTATCGCATTCTGCTTGCGTGCATTGCAGTCAAGTGGACTGCCGGCCTAAAATGCCAGGTGGGGTACGAGTCGATATCCAGTAACTCACCAGTCACAATAAAAACGCAAAAATTGAAAAAATGTCCCGTATCAATACCACGTCCTGCGTGTATGAAGATTACCTCCACGGTTGAAGGTGAGTTTCTATATAATTTCGTTAAAATATCTGAACTGCGAAAGTGGGTAATTTATCATCGATATTGTATTTAATCGATAGTATTGTATTTGATCGCTTTTCTCATCTACTACTGACTAATTGCTTTGAACTTTTCATTAGTTGAAGATTGTATTTTTCGCTAGAAGATTTTACTTTTATTTATTTTAAAAATTCTGTGGGCTCCATATAATCTGTTTTGCTGTTCAAGGACGTCATCGAAAATTGCGCACTTTGTGACGCGTCCGCGTTAGTCGTGATCCGTGAAGATTGCGGTGCCTGTGGTCTACTCAGATTGCATGTGACAGATTGCATACCCGTACTTCTTTGTTTTGGCTTTCGTGTCCATATATTTGAGCATCCGTTTCTTGTTAATTCTTTGTTTTAATGTAGGTTCCGGAAAAGCTATATATTACGCGTGTTCTGCACGAGTAAGATGTTCTAGATTGACATGTGCGACATCTAAAGAATTCATAAAATCGTCGATGGGAGCAAGATTCCGAGCCTCAAGTCCTCAAGTCTTGAGTGCTTCAAAGTAAGAAATATGTAATGGTAATTACCTAACGTTCAGGCTCGAATATATAACGTGGTGCAACGTGCTAAGTAATGAAGTGGAAAATCAACTTTCTAAAATTTCAACAGGCTCAAGCATGAGTCATTTGCGCTATAGACTCGTGTAGACATTCATTGCTATCTATGTCAACTCGAAATAATTTTTTTTATACTAGGTAGATGCGTAGGAGTATGTAACTTTTCTTATAAACAGGAAAAACAATATCTTTATTGGTTGTATGAACTACATTTATAACAGGAATTGCAAAATCGCATGTTGCGAGGAAGATAATTGCAATTCAAATGGCGCCACTGGAAAGGGAAGAACAAAAAATGGTAGCTTCAAACCCAGAACTACCAGGCCACCACGAACAATTCAAACTACACCTTCTACCAAGAGCACGGGTAAGCTACAAAACCCCAAGACGTCTACGCCTTTTCTTTCAAATAGAATCCACTCAACTAACTTCCCTATAACTACTACGGTTTTACCAAAAACGGAGAAGCCGAAAATTCTCCCAACAACTGTAACGAAACCGACCAAACAATCGTCTGTGACATCACTATCAACATTGCCGATACTGACAATCTCGGGGACATGTAATCTAACTGTGAGTCAAAGTTTCAATACTGACGAGGTAAATCGCACAACTGATTCTACAATCACAAATGTTCAAACTACTTTAAACGAGTTTTTAAGTACCGCCTCAATACCCATCTCTGCACTTTCTGTACAAACCGACGAAACTATATATGAATCACCCGTGTTCACAAAGGCTGCAAATCAAAAGTCAAAATCTTCCGGGGATTCTCCACCATTTGATGATGCTTTCATAGTTACGGAAAATATGCCAAGGGTTTCGATATGGATAACAACAATGGAAACATCGAATTCAACGGATAGTTCGAGCGAAAGTATCACAAACAAATTTTCAATTCAAAACGTAGTTACAGATAAATACAAAATGTCAACAACATCTTCTGGTTCTACAACTTTTATTGTGCAGTCAAATGTTGGGATACCAATTTTATTTTGTATCTCGCTGATTCTAAATGTTTTCTCGTAAATTACGTTTACCTTACTTGTATACTCACAGTTCATATGAATAAAAAAGTTATAAAGGATTTTTGGAATTAATTATTCTAACTGCTCAGACCAAAAAAAACGTTTTTACTTTTTTGTTTTGTTTATTAAAATATAAACTTTGTATACCTAATGTATTATTGTCTCCTTTCACGCTCTGTCTCTTTTAATACAGTATTAATCACATTTCTATGGTGTCACGTTTATGTCGAATTATTGGACACAAAATGTACACATGAATGGCTTTGGTAATATGTTGTTGTTCTTGTAAGTAATTATTTTATCGTCTTTTTGTGGAAAAATCGCTTTTCTCATTAGCTACCGGACCAATTACTTCAAAGTTGCAGTGGTTGAAACTTCCATTTTCGCTAGAAGACTATTTCTGTTATTAATTTTAAAAAATACTGTGGGATCTAGTGGATTCATTTTTTTGTGCAAGAACGTCATCAAATTCAAAATTGCGCAACCCCCGGCGGTTCCGTGTTCCCGTCAGTGGTCAGGTGACTGCGATTTAGGTAGTCTACTGTGACTTCGTACTTCGTGTTTATCGCTTCCTTGTTCATAAATTAATGCATATATCATATGTCAATAGTGATAACACTTTACTTGCAAATATACAGCACAGTGGTATGAATTTTGTTCAGCCAACCGGCTCATTTTTCAAATTTGGTAAGAACATTAACGGGCAAGTCAAGGGTGCGCACGCCTCTTTAAAAGTAAAAAGGACAAATTTTGTTTCATGTACAAATTTCACTGCTACGAAACACACACTAGACAGAAACTTATCCCATACGCACGCAGTTTATTGCATATTAGACAATAAAATTGGGATCTTTTGTAGAAAGCCAACGCCACTATATTAAAAAAAATGCGACATTTGAGAAAAATACTTCAGCCTCGTATTAGATAGAAAATTTGTAATTATTCAGTTAGGGTTCATGTTAGAAACGATTTGAAATTTAAATTTTCTGCGCAATTTGTTTTCCTAACCCTAACTGCTGGATAATTACTATTATATTTTTATTTTAATGGTGGCGGGGTGTTTTTTGGGGTAGCTTTCACACTCGCTGACTTGCCACTAGATGAGACATTGAACATAAATAAACGTCTAAAGTTTATCTCACTGTTGGCTACTAACCTAAGTCATCTTCACTCCGACTCTGATGTATGTGGCTTCGAAAATATGTGTTGGGGGTAAATCTTTGACATATATATATATTAGAAAAGACACACCGTCAACACATATCTATAACGCCACTTCTTGAACGAATTATTATATCGGATACAGAATAAAAATGAAATTATGCCAAAACTATTCCAGCACTTGCTTGAGCACAATTTTAATGATCTATGTAAATATAAATATGTGAAAAATTGATAGGATAATTCTTCAATGCGGATGGGTCGAATAGATTGTTCTACTTCTCAAATGTGTCTCATTTCATTAGTCTTGATAAATAGCATTTTGGTGTCTGTTACCAGAATTGACCTAATTATTTTATATCGTGTAGAATAGATGTTCATCAGTGATTTTGGCTATTGTAGATTTGTAGAATATAATATCATGGTCAATTAACATTTTGCCCTGAATAACAGGAAGCGACAACTGTTGAGTCATTGTATTTCTCGAAAAACTCGGCCCTAACCGGAAATTTGTCAATATGCTTGGAATTTACATGTATTTCAGGCATATATCACCGAGTAAATATGTTGGTAAACTCATTTTATTATTATGGTCATCACACAGGCGCATGCGTCAAATCTAAAAAACATAACGCAACTCACGATTTGAAAAAGCGGTGAAATTGCTTCCATGAATATTTCCTTACTCGATAAAACAGGGGAGCTACAATGTGTCTAGGAAAACAACAGAGAATAAGACCAGAAATGTTTTTTGTAGATGAAGAATGGTTAAACTTGAGTTTACAAATGCTGTTAGGCAAAACCGAGATCTTGTATTTTTATACAAACTTTTTTCATAGCGTCTCTACTTATTTCAGAAATTCAACACTATAATATGGTTAAAATGCTGCGTGGACAAATTGCTTTGCTAGCGATCTTCATACTTTCTGAGAAAGGCAGTTCGCTGAAATGCGCTGTTACCTCTCTGACGAGCAACCCGCAAGAAACCCTTTGTTCGAGCACCCCTGCAACTTGCTTACACATGGACGTAGTAATCTCATTAGGTAAGGGTTTTTTACTTATTTTTGCTGTTTCAAAAGTTTTTCTTCAACAAAGTTGCCAAACAAGGTATGATTAGGTTTGAGAGAGGCGCTGGTCTAAATACTCCAAAGATACTTAATTGTAAGCTGAAAAGTGCTAACGGAAGACTTTATTTTTAAGGGGGTGGGACACAAAGTAGGACGTTTGATTCTTGCTCTACGAAAGCACAGTGTGACAAGATGAAATGCAAAGAATATGCAAAAGATCAATCTGCAAAAATATTTCCGGGTGTTGTTATTGAGTAAGATCAAATCTCTTATTTACGAACATTTGTTATTACAATATACTACTACTACAAATAAATTTTTCTTTGTTTTAGAAATTGTACATTTTCGTGCTGCTCTACAGACAATTGCAACAGCGTTTCTATGGAAAGTACGACACCAATTTCTGAATCAACTCCAGGTGCAGTTGTTGTGGTCAGTGACGTGACAGATGAAACCAAAACTAAACCTGTTGTTGAAAACGCGAATCCTACCACATCAGATGGAGTAGAAGAACTCACCACACCAGATGGAGTAGAAGAACTCACCGCACCAGATGACGGAGAAGAACTCAACACATCAAATGGAGGAGAAGAACTCACCACATCAGATGAAGGAGAAGAACTCACCACATCAGATGGAAGAGAAGAACTCACCACGTCAGGAAGCGGTTCGATGTTTAAGTCACCAAGCTTGTTTTACCCTCTGTACTCTATTTTGTTGTTGCTAGTTCTGTAGGTTACATATTAGATTATAATAGTGACATAGCCGAGAATGGTTCGAGAAATTGTATATTATTTTGAAAAAAGACTATGGGTTTCACAATATATATATATATGAATCGTTAGTTCATTTCCATAATCGAAGATGCTTTTATGATAAAATTGACCATTGGATACATATTTTTGTGCCTTGCATTATCTCTTGTATTATCAATACCTATTTCTGAACATAGTATATAACAAACAAACACAGTCTCATAAACTATATATTTACCACGTACTTTATTTACAAAAAGGGACGAATGGTAATAAATATTTGATTAATAATCTAGATCTTTGAATATCTTGAAAGGGGTAATGCTTAGGAAATTGGTCATTTTTGAAATGTTTCCATAGTTATTGAATTGAAATATTCATGTATACCATTTCAATATGTCCTTCACAAGCAATATTATATTCGTTCTGGTCACTATTTCTGACTGAAAACTTAAACTCCGGAGTTCACTACACTACAATGTCGATGCTGGTTACCCAACTGGGTTTGTGAAAATCATCATGCTAAGCGGTAAACTGTCAGCATGTGCTTAACGTTTTTTTATTTTTTATTCTTATCGACTATCCTTGGGATATATAGGATGCCCATAAAGTCTTACAAATGCAAAGTCAATATATCGATACCATATATTGTTTTGGCCCTCACAGATGCAATAAATGAAATAAAAATACCTAAACAATTACTGATTAAAAAACAACAACCCTGATTAAGATATATTGAGAACTGACTTCATAACAAAATTGAAACGGTATAGGGACTTTATGGAAAACCTGTATATGAAACATCCTCCACGGCACTCGAACGCGATTTTCGATAATGTGTCTTTCTTTTACTTCGAAATGAGTGTGTGTGACCTTGCTTTAATGAAATTTTTGCAAGAAAATTTTGATTGCTGAAGTATTCGTTTTCACCAATATCCAGAATTTTTCTACATATATCTATAGATTGCAAATACGCGAGACCAGCAATGCCTGTTTTGTCATTGCTTAATTAATATATTTAAAATATCAATGTGATATTTTGACCTTCGCGTTTTATGATCATTGGTATCAACAGACCTATCCACGGTAGTGTAGATTCACATGTATAGCTCATATCATGTCAATAGGATTGCCCCACAATTATAACTATTTCAATATTTATTTGATCTTAAATATGTGCCCGTGGTTGTTTTGATTTGATCAGTATGGCGTAACAATCAAGCGCAAAGGATTTTTAATACCTCTGATATTTGCAAATAAATTTGAAATAATGAGCAGGTTGTCATTTTATTTGTGGTATGCCTAAATAGCCCATGCGTGACTGGCAAATTGCTACTGGCCGGAGGCTCTTAGAATAGGACGCAATTTACGCGATTTCCGAATGGGAAGTCACGGTGCGTGACTAGTACCTGTGCAAATGAATAGATATCACAGTTACTTAGATAGTAGCATATTTATAGCAAATTGAGGTCTGATGGATTCATCGCAAAGTTACTAGGACCGGACACCGTTTTATTGGAAAGTAATAATGCTATGTAAAAGACCAACTGTAACGCAGTGAAAAGTGTTGTAAATGTTTGCCGTGATTCCTTTATGAATAAGGATGTTTCAGCCAAAACATATTAAGTTAATTGTGTCTCCGAATAATTGATGATCTGACAACGCTTGTATTTCGCCGTATGCATATACAAATAATTGACAATGTATCATCTGATGATGCGTCAAATGACATCAGATATTTGTTTACGGAAAATTTACATAAAGCAAGGTCATCCGCACTCACCAAGAAGTGAAGAATAATAATCTAGAAGCGAGGTTAGGGGCTATTGAAAAGCGATCTAAACTGTATGGAATTGTGGTGGTGGTACGCGTTAAGTATACCGATTGAGCAGACACGTTTGAAAATGTATTATTGGATAAACTTTTCGGCATAAAAGTTCGTTTGTCTGGTGGGTATACTGAGAGTGAGCGTGAGAGCTCGCAATCAAGCGAATACGACCGAAATAAATTCTGGTAAAATGTTTTTGAAATAAGCACAGAGACGCAACATTTCGTTGATGGGAAAGAGTCTTCAGTTTAGGCGCCAATTGTGAGTCAATCATATTTGATGTATTATTCTTGTGGATGATCAAATACCATCTGTACAATAAATCTAATACTATTGTTTTTACATACCTCACTAGTGACACAGACAGAAAGAACGCAATTTGATAGGACGCCTCGTTCATGTTACATATTTTAAAAATACCCTGATTTTACTTACAGATTATGCAAGGCGTTATAATTAGTCAAAATCTCGATATTGTAATCTAGTTAGATAGTCTTTCATCCAAATATCAATATTACAAAATGCTATTTGGAAAAATTATTTTTATTGTCATTTTATGTTTCTTTCGCGTAATTCACTCGTTGAAATGTTTATCTACTTCCCCAACTATACTAGAAATTGACTGTGGACAAGAAGATGATGTAACATGCTTACGAATAGAGGCTGTAGCAGGTAAAGCACTATACCGACTGTTATTTTTGTGAGTCGTTTTCATTCCGAACAAGTCTTCAATCAAGCAGTCACTGATACGCATCCGGTTATTATATAGAAATCTATCCGTAGCGGAATCTATCTGGCATCTATTTGTCATTGCCTTCACAATATATTTCACCCAACGTGATTATTTTAAATTTTCCTGTATAATTTTAATTTTGACGAGCTGATATATTCACCTGGTTTATCTTTGGATTTCAGCTAGTGCACTGTTTTATAATTCTTCTAGGTATTTCCACAGTAAGTTCGATTCTTGACTTGAAGGTAGCATTTGCAAATTGCTCTACAACAGCTTTCTGCGACACGTTAAATTGTACATCTTATGCGCCTGAGGTTATTACTGAACAAATTGGATCTAACCCACTTGGATCTTATATCATCAAGTAAGGATTGATAAACAGAAAAAAATTTAAACGTAACGAATATTTCCTCCGAATTCCCAATTTGTATACAATTTTACTGAAGTTTCTTCCAGATCTTGCAGTATTACATTCAAATTTTTGAAAACTATTATACGTATAGTCGAATGCATACGAAATATGCGATATCACTTGTTGTCATTCTCATCTTTAAGACAGTTAGCATATACAGCAAACCAAATTTACATATACGGCCATTTAGGTGATATACAAATACATCCAACCCCGGCAACCTGTCATATGCATGCACTCCATGTATATTGTATATTAAGACGTTTGCATTTACATGTTATGTCCATAATGATTCAGCTTGTAGCAGCTGATTTATAGATATGGGAAGACGTAATCTCAGAAGTCATATCATTCCATTGCAGCTGATCGGTCACAATGAGTGTGTTAAAACGTTCACAGAAACTCCAGGACGGCCTTAGATCGAAATATTAGAAATCATTATACCAAGTGTAGTGTAAAGTAGATGTACTAAATTGCTATGAAACAAGCATCAGTGGCACGTCTGTACGTATTAGTTGCGCATAACGATGCATACCAATTTGACGAACGTTGTAGATGAATACCTAAAGGAGGTTGCAATCTACTTTTACACAAAAGTGCATATGACGTTATCGTTGGTTGTACATGTATATGACATTGAATTTTATATGTGCCACGTACACCATTTAAATGGATGTATATGTTTATTGAGTTGGCTCTATGTGCGTATGACATTTTCTGTGTATACGTTCATTACTTGGATGGCTGTACATCACATTAAATCAAATATATATGTGAATGTCATTTTATGTGTATGTACATCACTTAAATGGCTGTACATGTATATTAAGTTGATTGTACATGTATATTTGCCTGGCTCTATACTATACGTAAATGACTTGTCTGTGTATGCATATTTTTGACTATATGATAAACATCAACATAAACAGTAATAACAAAATAACCCCATTCATTTTGGTTCTGCTGGTTTTTTTATTTTTAGAAGTTGCGAATATGAATGTTGTTCAACGGACAGCTGCAACAATGCAACAATTGCCAGTATGACTAATGAACAGACCACAACACCCACTGATATTGCAACGACATCTAATGGCCATTCAGTGTTTATGCAAACTCGACTGCTTGCACAGATTCTTACGTATTATTTGTTACGTCTGATTGTATTGAATAATATTGAAAAGTAAAGTATAAATGACAGTCTTTTTTAGCATTCACTGATATTTGAATATGGTATTTGGAAAATCAATAGACAATCTTAAGTCAATTGCAAAGGGCGGCTGAGCGACAGTTTTTCGATTTTTCGATAAAAACAACATCGCAGCATCATAATCTATAGTAAATAGATATTCAAAAGATTTTCCAAGAAAATATATAGGCCAATATGATATATATATGCAAGTCAGCAGAATGCGGACTACACGAGACACGAGAAACAATTCGAGAAACATCATTGTAAAAAAAGGAAAGTTACCAGGAAGACTCCTAACTGGGTTTTGTTTGTTTTTAAGTTTATCCCTTTCAGTAGTACATTTTGGATATGAGTAACGGCCAACGGGTAGGCGAGACCGCAAAGGAATGCATAAAGCATTGTTATGCAAAACACGAATCCTAATAACAGTATTCGTAGACTTAAGCCGTCGGGTCCAGCACAGAAAATTCATAATCTTCCGTTATTTGGTTGATTATTGAGTTATAAAATTGAATTTTGGATAAATGCGTGAATGAACAATCTAGACATATATTGCAAATGAATGCTTAACAATGTAACAAAATCCAAATACAAAAAGATATATTTATTTGACTTGACCTGTTAAAAATTCTAAACTATTCGTCCATACAAATCAACTCTTGACTTTCATATCATTGGTGAAACTTTTTATTCAACTCACGATTCTGATCTAGATGAAACAACTATCGTAAATTAAAAATATTATAAAACTTCAACCCGATTTAATTCCATAGTCCAGCGGTTCCCGAACTTTTTGTTCGTGCGCGCCATATTATGAGGGAAAAAACTCACGGCGCACTTACACTAAAAACGCTGCATTAGAAGGAAACTCAATTTTGTGATCGTTAATGTGTACTTCAGTTGATGTAATTTAAGGTCTGTAAACAGGTAAGCCTAAGGAATAAGCTAAAGGGTCAACTCTTTTTCCTCATATATATTTGCCTGATTTTCCTTTGAAATGCTGAAAACATCACTCATGTTCGCTGAATTTGGTTCAGCAGATAAATAAACTGCAGCTCACGAAATTGCAGTAGTGTACACGAGTATATCTTTAAGTAACAATAAATGCAGACACTACTTAACAGAAAGTAAACGAAATATAGAGATGAAATGAATTAATTGATTCATATACACAGCATTTAAAATAATAAAACATTTATAATAAATGCAACACCGTATCTAAAATATTCAATTATATTTTAGATACCCTCAACACAATTCTGGTGAGTTTCGCGGCGCACTTAACAACTTTAGGAAACGCTGCCATAATCATACCGTGCTTCCCCGAAAATAAGACAGGGTTTTGTTTCAAATTGCTTTCGAAAAATAACACTAGGGCTTATTTTGGGGGATGTCTTTCATTCATCAAAAACAGCATTACAAAGGAAAGAATTACGAGATTTTCAAATATACAAATCATTTGAATTTTAAAACGTGTAGGAGAGATTTCTCGCTATCGACTAGGTCGAAATAACGAGGTTATATTTTAAGGGGAGGGCTTATATTAAAATCATTTTTAAACTTCGTGCTTGGTCTTATGTTCAGGCTAGGATTTATTTTCGGGAAAACGCGGTGTGTTTCAATGTAATACCGAATTAGATCTTACTGTGATATTGCTTACTTTGTCAAGATAAGCTTCAGCTAACGGTGGTGTTGAATCACAGGTTCAACGAGATCATCAACATTTACTTGGAAGCTTAAATCTTATCAAAATATGGTATGTGTGGTAAAGTCACAACACAGAGAGTAACAATGACAACATCGAGGTCATTTGTGAACTGTGATTGTTGTGGGTATAGCAAACGCATAACATCACATCCGAAATCGTATTGCTCATATCCGATAGTTCGAGGTATATTTTCTACAGTGCTCAAGCACTCCTTAATTATGCAGAAAGATGGAATAAAAGAATGATAATAAAATTCATTAACTAATAGTCTATACTGGTATAGTATATCGCAGAGAAAAAAGAATAAGAAGCACGTTATCTCAAAACCAGGGCGAAAAGTTTTACTCCCTAAGTCTTTACTATGGCGCAATAATGAGTCACTATAAACATGAAATAAAAAAGTAATGAAGATAGAACGTAATTTGTCTGAGATTGGTAAGATGATAGAGAAATATAAGTGGCCAAATGTATGAGGCGAGCGAGGGCAAATCGAACATCACGTAAGAATTAACAAATGCAAGTTCTCACGCTAGCAAGGTTTAGAAACCAACGTGTCGAATATCGTGTGACTTGACTGAAAAGCGATCCTTCAATAACTTCTGCGGTACGCGAATGTTTTGGTCTTACTCTATTTTATTCGCAACGGTGGCGGTAGCGTATATAATTACAGGCGAGTAAAAAAATCGGACTTGAAGAAAATTGTAAATTATATACCGATGCTTGAACAGTCATAGAACATTTGGGGTCGGGGAATATTTTTTTTTCACTGTAAAATGGAGCATGAAAAATACAAATTTTGTGGCGATTTTATTAAGAATGCCGAGTATATTGGTGGTGGTGGAATTTTGTGTATGCGTTTGTGCAGTTAACTGCATATTCAGTACTCATTCGTTTCTGTGTATGACGTTAATACTGATAAGTCGATCGCGAGCTATTTTGAACTTTTCAGTCGTTCGCGGTTGGAAGCGGGTTGGCCACCCTTGGTATATGGGAAACGTGCAATGACTAATGATATCTGACAATGTCGACTCAGCCTTCCCTCATGTCGTCAGATATGTTTTCCTAAGTCGTGTGATGATCACTAGAAACTAATTCTGATTTATATTATGTTTAATAACTTTCGCAAATGGGAAAAATCTGAAGAATGCGGTGGTTTATTAGGGTGCAGCCATCCAGGTATCAGTTTTGTCGAAATTTTACAAATAATTACTTTACAACTAGGTTTTAGATTGTTTTACATGTGAAACTTGTTATATATATATAACTATGATAGCGAGACAATACTGGAAATCGGTTTTCGCATCGATATTGCTTTTTGAGATGACCGTGGTCAATTGTATAGAGTGCCAACAAGGATATGAAGTAACAACTACTTCGTCACATGTAAGTGGTCTGAGAAGTATAACCACAGGAAACTGCACAGAGTGGACAGGCTCAAATCCCGTGTGTTTTCGGATTGAATCATCTGCCAGTATTTCATTTAACGGGTTACCAATCAGTAAGTTAAGTTGTTCAGTAAAATCAGTTGTTGCTTCACTTGGAGCAGCATAGTCGTGTAATAACAGATGACTATAGAGGACCTGTGGTACTGAGGAACTTGATTGCTCTTTTTATTATGTAGTTATTCATAAGTCCACTTACAACAGAACTGTGTCAACATTTTTACAGTTAGATTTAGCTTCGCGAAACAATACACATGCAAGCAAGCTGAAAGCCAACAAAATCAGAACTCCTACCAAACTCATTCCACGAAACTGGCTTATCATGTACCATCCTACATGTATCCCCGTTGAAGCCTATTTATCCAACTTTCACTCGACGTTACTCATTACCAGTTTACTATTTTGTGTTGTTGCTTTATAGTTCTCATTATATGTTAAATGTCGCTTCTGTGTTATCTACCCAATAGCAAAATAGCGGGTTGGTTTGAATAAATTACATATCGTCACGCTAATAACCGAATTGCGTAAGTCATTTTTGGCGATTTTGAGTTTTTTATAAAATAGGTATTTATGTAATGCTGCGCACCTGTCTGTTAACTCAGATTTTATTTTAAGAATTCCGAAACCCATAAAAATAGAGATTTAGTATGACATGCACTTTTATGCAATTGTTATGTCATAATGAATTATCATTGTTACCGCAGGACTATTGTGACGTCACAAAGGCGAAATAACCTCTGCGAAGTATTTTCGAGTTTTTGCATCTCGGATTCTAGCTTAGCGCGTATTAATTTGAATTTATACAACAGTATAGGAAGACGTGCACTAGTGATATTCACTGTCCGAGTCCAATTCACCTTGGTTGGTTTTTATATTGGGTGCATTGCTGTTTTATTCTTTATATTTAATTTTAGTCTTATTTTGGTGGGTGTGCAGACCGTGTTATATTATTGAAATATATATTTTTAAACATAAAAAATAATGTAATTGAAACTGATTATCTATTTTTGGAATTAGACATTGTAGATACTGAAAATTACATTCGTTTTTAGAATGTTTAGTTTTTAGGACTGGTGCATATAGTAAAGTTGCATAATTGCGTATGTCCCCAAGTCATAGACACATTTCTGCCTAAGTCACGGTGCGCCATTATGACGTCACTTAACTGCGTCATACAAATTAACTTAAATCCGGCTACGATCAAAAAATTGAACCATGGCAAATTATCGACTCTCAATGGCATAACAATTTCATTAGGAGGTTTTTTGCGTTTTTCTCAAAACTGCTAAAAATGACTTACGCAATTCGGTTATTAGCGTGACGATATGATATGCTGATAGCGGTCCATTTGACTCCTTGCCGTTGTGTCCTGTACTATGGACTGAGTAGAGAAACATATTGGTTTGAGCTATATTTTTAAGAATGAATCTAAAATCGCTTTGAATATTCATGATACATTCACTTTATTGTACAATCAAATCCTACGCTCGCCTATTAAAAATATGATAGGTACTTAATATTTTTTCAGGTGGAGAGGCCATGTATAGTGGATGTCACCCTCGTATCAACTGCACTGAACAAACTTGCGGCCAATATAAAAAACTAATACTCCAAGAATTGCAAGCGTCGAGCTTTGGCAGTAGTATTTCAGACATTGACATCACGTGAGAACCTTTTCGCAATAATAAACATATAACCTTATATCTAACAGTGTTATGAGTATAAGGTACCTTCCACGGGGAAGTTGACTTCGATGACCGTTTGGTCGTATCACTCCCTTCTGTCTATACCAAACTAATTTATTACTTATTATTATTACGATGACTGTTATTTTATTTCGGTTGACAAAAAAAATAAATCTCTTTCTCTCATACAAGGGTTATTATTACCATATACAATTGCTCTGATGTGTGAACTCTGATGAGCATCGAGCATGTATCAAACTTACTTATGATTTACCCTCAATTTAAGCGACTATCATGAAATGCGTCAATAATCTACAGTCTATTAAACTGTAAGAGTAAAAGCTGATAAATATCGGAAGCTAGGTGGCAATCGAGGTAAAAATGCATAAGCGAACTAGGGCGCAGTTGGCAGAAGACACGAGGGAGATTCTGATAGACGAGATATCTAATATGTAAATAGCTTTACGCAGGTTTTACATAATGATTTGCATTTTCTGATGATAGAACGTGCTCTGTTGGATGCTGCAACACCAACAAATGCAATGAAGATTACATTAACATGATGGATCTACTGGGACCTGTGGTACTTACAACTACAGCTTTAGAGACAACCGACGCTGCAAAGTTTTCTACTGAAGGTTCCTTTAGCGTAATAGAGGATGCATCAAGTAAGTTTCTCGTCATTGAAAATTTTACAACAGTATCTTATAAATAATCGAAGTTATTTGTTACAGAAACGCCGATTTCGACACCAACGGCTGGACAGGAACAAACAACATCCGGCACTGATATAATTTCATCTTCCTTTGTTCTCTATATATTGGCTCTACTTTGCTTAATATGCTAAGTTTTGAAACATTAATTGACGTATCTCACTTATGCAAAGAGCGAGAATAATTGTGTAAACCCCGTCTACATCTTTAGTTATGAAAGACATATTCTATTTGCAGATCATACTTAGTCTAGCAAATGGTTATTGTTCAAATTTTACAATCATGGTTTGAGAATATTTATTTTTTTGCAGTTTAGATAACACTTAGCAAGATGAAATTTCAACACTTACGACTAAAAACTAGGCAGGTCACAAATCTGAATTGTATGATCTAAATCAGGGGTGGCCAACCTGCTTTGACCGCGATCGACTAAAATCTTCAAAATAGCTTGCGGTCGACTGACTGATCGGTAATGAGGTCATACACAAAAACGAATGGATACTGAACACACAGATAACTGCGGACACACATACGAAACATTTCACCACTATCAATAAACTCGGCTTTGTGGGCGCATTTTTAATGAAATCGGCACAAAATTTGTATTTTATTGTTCAAATTAAACATATCGTTCAAAGTTTAAACGTATTTCATCCATGCTACGCGAAGATATAGTTGTGGTTGTCCGTATCTTTCATAATTTATTCCGAACATGGTATCATAAAGTATTAATAAATGGGATCGTAACTTGTTCGGTTGACAAAGCCTTTGTAATTTAGCGTTTTCCGTTCGTTGTCCCAATAAAAACAAATTTATCCACCGTGTTGTATTCAAAAGGGTACCAAATACTTTAGGTTAAAATAAGACGTAATAAACAACATAATTTTTGGAAATTTTGTTTCATTATGTGTTCGTGTGTATTTTAACATTAAGAAATCTGATGCGTCATTTTATAGCTTTTTACAAAGCTATTTTTGGAAAAGCAATCCGGGCTCCCGAAGTTTGCGAACCAAGATGGCGGACATCGGAACGTAACATGGGTAACAGGTTAGGGTTAGGCGATAATTTTTTTCCAATTTTCCTTATTTTAGTCCTATTATCAGTTCGAAGACTAGCCAAGAGCCTCCCGTAGTATTTATACCTAAAATTATGGCCTAACCCTAACCTATTACACATATTACATTCCGATGTCCGCCATCTTGGTTCGCATACTTCGGGAGCCCCCTCCATACTACAATGGCTGAAATCGAGAGAGGTACTGTTTACCTATAATAGCGACACCACGGTAACACCCAATAGTCAAATTCAACAACACTGAATTGCTGAACACTGAGAACGGTGGGGCACACTTTTCAAAACCCATATGCTCATAAACGAAATGAAATTGATGATTAATGATTCAGTACGATATAAAACTTAAACAAACCGATGAAAAACTTAGTAATTTTATAATAATATTGTCAATGAATATAGTTTTCTAAGGCATAATATCCTGACTTGCAATGCCTCGACTTGATATAATTTCATCTTCCTTTGTTCTTTATACATTGGTGCTACCCGAAGATATATTTGTGGTTGTCTGTATTGTTATCTTTTGAAATTTATTCCGAACATGGTATCATGAAGTATTAATAAATGAGATCGTAACTTGTTCCGTTTACAAATCCTTTGTAATTCAGGTTTTTTTGTTCGTTGCCGCAATAAAAACAAATCTCTCCACGGGGCTCCCGAAGTATGCGAACCAAGATGGCGGACATCGGAATGTAATATGTGTACTAGGTTAGAGGTTGGCCATAATTTTAGGTATAAATACTACGGGAGGCTCTTGGCTAGTCTTCGAACTGATAATAGGACTAAAATAAGGAAAATTGGAAAAAATTTATCGCCTAACCCTAACGTGTTACCCATGTTACGTTCCGATGTCCGCCATCTTGGTTCGCATACTTCGGAAGCACCCTCTCCACCTTGTTGTATTCAAAAAGGTACCAAATACTTTAGATTAAATAATAATCTGGAATACAGTATTTGCACTTTTCATTGTGGTGAACGTCCCGTATAAACAAAATAAACAACATATGTTCAAAGAATTTTGTTTCATTGTGTGTTCGTGGGTATTTTAACATGAAGAAATATGATGCATTATATTCTTTTCAGAAATCTATTTTTGAAAAAAGCAATCATACTACAATGACAGAAAGCGAAAGATGTTCTGTTTACCCAGCAACACCATGGCAACAACCGATAGTCAAAATTAACAACACTGAATTGCTCTTTGTTTAAACGGTAAAGCACACTCTTTGAAACCCATACTCCGGAAGGAAATTGATTATGAGGTGATTCAGTACGATATAAAAATTAAACAAACAGATAAAAATCATTTAATGGCTTTCACAAGACGGAAAATGTACATAACCCGAAGAATGAGTAAGATAGCGCAGAATGAGGCATTCCAGGATTATTAAAGGAAATTCTTGTTGAACGATGGTGGTTTGTACACAAATAATGTCTGCATTTTACATTTATCTTTGTTGTCGAATCGCTCATATCACAATTTTTTTGTATCTTGTATAATTCCGTCTGCAAAATATCATCTTAGGTTTTGATCATTCAAAGATGATTGGGATTTTATTGATTGTCGCATAGTAGTAGTATGGAACTTGGCGAGATAAGTTTGAGTAGGGAATACACCACTTTACCGTATTTTTCATCAGTTGAATTCTGCCCTATAAAGTACGATTGCACTTTCTCTAGAAGTCTATTATTTCTATTTATTCCAAAAGTTCCCATGGGCTCTAAGAAATTCGTTTGTTTGTGAGCGTTGACGTCATTAAAATTAAAAATTGCGAACGTTGTATCGCCTTCGCGTAGCAATTCGGTGGTCAGGTATTACAGATAGTCTACGGCAGGGGTCACCAAACTACGGCCCGCGGGCCGGATCCGGCCCGCGACGTCATTTTATCCGGCCCGCGGCGTCATTTTATCCGGTCCGCAGTAACACACAAAAATGGCTAAATTTTTTTTTTCAAGGGAGATTTTCACGAGCATCGTCGTCTTTGTTTTTTCGTAACATTGCTACCAGTACGTAACGTTTTCTGCGATACACTTCTACACTCGTGGCGCGTGCTTTCGACGAAACTGTTTGTTTTTTGTGCTAAAATAAACGTCGAATGTGCATTTTGTGCAGTACTGTAATCCCTCGCGTACTGCTCCAATTTCAAACGCCACACTAACTTTTGTACTGCTTTAATGCGGATATTCATGTAGGTATGTTACAAAAAAATTGAAGTCCATCCGATTTAAATAAAAACTGCTTCAGTGGAAAGATCTGAGTAAAAATAGAAAACAATACCGATGATATCGGAATTTTAGTATCGCCCGACAGGCCAATTTTTTCCATATAATGATTGTATTACTTTTTTGATAAGAACTGAACTAAATATGGAAAAATAACACATATCAATCACTAATCTTTCGATGTGCATCACATCTATGGTATAATATATTGAGACTATTTCAGAATTTTATTCTGGCAACGGTCATTGACACCGCCGAAAGATCGTCGCAAATAAACGCTGGAGTTGTGCATGATAGTTTGACAGTGGTTCATTGTGGGTAATAATTAACGATGTGCTGATTGTACGAACTTCATAAAAATTTTATCAAGTTAGGAAAGAAATACACACGTCCACATACATTTTATTGGTGTCCATAGACAATATCATTAATTTGCACTACGTATAACTGGAGCGTAATTTTTAAAAGCGTCGAATGTTGGGAAATTTATGCGCTAATGAAAAAATCAAATACCAGATAATAGTTGTTTATTTTATCTAAATTATGTCAAAATTTCATAGAATTCCAAGCTACAGCAGGTAGTCGTTTTTATGATTTTTTTCCTAGGATGTTCTCGATCTATATTCTGCGATATTCCCAACATTTGTGAATTTATTGTATTGCATTGACAAAAATATTCATCCGGCCCGTTTCAACACAATTTGAGTCATACCCGGCCCGCGGTCAAAAAAGTTTGGTGACCCCTGGTCTACGGTGACAGATAGCATACCCGTACAACTTTGTTTTAGTCTTCGTGTCTACATATTTGGGCATCGTTCTCTGATTTTCTCTCTTTTTTTTTACTCTTTTTTTATATAATTTATAGATGAGTAGATCTACATAATATTTTATCTAAAAAGGGAATTTCCTACACTGTTGAGTAGAGGATTAGTTCAAAATAAAGAAGAATTTAACATCAAATACTCTGTCTTCACTTTTTTCAGAGTGACTTCATATATATCCTCAGTAATTTTATGATAATATTGTAAATGAAAATAGTTTTATAAAGTATAGAATCCCGACTTGCAATGCCTCGACTTGATCTCCTAATATTGTATATGTTTGTTAGCTGTCCCGATTTCAATCCTGTACAAGGTATTGAATGTCAACTGGGTTATGAACTAACAATTCCGGGCATATCAGAAAACAAAAGTACAGTCGTCGAAAATTGCACGACATGGATGACGCTAGATCCTGTATGTTTCCGAATGGAGGTAGTGATATCATTGAACGTAATTCAAAAAGGTAAGTTCCATAAAGCGAATTGATAGCGAAAACGCCACTCTGAAAATTATCATATATTTAACATTGCGACCTAGCATAACTTTGAAGTACTGATGGAATTCAGTTCAAAAATGAAAATGCTCCACTGTTATTCAAGATCAAAGTGCTATTTTCTGATTAACAAATTATTAACTTATTATGTGATGATAAACAAGTAACTATACCTGTTATTAATAGATATATATAGATTGTGATTTTCTATTGCTTTCTATCTTTAATACGAGTCAAACTTTCTTTTTTATATTTTTGGGCAAATGGTGTAAATATTAAACCAGAACATTTGAATTGTTTCTGATCTTGTATATATATTTATTGTGTTTTTTATAAGATGCACAGGGTGTGTATATGAATTGCCATCCTCGTAGCAATTGCACTGAAATAACATGCGATGATTACAAAGACTCAACTACGCATCAGGTATCCAAGCAGATGAAGTACTGATAAAGTAAGATCTCAACATTTGTAACTAATTCGAAGCTGTATTCCAGTTCGTCTTACAAACCACACAATATTAGATGAATTGTTACATTGTGTTGCATAGGATGCTCCGCATTGCCTGAAAAAAAAAACGTTTTGCCCTAAATTCTTGAACAGATTCGGAAGCCAAAGTTTCTTACTCGCGGACTACTCCAACGGTAATATAGACTTTAACGCGCCTCTTTTGATATTTATTGTAGATTCCATATGATATATACAAAATTCAATCAAGTATTTTGGTTTTGTTTTTTATTCAGTATAGGGTAATAATCAACTCGACATGAAAACATCAAACTGGGGTGCACAGGCCTACTTACTAAATTATCCCGCTGCATTTAAAAAATAATTTACTCATACAAGTGTTATTCATAAATTGAGCACCGATCGAGTACGGTACAATTCAAGTATATATATGTCTCAACCAGATGTGTAAAAGGTTCACCCAATCCAAGTCCCAAATTATTTATCCCATGTCAATGTAAAAAATCTGACCCGATTGACAATTCATGCACATATACCCTCAACACTATTGGCGTGGTACGTGGAGTTAATCGAAAGCATTTTATGTCTGGTTAGAAGCGCATTTTTGAACTATAGATGCAATGAGTTACAATATACATGATTTAATTTAGATCGTGCGAGGTTCGATGCTGCGACACTAACAGCTGCAATGGCGTTATTATGACTGATAGCCCGGAAACCACGGTCGTAACGGCATCAGGTAATTAATACATTTATTGCATAAATATATTAACCCAGAAAATCAGTGAAAAAGTGAATTATTAGTATATATGAATTTTTGGAGTTGAAATTCGTTTTAAGGATCAAAGGAATTTAATTTTCTTGCGTGTATTCAATCAAGCAGATGGTGTGGATTCTAGAAACAAACCTTCCAGTCTCAGATGTTTATTTCTATGAATTTTATTTATAATTTTCGGGTCGACTTCCCATGTGGTAATCCTGGCACTTTACTGCTTTTTAACGACATGAAAAAAATGATAAAAATTCTATCTTTAACAAAAGCTATATTTTGTAAAATATAATTGTGATTTTACTCGCTCATTTTTTCTTGTTTCATTTACTTATCCTCGCGGTACGCGTTCAACACAGTGTTAACAAACAAAAAGGAGTGGAATGTAAATACCGTATATCCCCGCTGAACTGCTTCGTGAATTAAAAAAAAAGTAGACGCAGGGCTATTCTTCTTAAAAAGATAAATGAATAGGAGGAGATTTTGAAATTCTATTTGCATTTTTCCTGCGACTTTTTAAGATATTATTTGTTTATTGCAGAATCTCCTGACCTTACAACTTCTGGGACGAAAATAATTGCACCGTCATTTGCAATATTCATTGCTATAATGTTTTCAGTGTATATGGAATTCAAATTTGATTAAGCATTAACAAAATGTCATTAAATCTATCAATGGATTAATTTTCTTGATATTTGAGTTGATAATTTTAATAAACTCTTTAGAAAATGTCTTTTAACGGATGAAAATAACCGAAATCAATGTGTATATGCATCAAGCCGTTGAATAATTTCAAAGGAACTGGACGGGGTTGAATCATTTATGTTTTGGTTACACAAACGAAACTATTACTAATTCTGAATTGTTGTCGAGACATAAGTTTCAGCATACGCATTTTTTAAAAGTGTCAGAATTAAATGCAGATATTGGCTATTGAAGCGATAACTTATAAATAGACAATTTGTTACTTTGTACGACGATGCGTTATAGATGATTCGCGCTGAAGTAGCAACCCAAATATTGAACTTCAAATATTGAACTATATTTAACAAGACAAACCAGAAAAAGTACCAAAGTAGCACTAATATGCAGCCGATTTGTGTACAATGTATAGAAAGTTTGTTTTGGTCATTCCTCGAAGATGAGAGTCATCGACTTACTGAAATTGATTAAAAACATAAGACATAATAATTGCACGTATTCTATAAATGTGCGTCTTCAACCAAAGCAATCATTGCATGTCCGGTTTCCTATCTCTTCAAATTATTCAAAATATGAGCGCGATCGCGACTGCCTACACTGTTTCTATTGGACTCCGACAGTTTTGCACAACAGACAGGTCATAATTTTATACTTGTACAGTTTATCTGCTGGCTGAATATAACAATTGTATCGGATTATCCTTTTTGATACTCTGTTCGTTGCCGATTTATATTTTAAGACCGACAAAGACAAAACAATATAATATTTAGGTCGAAGCTTAATATCCCCAATTTCTAAAAAACATACTATTTAATCAGTGTTCAAGTTTGCTTAATATCCAGATTTCGTCTCCATTTTGAAGCTGTAAAACCTGTTTGAGTAAATCAGTATATATACACTAAATCAGTGTTTCTTAAAAAAAATTTCCAGCAGCGTTTCCTTGGACGAGTTTTTGACTAACAAACGATCTTCTACATCCGTAGCCATCTCATTACCTCACTCACTTCAGTAACCGCTGCTCTAAATCAAAATATTCCTAATAACTTCAGTTCAGTTTCTTATCTCACAAACGTGGAAAGCAGATGTGTAGCACCCAAAGCAAAAACATTTTTATTCTGGATGAAAATTATCACAGGCCCTTTCCCAAGTTCTCATAGCTGTATAATGGGTTTTAGTCTGATTGCAATTGAATGTTCCAAGCGATAGTAATATAAATGAATGAGAAAAGATGACGAATTCCAGTCTGCAGTTAATTCCTGCTCCAGTTAATTGCAGTCTGATGCGGAGGTAATTTGCGCGAGGCAGACCATTCAAATATGTAGCCACGTCGTTCACAGACTTGTTGTTACGGGGCGCATCGCATAGAAGCACTATATACGCTTGCGCTAAAACTGATCATATATTTGGCATGAACATGACTGCTTTTGTTATTATCACCAGACCTTTGCCACAAGAGGGAAATTCATTGTGAACTTAATAATAAACCGTTAAGTAATATTTAGACTTAATGTGGTTGATATTCCGAACTATATATGATCTACAAGGGGATTCTGGTCGAACTGATCGCGGATAAAATTCTTTATACAACTGGTAAAATTACCTGTTCAAAATGGCGACTCGTATAAGGATTTCCATATTTATTCCATGTAAACGTATAATGGCGGTTCATAGCCCATAGGGAAAAATATGGGGTCTCTCGTCTGGTTGTCAGTTTAGTTTGAATGTTGTATTACGTACTATTGTCACCAACCAACGTGCAAAAGAAAAGAAAAGCATATTAATCTGAGTTCAGCGATTTGTGGGACACATTTTTATCTACCCAGCCTATTTATCGTTTTAGTAAACTTCAGTATCAGGGATGGATATAATACATGGTCAAAATCACTATTTGAATGGCCTCCATCATAAATGGCTATAGGGCTGCAATTTGGATAATGGGTTTTAATTTTAGGACAGAAGCCGCAATTTAGCGTCCCAGGTTATCTATGTCTTAAATTGAATAGCGTGACAAGTTGGTAATAATTTAGAACCAACCAATACTGTATGCCATAAACAGCAATTTTATTCTTATAGAACAACATTATGGTTATGGGATTTAGGATAATTTTTCATCTTTCAAGCATACTAGTATATTGCGTGGTTAGCGTGGAATCCAGACGATGTCAACATGGGTACAGGGTCGATGCTATGAGTTTATTCAACTTGGATGAAATCTCAACGAAAACGTGCAGTCCCGCTTTAGGATTGGATGCTGTTTGTCTTCGAGTAGAAGCATCTCTGTCTTATCCATTGGGGAACTTGAGTGAGTATTTGTTTTTAAAATAATCTAATTTGGTTCACAAACGCTCTTGTTGATAACTTAAATGTCATTCATATTGTGGAATTCCTAAAGATACTCGCACATTTGCTCGTCTAAGACTGTAGAAGACCAATGAAAAGTGTCTAAGTTAACATGTATGAAAAAGATTGTTTGTTATGCTCTATGTAAGTTCACTACCAATCGATATAAAATAAAATGGAGTTCATGTCGGCTATATTACTAAAATGGAATTGAAATTGATTTATGTTCTCATGATGGCGTCAACGTGCTGTTTGGTGAAAAACACTATGCAATAACAAGACGGTATGTACCAAAGATTAGGGTTACCATATTTTTTTGACTTCAAAGCGGGACGCCTCCAAGGACACGACCCCTTAGCTGTAATCCTGTAACTTTACAGTTTCCGATTTTACTACACAGGCCTACATTTAAAGCCATCCCGGCTGTCTTCATTGACCATATTGTCATCGAGAGTTCATGCGCATATTCTCTGTCTAAATATCGGGTTCAGTTCGAAAAATAGAAAGGAATAGACGCTAACGATACAAAGGATCGGAATTTAGATTTTTTTTTGTTGTACAGCAAAAGAAATAAAGAATAATGAGATAGTCTGCCGTTCCCAAGCATTGAGAATTTACCTATTCGCCCAAGCATGCTTTTCTGTAGATAACGACCATCAAAAAGACGTTGCTCAATGTTACATTCACGTGAACGTCCGAACAGGACCAATAAGAATTGATTTTACATGTGATACTTCGCTAACAATGTTAGCGGGAAACAACGAAACAAACAAAATAACGCATTCACCTTCAGTAAGTAGGCTAGCGTTGCGCTACACAGCAACAACAGTTACGAGAACATGTTCGTGTATTATGCTGGATGGCTGAACGCAAAAGCAGGACATTTAGCTGACTTGTCGGGACGGCGGGACAAGACAAGACACTAAAAAGCGGGACTGTCCCGCCTAAAGCGGGACGTATGGTAAGCCTACCCAGGATGGACAGAGCCTATATACCATTGAGCGCGTTACCGACACTGCCAATTCGTTTGAGCGCTGCGCGTCTCATAGGTATCCTTGAGTGAGCGGCATACTGTGGCTAACGATTAATCATTTTCATAAAAATTCCCAAGGCTTCTCCAGTTTATGGAGTATCGCGATAAAAAATGTCTTGTTAAAAAGAGTATTTTCTCCTGCGGAGGGTAGCGTTCTTGGAATAGGAATTTTCGAAAATGGTGAAAACTTGTGAGAAAATTGAAAATTTACTAACGATCGACGCGTTATTGCGTCGCTGCCATGGAAACGGAAACAGCAATCCCAATTATCGACGAAACGCGAAAAAATATGGAAAATTTCAAATAAATCGATCCAGCGGTTTAGACGCTACAGCTTCGACACACAGATACACAGACAGAACGACTGGGAATAAGGGTCTTCAAGAGCGGAGATTCATTATAGAAGCAAAATAGTGTCCACGGCAGTAAACTGGTGAATAATGGTTCAATATGGCTGCATAATGGCGATGAGTGATAAGTAGGAATCAATGCCCTCGTCTTTGTTGCGTAACCGTGCGGGTTCGTTAGGGTCTAACACTAAAAAGCACTCTATTGAGCATTTTCAATCATTGATTTAATATTATTTGCAATTCACTAAAAATTGTTTGCTTACGAATAGCAAAAAAGTAATGTTTTGGTTGACTTATGGTTGTAGTTCATAAGTGAAATGCTATTATACTAACACGATATCGTTTCATTCATTCTATTGGGCCACATATTCTTACGTGCGAAAGTAGGTATATATAGTAGAAACTTTTGGATAGAATATTTGTAGCCAGATATACTGTATAACATTATGTAATATCATTATTAATTATTTAGTGACAGTCACTGGAGATGCCATCATTGGGGAATGCAAAAGCAGAATAAACTGCACGGAATCAACTTGCGAATCATACATTCCCACTGTGAAGAAATTAGTCGGGTCAAAAATAGATGTTGATCTTCTTCAAATTGAGTATAATTTTATAATGAATTTAGAAATTTTTGTTTGTTATTTCCATATTTCATATAAGATACTAGATGACTTTAAATAAGTGTTCCTTCCAATACATAGAATCCATCATTTGTTGGACACTGTAAAAAAGCTTGACTTAATCATAATTTTGTTTCGACCATGATAACAATATTCAAACAAGAAATGAATTTGTATTTGTTTTCTCCATTTTTGTCACGTCATAATTAGAGGTTCCGTGGCAGCATTTTGGATTTTATTTCAAAATCAGTGGATAGGATATTGGTGTAGAAAATACTTTAATTTTGTCTGATACAGAAAACAATTAATAAAAACATTTTGTTATTTTATGGCGCTATTACAATATTGGTGTTACGACAAAGAAAATATCCATGCCATTGGCTTTATGTATGTGACAATGTTATAGATTATCTGTAAGGAATTTGATTTAAAATAGTCAATTATTCGTATAATTAAATAACTATAAAATAATAAAAAATGTTCCACGAGAGAACATGAGGATTTGCATGACAAATCTCTATAGTCAATATTCTATTTAATAAGCATTTGATTCTTTATTATCAGTGACTGCAAGATTGGTTGTTGTGACACTGATGATTGCAATGAAAATGAAATTAACTTCATGAATACAATTGCTCCATTTATACCAACAACATCAATTACAACAGGACCTGCCACAGGTCTTACTTATATAAATCTTTTACAGGATAAAAATAAATCAAATTGATTTTAATTACCTATTCTGGAGGTGTGATAGAATAAATTATTGTATATACAAGAATATTTAGTTAGAACCCAGAGTCCACAATATTTGGTTTCCGAAATTGTATAGTCCATTACAAAACGTTCAGAGAAATAACGGGAATTGACTAAAATAAATTTTTACTGATTTTAGTGTATAAGAACTTACTTCGTGAATGTGTGCCAATTACTGTAATTAATACACTGTAATTAATTATTTTTAATTAACGTAAACGATGTTTCTTTCATTGAAATTTTTACCACTTGTTTAAATTGATAGAAGAAAATTCAATTGCGTCATATACTCGTGTATCACTATTATATGTATATAATTTTGGCCCGTTACCGAATGAAATTTGTTGTCAGGTGACAAATATGGAATTGTAAATAGATTTTGGATTATAGTAATAAATTATTGGCTATATTACTGATTTCTCACTCACGGTACACATGTCTCCTTTTAGTTTCCTCGGTTGCAACCGTATTACGATTAAATAAAAGTACGGCTCCTGCTGCAAATTCGCATTTATCCATGCCAACAACAATGTCAAATGCATCATCTGAAGATACGACAACGTGTGCGGCTAACAGAATATCCATACAAAGTTCTATTGCATTTTATTTGTCTGTACAGATTCTGTTTTATTTGATTTTTACGTAATTCCGTTTTCCCGATATATGCCAGCAGCACCCTATAGATCTGTACTATTGCTGGCTTCCAACTTCTTGAATATATATATCCTGCTTCAATAAACCATTAAATTTGTTGCAACCCGGACAGTCGTAGTTTAATAACAAGATTGTGTTTAAAAGGAGATGTTTATGCAGTGCCTCAAATTTAGCTCCAGTAGAGAAATAAGATAGTCCACATCTAGCTTCAATCTCAGCTTCAAGTTGAGTGTGTAGCTACATTGTAAACGAAAGAGTCAGGAAACTGAATTACATTGTAAAATATCAACATTCTCTTCTGCTTTCGATCAACCATTTGTGATGTTTTGTTTTTACTTTACATTAGTGACACAACGAGTAATATCAAGGAGTTCGAGAAGACGTCAGTTAACTTAATTGATTTTATTTTGGATTCATATCAGCTGAAAACTAATTGAGTGCCTGTTTGACGGTACCAAAAAAAAAAAATACAAATGCCAAACAAATGAGAAGTAACTCAGGGAGTAAATAGGTGGAAAATTTGAGATAAGAATGGCACAAAAAATGATTGACTCAGATATACTTGTTAGACCACCAAGCTAATTAACTTTGATTATCAATAACCCAATCCGTTATGCATTCGTAAAATGCGGCAACTATATTATTTAATGTTGTATATATCATACATATGAGCACGCAGTCGGGATGAAAAAGAAATTCATATCCAGCAATTGTCATATGCATATGCCGTAACATCAATGTACATATACAGCCACTCAAGCGATTTACATATATATAACCAACGCATGATACATATAAGCTTCAGCCATTCAAGTTATGTACATACATATTCAATGCCATATTAATATACAGCCATTCATACAGCTGTATATGTATTTGAGTTGGCTGTATATGCATCATTTGGGGCTGTATATGTATAGCACGTTACCAACCCAATCACGAAACATCTTAAAGACGAAATGAAAACTGAGCTGTGTGATGACATATATGCTCCAAGTGCCTGGCACGATAAAACTATGGTCGAACCAACGTTGGTCCATACAAATGCAACAACAGGTAAACGAGAATATCGGTCAGAAACCGGAGACTTATCGATCGAAAGTTAGGGGATCCCCCAAAACAGCGCTTTTACTCCATAGTGACACCTTGTGTCCCATCACTAATTAATTAATTACTCGCTAATTATACGACATAATTCGCCTAAAATCAATAGGCTTCTGCTCCGAGATAAGATGAATGCACATGCAAAATTTAGAAAGAAATGCCATATTAGAAAGATTGATACAGAGAAGCATCAGCCAACTTATATTTTGCCGGTCCTACTTGAACTCTAACGGTCTTTTTAAAGACATTTTCCAATCATTTCATATTTCTTTGTCATTTGATCAGATAGGTTGACGTTTTATATATATTTTTGAATCCTGTTGCTCTATGTCAAAATTATGTGACCCATTTTTGATATTTGGTTTTCAGAACATTTTTTCATTGTGAAATATTATATAATACATGTATTGAAAATAATTTTCAATTGAATTAAGTCATAAATGTGCACAATTTACTAGGTCACCACTGAGAGAATATCGTCTTTTGAATGCGTCATAAGCATATATAAGAAAAATGAATAACATTGAATATTTTGAGTAATTGTGAATGTTGAAGTAGTGCATATTTTACATGTGTTCTATGAGAGTGTCAATTTACACATGGAAACTTCGTTTAAAAGCGCTATTATTGAATAAATTGATGTAGATATTGCAACAAAATTGTCTCTAACCAAGCGTGAAATGATGGAAATAATGTTCGGAATTTTATGAAGTTTTATTTGTTATCATGTTTGCGGCGCCAACTTACCACGTATCATATAATGAAACAATAGTGCGTCATGAAGAAAGCATATATTAATTTCAAATTCTTTTTTGCAGTTATTTCATGTAGACTAGTTTAACATTTTCAAATAGTGCTTGCACGCTACATACATGATCATCGTTTGATATAATTATATAAATGTAACAGTTCATTACACAGTATTACCACAATTTTTTGTGTTTTTCGTGGTATAGTTTTTGATATGTAGCCTACTTGTTTCACTTGGTTATTACATATACACGGACTCGTGTTTTTGAATGATCATCGTTTGATATAATTATATAAATGTAACAGTTCATTACACAGTATTACCACAATTTTTTGTGTTTTTCGTGATATGGTTTTTGATATGTAGCCTACTTGTTTCACTTGGTTATTACATATACACGGACTCGTGTTTTTGAATATTTTGTTGTATTTGATAAATATTGACTAGAATATTTTAGACTGAGTTTGAGAAGTAATGTGTAATTATTAATATAGTTGTTAATATTTAGGAAGTCAAAACAACGTACAAGGATATTTGCGCGATTTGAAATAGTCGTTCTTGGCAAAACTATGAGCATGTGACAAAGAGAATTCTTGAGATAAATTTTTATTTTTTAAGATCCGATAAGTGAATCATTAAAAAACTGCAACAGAAAGAACGATAACAATTTATCATCCGTATGCGTATTTCTAGTCCCAATCATATAAATTAAGAAAGAGTACGATTAAACTATGAGTAATAAAATATATGAGGGTGTCGTAAGCACGCTCACTTATTTGAGATAGAATCAGGCCAAAATTTATAATCCAATTGCTTTCAATTTTAGAGTAGGCCTCAAAACTGAATAAAAAAACACAATCAAATAACACGGGTAATCATTTTTGATATCTTGTAAACTCAGTTATTTAAGATTTGAGACTTGAAAAATGTTTTAAAATTTCAAGAAAAGTCGAACGTTTTCCGACTCGACTCACTACCCTGATGCAGAATATTGTTTAAAATTGGATTACGTTGAAATTACTGATTGAATTTGCCAATTTCTAATCAATGCAGTTATTATTGTAACATATTTGTGAAGTTAAAATGCTGTTTATCTTCATATTGACACTTTTTTTACAATTTCATGTTGATGTAATTGGATTGAGTGGTAAGTTTATTTTTCAAACTGAATTATTGACGAGATATACAAAAGATATAAGATATAAGATCGAGAAAAGTCAGCAATGAAAAAATCGAATAATAATCATGTACAAGAAACAAAACGTTTAAAAATCTGCTTTCTACCTAGTCGTAACTGGATATTTTCACGGTAGGTTTCCAGAAAAGCAAAATACAGTAGGCTAGGCCTACAATTTCAAATGGAGCGAAAACAATTCCAGATAGTTTTGCCGCCCTGCTATCCTGCCTCAAACCACTGATGTTTTGGTACTCCCGAAGTATTTGAAACAAGATGACGGACATTGGAACGTAGTATGTGTACCAAGCTGGGGTTAGACCATAATTCCAGGTAAAAATACTACGAGAGTCACTTCATTAGTCCTCGAAACTCATAATAGAACTAAAATAAGGAAAATTGTAAAACAATTGTGGCCTAACCCTAACCTGGTACACATACTACGTTCCGGTGTCTGCCATCTTGGTTCACATACTTCGGGGGTACAGAAACATCAGTTGTTTGAGGCAGGACAGCAGGGCTGCAGTTTTGACATATATACATATACATATATACATACATATATATATATATATATATATTATGTTATATCAGCAACAGACGTATATACAAATAAATGTTATTACCACGAGAAACAAACAATCACGGATTTACGAAAAATTATTGACAAATAACAAATCATTGCTAGTGTTTACTTTGTTCATACTTAACCTAAGTTTTCGAATCGACAGAAGCACCAACCCCTCCACCACTGGAATCTACGGAATCGACAGAAGCACCAAGCCCTCCTCCACTCGAACCCACGGGATGGACAGAAGCACTTATCCCTCCTCCCCTCGAATCTACGAAATTGACAGAAGCACCAACCCCTTCTCCACTCGAACCTACGGAATCGACAGAAGCACCAACCTCTTCTCCACTCGAACCTATGGATTCGACAGAAGCACCAACCACTCCTCCACTCGAACCTACGAAATCGACAGAAGCACCAACCCCTCCTCCACTCGAACCTACGGAATCGACAGAAGCACCAACTCCTCCTCCACTCGAACCCATGGAATCGACAGAAGCACCAACCACTCCTCCACTCAAACCTACGGAATCGACAGAAGCACCAACCTCTCCTCCACTCGAACCTACGGAATCGACAGAAGCACCAACCCCTTCTCCAATTGAATCTACGGGATCGACAGAAGCACCAACCCCTTCTCCACTCGAACCTACGGAATCGACAGAAGCACCAACCCCTCCTTCACTCGAATCTACGGAATCAACACAAGCACCAACGACTCCTCCACTCGAACCTACGGAATCGACGGAAGCAACAACCCCTCCTCCACTCGAATCTACGGAATCGACAGAAGCACCAACCCCTCCTCCACTCGAACCTACGGAATCGACAGAAGCAACAACCCCTCCTCCACTCGAATCTACGGAATCGACCGAAGCATCAACTCCTCCTCCACTCGAACCCACGAGAGCGACAGAAGCACCAGCCCCTCCTCCACTCGAATCTACGGAATCGACACAAGCACCAACGTCTCCTCCACTCGAACCTACGGAATCGACGGAAGCACCAACCCCTCCTCCACTCGAACCTACGGAATCGACAGAAGCACCAACCCTTCCGCCAATCGAATCTACGGAATTGACCGAAGCATCAACCCCTCCTCTACTCGAACCTACGGAATCGACCGAAGCAACAACACCTCCCCCAATCGAATCTACGGAATTGACCGAAGCATCAAGCCCTCCTCCAATCGAATCTACGGAATTGACCGAAGCATCAACCCCTCCCCCAATCGAATCTACGGAATTGACCGAAGCACCAACCCCTCCTTCACTCGAACCTACGGAATCGACAGAAGCAACAACCCCTCCCCCAATCGAATCTACGGAATTGACCGAAGCATCAACCCCTCCTCTACTCGAACCTACGGAATCGACCGAAGCAACAACACCTCCCCCAATCGAATCTACGGAATTGACCGAAGCATCAAGCCCTCCTCCAATCGAATCTACGGAATTGACCGAAGCATCAACCCCTCCCCCAATCGAATCTACGGAATTGACCGAAGCAACAACACCTCCTCCAATCGAACCTACGGAATTGACCAAAGCACCAACCCCCTCCCCAATCGAATCTACGGAATTGACCGAAGCAACAACACCTCCTCCACTCGAACCTACGGAATCGACAGAAGCATCAACCCCTCCTCCACTCGAACCTACGGAATCGACAGAAGCATCAACCCCTTCTCCACTCGGACCTACGGAATCGACCGAAGCAACAACACCTCCCCCAATCGAATCTACGGAATTGACCGAAGCATCAACCCCTCCTCCAATCGAATCTACGGAATTGACCGAAGCATCAACCCCTCCCCCAATGGAATTCACGGAATTGACCGAAGCAACAACACCTCCTCCAATCGAACCTACGGAATTGACCGAAGCACCAACCCCTCCCCCAATCGAATCTACGGAATTGACCGAAGCATCAACCCCTCCACCACTCGAACCTACGGAATCGAGCGAAGCAACAACACCTCGCCTAATCGAATCTACGGATTTGACAGAAGCACCAACCACTCCTCCACTCGAACCTACGGAATCGACAGAAGCACCAACCCCGCCTCCACTCGAATCTACGGAATCGACACAAACACCAACGTTTCCTCCACTCGAATCTACGGAATCGACACAAGAACCAACGTCTCCTCAACTTGAATCTACGGAATCGACAAAAGCAACAACCCCTCCTCCACTCGAACCTACGGAATCGACAGAAGCACCAACCCCTCCTCCACTCGTACCTACGGAATCGACAGAAGCAACAATCCCTCCCCCACTCGAATCTACGGAATCGACCGAAGCATCAACCCCTTCTCCACTCGAACCTACGGGATCGACAGAAGCACCAACCCCTCCTCCAGTCGAATCCACGGAATCGACAGAAGCACCAACCCCTCTTCCACTCGAACCTACGGAATCGACAGAAGCAGCAACCCTTCCTCCACTCGAACCTACGGAATCGACAGAAGCACAAACCCCGTCTTCAATCGAACCTACGGAACCGACAGAAGCACCAACCCCCTCTCCACTCGAACCTACGGAATCGACTTTTTCTACATTTCCAACTACTGAAACGACAACAAGACCAACTTTATCTACATTCCCAACCACTGAAATGACAATAGGACCAACTCTTTCTACATTCCCAACCACCGAAATGACAACAGAACCAACTCTTTCTACCTTCCCAACCACTGAAATGACAACAGAACCAACTCTTTCTACATCCCCAACCACCGAAATGACAACAGAACCAACTCTTTCTACATTCCCAACCACTGAAATGACAACAGGACCAACTCTTTCTACATTCCCAACTACTAAAACGACAACAGGACCAACTCTTTCTACATTCCCAACCACTGAAACGACAACAGGACCAACTCTTTCTACATTCCCAACCACTGAAATGACAACAGGACCAACTCTTTCTACATTCCCAACCACTGAAATGAAAACAGGACCATCTTCTTTTACTCCCCCAACAACTAATTTGACAGCAGAACCAACGGCAAGTCATATTGCCGACGGTACGTAAACAAAATTTGTTTAATTTACTATATAAGAACTTATTTTAATGAAATACCCTTTGTATCGCCATTTCGGCAGTCGCGCACGATTGTAACACAATACAAATGTAAAAAAGGAAATACCTACTTCAAAATCATATGATATTAACAGCATTGATTTTTCGAGATGTCCGAGATACGCTTTGAGTGAATAAGACGATAAAATCATAAAACATAGTTCACGAGTCTCCATAGGCTTAACACAATTTAAAAAAAGGTTAATCGTCGTCTAAATTTGCGAAAACCAATGTGTTAATATGAAAACGGAGAATATACTTCAATTGGCGGCAGTAGTCGCCTTTAGCATTGAATCCGTATATAAATCGCTTTTGTTTTATTCCGAAAAATAACACTGGGACCTATTTTTGGGGAATGTCTTTTATTTTCATTTATTAAAAACAAAATTACAAAGTACAGAATTACGAGATTTTTAAATATATAAATATGAAACCGATATCTAATTACTTATAAATAACACGTTCTTATTTAAAAAAAATGCTAAACATAGATTATTCAAAAATGACCGTATTATCATCCTCTGAAATGTCTTACAAGTCACTAGATTCATATCGACTAAATCAAAAAAGTTCGCGCTATCGAATAGGTCTTATTTTTATTTTGCAAGGAGATGGCTTATATTAAAATCATTTTTAAAATTCAGGCTTGGTCCTATTTTCGGGTTAGGTCCTATTTTCGGGGAAACACAGTACTACGGGCATCTTAATCATGCCATATGCAGCAACTTGTCTTGCAATGAATATTGTTTTATATTGGTTGCGAGAAAATGAAAACTGAAAAACGGCAAAAAATATATTACAGATATAAATATTGATTTCTGGCTTCGTCCTGAATAAACTTTTGGATATGCATTTGCAGTGCATGCGATTATGCTATTCTTGTGCAAGCAAATATATATAGGTCAACGCTGCATTACATTTTCCCATTCTTTTATCAATATCGCCTTACCAGACGAAATATTTTTCTCGTTCAATACGATATAATCAATATTTACCACGCTTGTCGCGAATCCTGCGGAAATAAATTAATAGAATGTAATTTTATCCAAACTCTAAATTTTCTAGATACTGCAAAAATGTGCACATTTCCAACTGAATTTTCTGATTGCGCAAGTGCATGTCAACCAACATGTGATAAACCAATGCCCGAAATTTGTACACTGCAATGTGTTTCCGATCCATGCGTATGTGCTGAAGGATACATCAGGAAAAGCGACAAGAATAGTACATGTGTATTGAAAAACGAATGTAAGTATTTCTCGGCGCCGAAAATTTCCATGATTTAAACATTTTCCATGAATGCACCTAATTTTCAATGTTCAGCTCCTTATTTTATTGTAACACACATCGTGTGTGTGTGTGTGTAGTATGAAAGTATATGGCGCTTTCAACAATTTAAATCAAACTTTTAATGCGTATAGTACTCTCTTGGTGGACTTTACAAAATCAAAAAGAGAAGAGAAAATTCTAGTGTTGCCCAACGTCTTTTATGTTGTACAAAATATCTAATTTGAAATTAGGTGAATATAGTACTGTGAGTGAAGGAATACATCCCTTTCAATCGCAGTTGCACTGAGCTTGTTGGTCTCAGGATTGAAACTCGTATGAGCGGTTTTACCACAATTAAAAGTATTGTCATTGCAGGTTCAAAAACGTGCAACGATTCGAAAATGGTAAGTCAATGTGCTCCTTCTTGTCCACCGACTTGCATTGACCCATTCCCAAAATGCAACACAACAAATTGCAGTGATGATCCATGCGTGTGTCCGGAAGGTTATGTATTAAAAAGCATAGACGATGATAGATGTATACTCCGGCATGAATGTGAAGGTATTTACCTTGATTATTAATTTTTGAATGAATTATGTTGAGGTATTCTTGCCATTAATGCACCTCATATGATCAACTGGACAGAAATTTGTTCTCACAAGTCTATGAATGCAATAATGTTGCATTATATTTTCAAATTGGCGTTTCGGAAATTTTGTTTGTTTTCCTGTGCACGTGTCGTTAGAGCTTATTTACTGGATAGTTTGAGCTGAAAATTACTCTATTAAAAATCTATGCATATATGATACGCACCATCAACGACAAATGATGCAATGTTGCTGATAGAAAAAGAGCTGTTGGTGTAAAATTATTTAGGTTGCCGTATAATCACGTATAATTCAAATGTTGTTCACCAAAAATATATCAAACAAATAATTTATATATCCGCGATCCGTTATAATTTCCTGCGTTTTGTGACTGGTATTCGATGGCTTATTTGGTATTATGGAACTAAAATGCCCAACTAAGTGCTCATCATATTATGTCAGGGGGTGTTTGAAGTCTGCCGACAGTTTTCACGTTCTATTCAAATTCATAAGGCCGTCTGGTATGAAGGGAATGTATATACCAGTGGTTCTCAACCGGGGGGCCGGCCCCCCCCCCCCCCCAAGGGGGCCACGAAGCAGTTTCAGGGGGGCAACGACACAAGTCTTATAATTGGTCATAAGGCGACTTCGTTTGCATAATTTCCTTCCAAAATCAAATTCCCTGTTTCGGCGTTCATCGCATTTTTATTACCTAACTAGGTTATTTGCGATCACTGGGTGTAAACACTTTCTTGTGCGTGAATTGTTTGATCATAATGCATACGCAGGTGGAAGACTTTGTCACAACCGTTGTGCGAATCTGTTTTTTCTGATCTTGTTAGCATCAAAACCGTCTCAAGTTTGACAGTGACATTCGTCTGGCTATGCTATATCAATGACGGTCCTTAGAATTAGGAACCTCGTCAGACAATCCAAAGCGCAAGATACACATTTGTTGTATACTAAAAAGCTTGACCTTCCTTGTCTGTGGTTTGTTTTTGCATTCCATAAATAGTCGTGAAACATACAATTCAACACGTTTAGTTTTTGGAATATCGTACAGGGAGCCACGAGAGCAAAACGGCGCCGGAAGGGGGCTACGAACCATCAAAGGTTGAGAACCACTGGTATATACTGTAGCCATCAAAACTTAATTCACGGACTCCAAGGCTTCTAGCAGCGCACGAAAAGGATTCAAGGTCGCCGATTTAAAGACTCTGTAAACTAGCTTTCCAAATTACGCAAATTTCTGCGCGAATCACGTTTTGATATAGAAGTAATTATGTCTTACAAGGCCGAAGGAAAAGGGAAATTGATTTCTGAGGTGGACTTTCCGGGAAAAGCTGAATAATGTGAAAAAGAGGGCATTATCCACTCGCAGCACAATAGCGTTATCACTGAAATTGTAAGGCTGTTAGTATATATCATAAAAATAGTATTTCAGGTCTGTGGTTTCGAACCTATTCCTCAAAAGCACGGATTGCCACCACTGTAGATATATTTTTACATCGATGGGCATGGATCGGCAATGACTCAAAAACAAGTATATTTAACTAATTTTGACGGGATGAGTATTTTTCTCGTAACGCTCTAGAGCAGTGGTTCCCAAACTGGGGTCCGCGGACCTTTTGGGGTCCGTGAAGCACTTTTGGAGGGTCCGCGAAAAAAATCTGTTATATGGCACATAGTTCGATAATAGAAATATTGAGTGCTTAAATTTGCAAACACGCATTTGTCCCCTTAGCAACCGCTGCTGGGGACACTGATTCCCCACTTTCTGTTTCGAACCCGATGCCCCATTGTGATGTCACAGAGCTGTGGGCCTGTGATATCACAGAGTGAGTTCAATTGATGCCATTACAAGCCGACCAACTGCAGAGGTATAGCTGAAGCTGCCTTTTGGCCCGTTTGTTGACGAGAGCAGGTGGGGAAGAGGTGTTTTTCACTATACCATGCGCGCACTGATTTTTTGTTGTGATCTTCTAACGTTTCATTTTAGTGCACAAGGCCGCGAATCATTAAAAAAATTGCGAGGAATCCGTCATGGAATTTTTTTTAAAAGGTTTGGGAACCACTGCTCTAGAGGCAATCATGTGATCATAAACAACTATAACGTCATTTTCAGACTTCTCATTTTGTACGCGGAAATGTCCTCCATTAGACATAAATAGAAGATGCGACGTGTCAGAGGCGTGGTCATGCTCATTAAATAATTGGAAGTGCAAAACATACCGTTGGAAGATGCTGATGGACAAGTGGTGGTACGTATTTTTCTATGTTCTCTATTATAGTTTAAATTTCATGAATATAGGTTTTGAATATAAGCTTTTTTCAGGCATGACAGCGGGTGCTCAACAAATGGATCGTCAACTACTTTTTGGGATAATCCCATGTTCAAAATAAAATGTCCTCACTTAGAAATAACTTGCCAGAATTCAACAGCACTTGAATGTGAAATAGACGTTCTCGGCTGCAACTCTTGTATATGTACTGATGGAAGATATGCAGGTAAGTCAATAAAGGATTTTGTCTTTCTTTCATTTCACCTGCCCATTTATATTACCTCACCCAATGATATGCTTCATCAGTTAAATATTATAGATAATAGTATAAGGGTTAATAACAAGAAAGCAGTGCTCAAATATACACGCGGGCGGTACTGCAGTCTTCGCAACTTCAGCTGACCACCCGATAGCAACGTTCGCGTACGCCAAAGTGACTAGGCGTACGCAAACGCAGAACCACCTCTAGTGCGCATTTTTAATTTGATGACGTCATCGTACATAAAAAATGAATGACATCGAGCCCACAGAAATTTTGAAATAAACTAAAAGTAATATCTTTCTAGTGACAATAGCAAAATATAATATTTGATGATTATTTTAGCCTAGATTTAGAAAATACACTCCATTATCTTTTTTGCTGAAATAAAACTTTGTAAGACATCATTTAGGAAACAGGTGTGTAGCAGGTCACAGTTAGTAAAATAAGATGCAAATTTGTGACAATTATTTATTCATGATGTTGCCGATACACGGCATTTATTTGTGTTTTGCGTTTATAAAGTACCGGTCTGGGTCAATCTTCTATATTGGTTCCATTGGTGCCGTGTTTAAAAGTCATAATATAATAAAACTCAAACTTCTTCTTCACTTCTTTCAGATTACGACCAGCTCCATGCCGTATGGCATCGTAACCAAATGATATATCAGGAATACATGAATGCATATGAGAATGTTCTTCAAATATACCGGGATGAAAATCATTGCTAAAGTTGGACTAAGATGACTTCCTTGGAAGAAGAATGTTTCTAATTTCTATACGGGCATCAGCGAACCCAAGAGCATGTTCATATCTTTAGTAACAATGGAGCTTACTTTTAGACTATTGATATTATTACCTTTTTTCTTTACATATATACATGTTTCAGATATTACGTTAGATACTTACATATTCCTTTTCTTTGTCACAACTCAGGTTGTTATAAAAAAAATTTTAAATACAGAATATTGATCGAAACACATTTTATCATTATTGTGAAAAGATTTAGCTGTTCAATCTCAATCTTAATCATCTTCGTGATTAAAAATTCATATGAACAAAGTCATTTAGAAAAGAAACCCATTTATCTATCAAATATCATGCTAATATGTTCAAAAAATTATAAAGTTTTTTGACGTATTTCAGTTGACTGATGATGCAAATTGTTTTGATTTAATCATAAGAATGATGACAATAGAAAGCTAAAATACTGTGGTGATTTGTAATATAGGGCTTATAGGCTATTAGACCGCCACCATTAGTAGCGCAATGTTTAGTATTATTTCGCATGCACGTTCTTGATAAAAGCCTGCCAATGTCACTTTCTTTGGTGATCTTATGACGAGTTCTCCTTCGATTTTGGAAACATTAACTGGATTACATATATATATTCATACTATTCAAATGGTAACTGCGACAAATTCCATTTTTCAATGTTTTCCCCGGCCAGTAGTTTTTCGGCTACTATGGCCGCGATGTTTGCGTTCTGCATTGCCGCGACTGCAACTAATTTATTTTCCTTGAAATAAAAAGCGGAAAATTTTCCATTGGCGATGTCACCATGAATCATTACTTCATCGTGGTCTTCTCCATATCCTGTAATAATAAATTCTCAGTAAGTTCGTAATAAGATTGACGTTACTTACTATCCATACTGAAATTTATAAGTTTGCTTGAAGTAACTAATTAAAGCGAAAGGGGCAAAGTAACGCGAGCGTAGAACCTACACAATCTGAACTGGTAAACCGAAGTAAATTCTAAATTAATAAAATTATTTGCATCAGTGGCAGACTGTATAAGCAGAGGCCATATCTTGACAGCGTGACAATGAGTAAAAGGGGGGATTTGTCGTCCAACATAATTTCAAGTCAGGCATTTTACCAGAAGATGAACTTTCTTATGGAAGGTCGGACTACTTCGCAAGAACGCTAAACAGGTAAGGGGATGTGTTTGTCTATATTTTTATTTGTATAACGTTAGGCTTTTTAATGAGATGTAATAAACTAAAAGGAAGACCACCATCATTAGCTTACCAGCATATTGTATTTCCATTCCGTATTGTTCAGTATAGAAAAACGGAATTGAATCGACTGAATGAAAGTTTTGAAAATTCGTTTCAGGATCTTGCACTGATGCTGACATGTTTAAACCTGCTATTTTCCCATGATAATGGGCCATTTGCCAATGCTCCACGTTTACAAGCTTTCCACCGTAATATCTAAATAGTAAACAAGGTTCCAGATTTGCCAATTAATTCATATTTAAAAACATATTTTAAATTTAACGAAGATGTTTTGTTCATAATGGATTTTGTCAATTGTTCAGTAATATTCTTGCGAAGAAATTCTTGATTGAAATAATAAATCGGAATGTGCCGGTTTTAAGAAATACATTTAATAGAACGTAATCGTTTTTACTATTTTTGTGATGTTCAATTTTGAATAGCATAAAGCCATAAAGTATACCGTAGTGGAAATCGAACGGCCGCACCAGCAGCATAGACGTCTGGTAGATTTGTTTGAAGATATTTATTGACTACGATAAAGCCCTCTCTGTCAATTTGAAGACTCGAAGATTTTAAAAATCCGGTATTCAACGTTGCACCAACTCCCGCAACAACAACATCCACCTGCATAAATGCGAATGAAACGTTTTTTTTTAAACTGTATTCATTTGTCTGGTAGTAACTAAAATACCATTCTTATGCAGATGAGTTAGGAAATGTCGTATCATCAACTTCATAAATTTTCATAATTTCATAATGACCAATTCGACAGTTTATTACTGTCCATTTCTAAATTAAATTATGTACGTCGCAGATAAAGGTACAAATAACGGTACATTTCAGGCGTAAACTTTATTTTATATGAGATATATGAATCGAATGCGCACTTCAACCAACAAACCATTCTCCAATATAACTCCTTCTACTACGTCTTTGCCAACAATTTTTACGACGCCATTTTTAGTATGAAATTTAACTCCACGATTTTCATGTAGTTTCTGAAGTCCAGCTCCGACCTAAAAAAAAATAATAGAAGATTATACATATAAATTGCACCACGTCATTCCTACCTACTTCGAAATTAATCGGCATAAGTTTTCACTTGATCAAAAATCCCATTTTTATCCCAACAATATTCTGACTGAAGGATGTTGAAAATAAAAATAAGATTCTAAATGACCATAACTCCTTAAATTTATATATTATTTTATTTTGTAGTGCGTATTATTGGGGATAATAGAAGACTGAACTTGAAAGTGAATATTTGTTTGAAGACAATTTAAAAAATTTATATGACAATTTCAAATTTCTTCGAATTAGCCGGGTACATTACCACTTTGCGGTGATGAATCTCGAATATCCAATCGATTCAGTTACGACATTTCATTGATAGACATTTGAATAAATGTTTTCCAGTGCTTTTTACAGGTCGTAAAAAGCATTTAGATAGATTAATACACTCAGCTCACCTCTTTTCCAAATGCCTGCTCAAATGGAACACTTTTTCTGCAACAAACAGTAATTTCTTTACATACTTGTCGCAAAAAGCATACGACTTCCATACCCGTAAATGATGCTCCTATAACGAGAACTCGTTTGCCTCTTGCCTGAAATGTTAATCACATAATGAAACACAAAACATTTACACGCAGCATTGTAGAATAGCTTGAATGAATCCATAAATCATTAAACATTTACCCGTTCTGCGGCAATATTGCAGTCAGAGGGTGTCCCAATTACAAACACGTTTTTCAGATTACTACCGGGAATGTCGAGTTTTCGAACTGTCAATCCTAAAAAAAATAAATTTATTAACGATTATAGGATGAACTGATTATCAAGAGTTCCATCATCTTTACCGCGCAATATTCTATTTTATTATATATATGCACATATACACACGGACTACTTTAATCTGACACCCCAATTAGCTAACTCAAATATAGAGATCATCGATACAATTTTGGCAAACTATACGTGACCAAACAAGTCTCGCAAAACAATTAGATGCAATTGGCGATAGGCCAATATGGCCATACTGTGCACTTTACTCCATTACTGCGTGAAAATGGGATATTTCCATTTATAACTAACTTATTGAGGAATCGCATTGTATCATCATAACCAATTGATCAGATAGCTGCATTAACCGATATAATTCTTAAGCTTTGGAATAAAATCGCTTTGCGATTATCATCTCACTACCTTCATTCAGCTCACCTGTAGATATCAATAGTTTGTCGTATGATATTTCATCTTTATTTTTGCATTCAATGATCTTTTCATGCGCGTTGATATTAACGACTTCCGTTCCAAGCTTTAACACGATCCCAAAATTGTTGTAAAAATCCTTGCTCCGCATTAGAATATCATCGATTTTTGCACTCAAGTCTTTTGTCATGATTGGTCTACGTAAAGTTTGAAAAATGTAATGTTGATTTAGGGTACAAGACACATTGTATCTATCATACACTATTCTCATTATATATACATATTTTATCCCGTTTCATATAATTTACAATTAAAACTCAATAGATGAAATTACCTGTCATATGGTAGTAAATTACTCTTATTCACTACAATGATTTGTCCACAAAATCCTTGCTGTCTTAAACTTTCTGAACACGTGAGTGCCGACGCTCCTCCACCAATGATGACGACTTTAACATCTAAAGTAAATTGCTTGATATATTTGCTTTTCATAAAAAATATTCAATGAATGTTTCCCCTAGCATCGACTTCCTTGTTTACTCCCATAACATTGGTCAATCAGCGAGAAGCAAAAAAGTGACGTAACAATAAACGTTTTAGAAGCCGCGCAGACACTTTTGTCACTGAAACGAGTTTCCAGTAATGGTTGTAAACATTATCTCTTTTTCGCGTTTTTGCATGCTATTTGTTATTTTTCAGTTGCGTTTCCAAAATTCGATTAAGAATCAAATGAATAGTGATCATTTTGTCTTTTTAGAAGTTTTAGTGTAATTGCAGTAATCAAAAATTAGTCTAAAATAGCTGTGGTAGACTGGGTTAAACTTTTCTACCGGTACTTCAAATGACAGGTTGTTAAATGTTTCAAATCAAAATGATAGTTTAAATTTAAAACATATAAACTAGTTTATAGATGCGAACTCGAGAAACCACTCTTGAAGTAGGCACCAAAAAATTTGCAATGGTAAAGTATAGGAAGAATTTTCCGGGTTTCAAGGGTCTGGGACCTTGACATCCAATTAGAGTTGAATGGAATGAATGTATTAAAATTCCCAAGCAAAAATTAACAGAAAATATAATCAAATGCCAATGGATTCCGGAGTTTGGGAGGTGGCAGAATGCCCATGGCTAGTTTATCACCTACAATTGGCCTCCGGCCCCACAATAATAACTTAATTGATTTTTTATCAGTTTGAATATTCACAATCATTATTGGGTCTAACGCCAATTGCTTGGTCGAGAGGTGCACGAAAAGAAAGCATATAATATTTATTGTATGAGTTGTGGGCAAATAACAACATTTCAGAATCTAATGCAATTTTGAATATACTCATTGGCATGCATACTACAGAGGCTACAAAGCCAAGATATCATATCATTATCCAGGTAAATGATTATATATATAGAAATCCTACTAACCATTTTTCATGGCTGTTTTCATTGCTTTTATTCGCTTTTCTGATTTCAATGCCTTTTTCGTAGTATGAACAACAACTTTATCATGTTTGTTGATATAAACATTATGTTTTGGCAAACTGTCTAAACCCGGATAGTCTTCAATATCCCCAGTTTTTGAACTGAAACAAGCTCCATGTCTGGAGCAGCGTATTCTACCATTTTTCATGACACCTTGTATCAACGGAGCTCCATAGTGCGTGCATTTATTGCCGAACGCACAATAATCACCGTCTTCATTTCTCACCAACAGTAATTTTGTGTCTTCATCGTCTTTGCTAATACTGAACTCTTTCATTTCACCTATTACAAGTTCGTTTTTGTGGCATAATTCATGTTCAAATGCGCTGTCTTCTTCAACAGTAGGCATTGTCGATTACTCCTATACTAAATGACAAATCCTTGATACTACAATAAGAAAGCAATTACAAGGATATTCAAATCGAAAAAAGAGAGTCAAAGTTCAATAAAATAAATTGTTGAACCTTACATATACAAATGCGGTATATAATTGCGCGTTTGTGCAATGAAAATATAACAAGAATAAACGAAAAAAGTTGGTGTAACTATCAGAATAACTTCCTTCCCTTGCACTATGCCTATGCGTGAGTGGATCGGTATTGCACAAGGATGCTGTAGCAAAAATAACGATGAGGGAGAAGATTATAAATTTGTGTTATTATGCAGCAATACTATAGAATCGAATAAAAAAAAAGTTAGTTTTACATTCTCAATTCTCGGATAGAGGTCTCTTGTATCTGATGTTTACCAGCTCGCTCTATTTCCAACATTGCAGAAAGTTTTCGACTTCATGAATCTACCTGTTCTCTGGCAGTAAGAACTTAAAGTGCTACGTTAATTGATATATTTTGGTGTTCTATCAAGCTTGCAATTCTTCTATCAGTATAATATCGACATTTCAATAAGGGCTACTAAACTTTCTTTCAGTAATTTTTTGCATAAAAATATAAATATCTATATAACTATCTATATATATAACCTACCTGTTCTCTGGCAGTAAGAACTTAAAGTGCTACGTTAATTGATATATTTTGGTGTTCTATCAAGCTTGCAATTCTTCTATCAGTATAATATCGACATTTCAATAAGGGCTACTAAACTTTCTTTCAGTAATTTTTTGCATAAAAATATAAATATCTACCCGAAAATCAAACAAAAACTTATATGAAGCCACGCCTCAATATTGTCGTGTTATCAGTAAAATTGATCGAATTAGTTACTCCCTGGAGGCATAATAAATGTTAAACAGCTTTAAAACTAAGAAACACCGGACGCAATAAGCCAGCTAAGTAAAAACTTTGATAAGATAAATTCTTAAGAATTATTGCACTAATTCGAGAATTATCAATTTTAATAGTTCCATCAGTATTAGAAATAAGTTTAAAAAAATATTTATCAGCTGCTTTAAAAAGTTGTAAAACCGGCCTAAACATGTTTGTTCACTTTATATAATCCATACCTTGCGTGCGTTATAAAATGTTCACACGGATATCAATAGCATTTCGGTATTACGGAGACCCGCTAATGCAAATGCAGGGCACTGATTTTAAAACGTAGAATTTATTAGGCTGATTTAATTCTGGAATTTGATGAATCCACCATTCACTTGAACGTTTTCCATATTTTTTTGACACGAAAACTGGTTGACCAGGTTTATATCTGGTCTATTTTGTACGTGATCTGTGGTATATATGGCAGACAATAAACAGGTGCATTGCGAGACAGTAATGTTTACTGGCAAGCGAGAGTTTTTTTTACAAAAATAGAAACGCCCTAGATTGAGCATCATTTAGGATTTTATTAGACAAGTACAAAACGTATATAATATATATGTATTAAACACGACAAAATGAATTATTAGGAAGTGTAATAAATAGCGTACAATAAAAAGAAATAATGACAAGTCATACCTGTTGCACATAATTAAATCACAAGAGAATAAAAAAAAACGAAAGTCGAGTACTTGAAAGAGAGCTGCCTACAAAGACTCTTGTATATGACAATAATAATATTAGTATGGTGTGGAATAAATAAAAATCTGATATGAACTATGGCCCTGATTTGGCCTTGAACTCATTCTAAATTATACTTGGCCATAGATGATTATATTTTGACAATAAATTAAAAGAAAAAGCAACATGTTACTATACATACAGTTGGTGAATGATATCACATTCTTAATTCATTGCACTAGTGTTGTAAAACAATCAGAAAATTGAATTTTGCGATATCAAAAATTATAAATTGAACTCTTTTCCACAGTTTTAGGCGAGATATCGAAAAAAGGTGAACTATGTGGTGAATCCGATAAACTTTCAAAAAGAGGAAAATCATGGTACGAAGACAAGTCGTCATCATCAGCTGTAGAGGAATCGTACAAAATAGGGGGTGATATTTCAACGTTATTCAAATATTGGGACTCTGATTTATTCATTTTTTGAACTTTTGAATGATCGCGTTTCGTCTTCGACGGCATATTGTTGCTTTTAGACGACACACGACTGTTGCTGCAAAATTCCGAGTTATTTTGCCAATACGTTTGAACGTTCCGAGCATTTTCGCTTATTCTGAAGCTTTGTTCGTCAGCAGAGGCGAGAACGTCTCCAAATAATACTGAAAATTGTCCTGAAAACAAAACCAATTGAATTAAATTAATCGCATAAACCTATATTGGACTGTTGTTGTTTTATAGTAAGTGCTTTGGACTAAATGGTGAAGAGTCGTTTTACATAGCTGCATTGATAATTCATAAAGCTTCATTGATTTTTCAGCAACTTTCACGTTAAAGGAAACAATTACTTGCCATTCATGTATATATATTGATATGCAAATGAAATTATGCAAAAAACTACGAAAAAAAGTTAAATCCGAAATAAGCCTGTAATCAGTTCTGGCACTCCATTCTGTAATTCTAATTTGCAATAACAAGTATGTATAATAAAAATCCGTATATATATGTGTACCAGGATCGAACAGGGATAGTTTCAACTTTTCCATGGTATCTTTCTTCATTATAGTCGATACTGCGTCATCCTCTAATTTTGAAATACTTTCGTCATTTGAAATTTTCCACGCAGATCTTGCGGTCAACTTCTCAACCCCATTTTCAGTTTCCACTAGGGGAACTTTCACGTAAATTTTGCAACAGCATAGCTGATGCCTGATTGCATTCTGTAAAACAAGAAACAGAGTATTACGGAATATTCAGAATTCGGCGATGAACTCATTCAGTTGATGACAGTTTAAAAAAGAGAGCGGTACTCAAATATATGAACACGAAGGCCAAAGCGAACTAGCACGGGTATGAAATCTGTCACAGCAGACTACCGCGAACGCGGAACCGCCACAAAGTGCGTAATTTTTAATTTTGATGACGAAGAAGAGCAACAACAACGTAACAAAACGATCCCTCTCTATATAAAAAAAAAAATACACAAAATCATAAATTACGAGTTTACCTGCCAAGTCTGATGAGCTTCCGTAAAGTACGGGAAAGTTTTTAAGACAAAATTATAAATTTGCTTCACAGTTAAACATCGAAATTTTGCATCTTTAAATGCGAGGTAGATTAGGATGTTGTACGGCAGTGGAGGTTTATGATATGGATTCTTGGCGGCCGCTGCTGCTGTTGGTCCTAGAATCATTACTGAAGATTTCTCGTCTGCACCTTCTTTCACTTCCATGCGTTTGGTATATTTCCTTTTTGGTTTAGGAATTTCAATGGGATTGTCACCTCTAAAACCAAAGAAGGTTTAAGTGATGTTAGATGCAGCGATAATTGAATATAATCTGTCTTTGTTTATATAAATATGACAAAAAGTTGAATCCATTAACAGTGCTAATATATTTTTCTAAATTCAAAATATTTTATCGTTCTACGGCTGTGTGAAAATGGTAGGCTACATTTTGATGTTTGATGTAGCCCATTCGACGCAATTTTGAGCGATTAATTTCAGTTTAAATGAAATTAATCGACTCGTTATGCGGCGAAATCGTGCTGTTGGTCATTGGTATTTCTGAGATCAACTGATTATGCAGATGAGGAAACTGGACATTGTATTATTGAAAAAATAGCGCAAACCTTGCATTGTAATCAATCGATGATAGCGCTTTTCTTTTTCTGTTTTCGTTTGACGCATTTCGTCTCTTTATCATGTTTTCAACTTCTTGTAGAACAGGGTGAACAGCGGATATTGCCGGAAGAGTATAAGATAAAGCTGTTGAATGAACTCGAGAACCACCTCGAAGCGTTGGTTGACTTTCTTTAGCGACGCCACAATTAGATTCAGTTGAAACTCTGGTTGTTTCGGTGACATCAACAAAGCCTGGTAACGCATTATTATTTGCTGATATCGGCAAATTATTGTAATCGCGTTCTGGGTCGCCAGCTTCTCGGATCATATCGTCTAAAATATCATCGTGGCATAGGGATCCTATATCATCATTTCCCTCTCCCGGCGATGGCAACTGGTCCATGAACTCATTCAAGTCTTTGAAGTTGAATTCTTCGTCCCCAAATGCTTGATCCGTATTGCACTCTAGTGTTTTCATTTCTGAATGTCTGAAAAATAGTTTTAAGGGTATTACATTATTAAAAATGGCTGAAAGTTAGCAGAAACTCTGATTCAAATGCTATACTTTAAGCAGTGCCCGAAAAAGTCCTGATATAGCAACGGTGAAAAATATTTATCTCGATCTTACGCTCGAAAAACAACTACGGTACATCCACCGATTTAGAATACTATACTAGCCAACATAAGCCAATATTTTTTAGTTCACTCACCCATTGCAATTGCTTTCTTGCGGGAAAGAAGAAATTTCCGAATCTAATTTTTCATGCTTCACCATCATTCCGTTGACATCCGCAGTTGTTGCTTCTTTGTCGAGTTTTACTTCACCATCGAGCGTTCGATTCCTCATTTGAGATACAACAGATTCGTTTCGAGTAATAGACGTGTTTGAAGAAACGATGGGAATATTTTGAAACACCACTTGCGCATCGGATTGCTGTAAATTACTCAATACACCTGGGGGTACCGGCGTTATTTGAACAATTTTCCCACTCGGCTGTGGATTTGAATTGTTTGCAAACACAATTTCTTTAGAAGGCCTTTTCAAATACACCATTGGTACATTTTTTTGAGCTTTTTTGTTATTCAAAATATCGTTAATTTGATTTAGCTTTCCCTTTGCCGCCATCTGCGAGGCCAGTGTTGCATTGTATTTTCTCACGGGTATGATTTTTCCATAGGACCGTTTTTGCGTCTTTTCGTATGCAGGCTGAGGGAGTATAACGTGCCTCACCCCAGTCTTATTACCTCCTAGCTCCATAGACTGTGTGGGTGATGGGGTTCGCGTTAATTCCAAATGTATTACTCTCCCGTCTAAAACAAGTAAAGCATATTAAACTATCTATCTATCTATTACGTATTGAACATTAGTTTGTAATGTAGAATTCTTACCGGGTAGTGTTGCCGGTACGATTTCCACGAGTTTTGCTTGTTTTGCTGCTATTTGCTGAGCAGAAATTATTGGGGTAGTGCTGTTTTTAATTTTGCCATTTGCTGGTGCCAATATTACAAATTTTGCCCCTGAAGCTATCATAGATTGTAAGCTCTTTCCATTTACAAGTTTTAGGGATTTTGTGGTGGTAGGTGCTGTTTTTAATTGTGTAATTGGCGGGGCAGAAGTGGTGAGTGTTGGTGAACCAATGATTTGAATTGGATTGGAATGGCCAAGTCGAATTGTAGGGGTATCTGGAGAGTCGGGCGAATCAGCAGAAGTCTCGGATTTCTTAACTTCATGCTGTGGTATATTTGAGGTATATTCATAATTGGATTCGACATCTTTGTCGCTTTCTGTGCCGGTATTTGCACGTTTGTTTATAATTTCGCATGCTTGAGCGAGTAGGTCGCTGCTTGGATCTTCGTGTTTGACCTCCACATCATTTGACGGAAAATGGGCATATTCTTCATTGCTTCTTTCGACTGTGGACATTAAAAATCAGATATGTTCACGCTTTGTGTTGTTAAACAGTTTTGGGTAGTAACATGGCGGTTATAACAAACAATTTACATTTCGAGAGAATAATCTACATAGTAATAAGTAACCTTATTCATAAAGCGTCCGTGGAATAAGACGTTGCACTTGCACAACAAATAAAATTAATATGATGGCATGCCCCAACTAATAGATAGTCCAATTAATATACGATAATTATACGATTTCTACCACATAATGTTGTAAAAGAATTAGAACAGTGAAACCTCGTACAATATCATACAGAAAGGGCTTGCGGATACGAAATTTTAATACCTTCGAAATTAATGCTTTCGTCGTCTTGTGATAAAGTTTCCAGTGCTTCGTCTACAGTAAATCGTTTCTTGAGATTCTGTTCACCAGGTAATGATTCTTGGTTGTGCCTGTCCATTGGACAAACCTGCGAAGAGAGATCAATACGGCTAATAATTGGAAGCGTAGCAATGTTTCTAATGAGCTTGTTTGTTGTACATTTCATTCTGTTGTCTATATGCAGTACATGTGTATATCCGAAACATCCGGACAGCCTTATTATTGTATTATAATAAAATGAGTTGATTTAAGCAAAATGAAATTGTGAATCGGGTATTGTCAAGTCTAATAGTCAAAACAGGCAGATCAAGTTGCCAAAACTTCCAGTGCTAATAATAACAACCAGTATCTGAAATGATATAAAATTTGGTAGTGAAATAAATTTAAAGTGTGACATAATATCCAATCATAAATCCAATTTTAATTAAATATCATTAAAACAGTGCTTAATAAACATTTTAATTTTGGCTTACCTCGTCCGGACTAACCATGGTCCAGGGTGTGATGTTTGAACTGATGTCGTATCCCTTTTCTGGAAGTGTCGTCAACTGTTATGTAAAACATACAAAACATTACGAGAAATGCCATATATGGCAGCGGCTCAACCAATATAATTATGTACATTCGTATGAATAAAGTTTTATTGAGTTTCAAGTGTAAAAATGTAGTATTATTTGTTATATTAAACCTGGCAGAAAATCGACAACACAATCTATCAGATATTCGAAAAGGGTATTCACTATATGTTATTATTTCATGTCTAATATAGATCTATAGCTTTAAAACGTTTCTGAAGATTAGACACAAATAGCGGAAAAAAATGAGAATTTAAAAGAAATTTCTTTACGACACCCATAGCCGCATAAAGCCGGGAAAAGCTGGGCAGGCGTGACAAATCAGATGCACAGCCATTCAGACTTAATTTTCTTTCTTGGGATTAAAATAGTCCAATCAAATAATAATAGAATTATCAGCAGGCAATAACCTTCTAGATTTCTACATTTTGAACAAGAATTCTTGAGAATAATATGGTGAGAATCGGGAGAGGTAGTACTCCAAAAATATAACTGCATGAGTGCAACAACTCCGATGAGAATAAAAGCAGTATGGTGTTTCTGGTGTGGTCGACTATGATGAATGCATCTCAATGCACGAGTGCAAACTGTATGCGAGATAATTTTCCGATGTGAAAAGTATAGAACTCACCAAATTTGCTGAAGGGTGTTCGACGGACAACGCTCCTTTTACATATCTTTCTACCATAGAAACAACCATGTTCAACTTCGCTCGATTCTGCAGCATTCGTGAATGATACTGATAAATTCAATTTAACTCAAGTAAGTATAAGTAATTCTATTGCGATAGCGCGATGACTAACTGCAAAAACGTTGCAGTCGAAACGTACAAGCCACTTTATTTACTATACATCATTATATCGAGGCAGCAAGGAATAGTGAAGTCATTTGTGCCATTAGAAAAATTCAATCAAAATATAACTTCACCTTACTCGTAGAATCTGCTTCGTGGAGTGCAGCGGATTGACTTTCGTTACATCCAATTACTTGATCTGTTGTTACCGTGAATAGGTTGCTAGTCTAAAATAACATTAAAACATGTTCAATTCTCGTTAATTTGTGCAGAAATTACCTCCTTGACTGACTTAGGTCAACGTTCTATGTGCGGGGGAAATTATATCGATAGTATAATTGAACATTTTCTGGATTAGCTGGCCCGATAACCAGGGCAATTCCATTAATACGCATATTCGTGCACGTATTCCCCTCTTTTCGCCGACATAAAGTACGGAATACTTTAATAATCAACTTTTCACAATGAGTATCTCGAGATCACATTTTGGTAACAAATTATAATTATTTGTTGTTTATCTTAAGGATGTTTTTGTGCGGCTGGCCTATATCTGCGTCCAAATTAAAATGATACATAAACGATTTTGTCCTATCGGGGTTTTATTTCGTCGGCCTGTTGTACTATGAGAGCGCTTTTTTACCAGAGAGCACGTTTTTTATGCCGTGTATATGAAATCAACACGGTATCTTAATCCTATCTCGTTTAAGAATAGACAATGACAACATTTTATCTATCTAACCTTCGAACGTTTTAGATAAATATAAATAACTTGGTCAGAAATGCGAACCACCTTGTCATATTCTCTCACATATGATGTTTTTCAATAGATTCGAACCTGCGAATTATACGACGAATGAAATAACTTTTGCGTGAACAGCTAAACGACGGCCGATGGTGAGGTTTTAATAATTTCAATATAGTCGTCAAAATACCAAGAATCGTTTTTTTAATGTTTAATTTAGTCTACGTCATCATATGTTATCAAACTGCATTATTTTCATACAAACTAATATTTGTGTGGGATTTCATTTAACTGGTATTAAATATATTTCATCGTCAGTGCTTTAATGAGACTGCATTGATAAATTGTGTGGAATTACTGGGTGGAAAAAATACACTTGACGTTTGACCCCTGAGCTAGAGATAACGCTGTTTAAATCTGAGAACTTCAGGGCCATTGTACATGGGTTTCATACTTGGTTGCGTTGACCTGCCTCAGAAGGATGCCCGTACCTTTCTGTAGCGACTTTGTATGTTAGTATTGGCGTTTCCCGTGAAAGTTTAATATCGGTTGCTACCTAAATACTTTCGTTACTTTAGTAACTAAGTACTCCAATATTCGAATTACTTGCTCACCTCGTGGAACCAATCTGTTTTCCATTTTTCCAGTGCTGTTACTCTGTTGTAGTTCATCGTTGAACCCACGGTTATAGCAGAAGGTTGGACATGTACTCCCATTCCAGATAATCCGTTTTGTTTAAAAGAGGTAGAATACGGCGAAGATAGACATCAGTTCTAATCCAATCTAATTTCGATTCATTATTTTCTGCAACAATGAACATGTATATTGTACGATTGTATCAACATTGTGCGTTATCCAATACTCTACTGGGTATACTATAATAACTAGCGCTTATGAAGTCTATTCGAGATTCAGAAACATACCTATATTGTGTACCAGCTTGCTTGTATTTACAGCATACTAAAATTATGAATAAAAAAGTGATAACCAAAATACTCATGCAAGTCCTACCGACACGGAATTAGAGCCTCACACTTGAGACGTCGATTGAGTTATTGATCCATAATATCTTTAGGCAAAATGTATGTCAATCGATGTGACCGCATAGTCTATCGATTGGTTCATTCAACTCAGCGAGCATACGAGGCAAACTTATTCTTAACAGAATGTTATTCTACAAAGGGGTCCGCCTTGGCTTGTGTGCTGCGTGGCTGTCTATATTCTTAAAGGTTATGGCGAAAAGTTACCCTCATTCCCTAAGTTTATTATATGAACTTTGCCCTAATACTATGGCTAGAACTCTCATAGAAATCTTCTTTCAATTTGTTTGATTTCGTATTAAGACTACTTTATTCACAATTCTGCCAAATTGGCTGACTATGTATAATACAATATGCGCCATATGCGTACCAAGCTTCTATCTGTTTCACAGACTACAATAAATTGCCCGTCACCATCTGCGTCGTAAAGCGATTGACCGGCATAAACAAAAACAAAGCAGTGTTACCGTCTGTTTTATTTAAAAATAATTAATTAGCGGAGAACGTTCTCTTGGATTATAACGGGCAGATGTTTTCGTCGTTCTTCATTCAGAATCAGAATCCTCGCATGCGTTGCAGATTAAACTTTTGTTTTATGTTATCAAGCAGCGAAAGAACATAATCTTATCTCAGTGCCGGACGTGATAATGAACCCACTTATCAAAAGGATATATTCGTCCTATGGCTTATCTCAAGATTTCGCGCGAAAGTGGTCCAATGTAAATTGCAACTCGCAATAGTTTGTTGATTACCTTGCCGGCGATCGATTTTAACGTTTATCTCACGCAATTACCGTGGGAGAAAGATTCGTTGTAATGACGATCCCAGAAAATGGATTTTTTTTTATTAATAATAACCCTGAGACAGGGAGTTGTATTTATGAAAAGACCTCATACAGCATCTCGACAAACAACATTCAACCTATTTGACAGATAATAAAATGCTGCTATCATCATTTGAAGCCAATACAAAGATTTAAATAAAAGATTTTTTCATATCCGTCAGTTGCTATGAGCTGTGCTATAAACGACATTCTCCTGTATGACTATTTAATGGTGGACAGAGACTCTCTCCAAGCGTCCCATGTGGATAATGTTCACACTCGTACAATATACATGTTTGGCGACCGTGCAATTTTGCTGATTAATCGGCATTCTGTTTGGGAAGCTGCGATCGATATAGTATACACCAAAATTGTACAGGGAATCATTGATCCAGAATTTGAGGCAATTTTTTATAATTCATGAAAATAAATATGCCGCTAATTACCCCACATGACTGTCGCTCTTTATTCATTCTATTTCACAGACATTCTGCTACTTATATTGGCGTATATTATAACTGGGATCGATTACACTCCCCACAGCTGGCGAATATTTGGAGCGGGTAAACAAGTAATTAGATATAACTATGGTTAGCATAATATGGAAATGAGTTATTATTCATGGCGTAAAGCTTTCATAATACTAATAGCTAAATACAGAATTCGCAGCGAACATGCTAAAAACATAAATCCACAACCGTGCGCAGACTCTGTAATCCATTAATCCTGACCTGACTGGAGTCGATGGGCAAGGCAAAAAACGAACTAAGTTGTCTGGACAACAACAAAGAAATTAAATTCAACTAAATTTTCTCACCAACAACGCTGCAGTGCCACGACCAACGTTTAATTTCCAAAAATAATTTTACATAGAACTATCTGCAGGCTATACATGCCGATTCACTGACTAGGCGAAGTACTATTCCCTAAAATTGACAGTAAGACATGTGTTTACTGTACGGGCAAAGTTTCTCCGTAAATTAGATTTTGTTCGCATGCCTCTCCGAGCATCTGTCAACCCCATTAAAATTTCATACACGCATTGGTATAGAAGGATTCAAGTTAGTACACACAGCCGTCACGATACAGCCGTGAAGTTCTTAAATTCGATCGCCATCACTTAGACCAATCAGACTTATGCATGGCCATACATAATATCACACTGTTATTGTATTTATTGGGTATAGCGCAGTTCTGATATGTCATTTTTTAGAATTTGTTGTTCAATATGTGTCAAATAGAAAGTTCTACAATTTTGGCTTAAATCTTTTCTGGTATGGGAGACTAACATAATTCCTGATCTAAACCGGCAGTTGAAATTTGCATTGTATGGAAATATTAACTCAAAAACACGCAATCGAACTGGGATCGTATTATACGTAAATTGTCACGAATGAATACATTTTATTTTGGATTTTATTTGGTATTGCGCACACAAGCTAATATCATCCACTGCAGGACAGGAACAAGGAATTAATATAATGCATAATTTGGAAGAAAGCTCTAATTCCAATGACAGTGTTTGTCGGTGTTGAGACGGGGTTGACTTTCATGATATAATTCGAATTGTAGATACATTGGTTCGTATCACTTCGTCTTCAAATACAAGGTTCAGTCACTACCGATTACCAAAGCTCGATTTCGCCAAGCAAACGTATCGACCTAAATATATCTATTCCGAAGTATGTAACTTCAAATTCTTTTTAGAAAGTCTACTAAAAACGTCAAAGGAAGAAATATCTATTCTTATGAAAAATAGTCGGTGGATCCTTTACAAAAAAAAAACATCCCCGCCAACGATAAAAATAAGGAATTTAGTAATTATCCAGGTAGGGTTAGAGTTAGGGGGTTAATGTGACGGGGGTGTTTTTATCAAATCTCACATTTTTGCATTAGTGGCGGATGTTTTGTACAAAAGACCGAAATAGGTTTAATACATCTTTGAACCAGATAATAGACGGAAATGACCAAAGGGAAATAAATAATTAACACGCTCCCACGAACAAAATTGAATATAATTAATCATTTCGGGAACTGCTATCGCGGGCATGGAATTAATGAACAGAGGTCGCTGTTCGCAGTTTGATCCCGAATCTTTTCGACTACTCTGACTACTTTTTATGAATGCATTATTTATCTTCTAATATTGATTAATTCAATATTATTTTATTTTATGAAAATCTAATAATAAAAAAAAAAAAAAAAGACTACTCTGACGTGTGAAAAAAGAGATATCAATATATACAGCGTAAGTAAGAAAATAATGACGCAAATACCTATTAACACAAACATGTAGTGATGTTATTCGGTAAAATATGTTGCTCTGGTTCTGATTTGTTTTTAAATAAAATGAATTTGTTTCGCATGTCGTAATATAGGTCACCCAATGACGCAATATAATACGATGTCCAATGGTGAAAGTGCAACATGCCATGAAAATTTCATTTCAATATACTACTATTTTTAGCGTCAAAATAGATGGTATACGTGCTAATGCAAATCAGACACTTTTCTTGAGTTCATTGCATGGCTATGTGATGTTGGCGGATTGAATTAGTTCCAAATTTGGGCAGGACAATATTGACCTGGAATTTTTCACGCCAAGTATGAGCCATATATTGCATGGACAACAGACTTCATTGTCACTGGTCCACAAAAAAAAGAGTGAAATTTTGGAGTTTTTCCAAATGTTTTACATGACGTCATACTCGTAAAATTTTTAGGTTATCATACGTAACATATGCCTACTTCACCGCGTCAAACGTTTTCGCTGCGAAGACTGTATACTGGAATATATGATCTCTCGTATCCAGACCAGAGCTCCAACGATATCCTGTTTCCTGTTTTTGTCCCGATTTCGACGTAATATGGAAAGGCCTACAGTGCAAAATTGCATTCAAAAGTGTGCCCGTTTCTCCTTTTGCGTATAATGAGTGCTCCCCACTCCATTTTGTTAGTGTTTACAAACGATTTGCATTGTTTACATTCTATATTTTTTGTCGACAGATGCGTCTTAGTACAGTTGCCCTTATACAACTCCTTAGGCATTTCGAGAAAATATGTACAGATCCTCTTGAACTTGCTCTGTGGGTAACTGGGAACATCGAAAACGAAAGCTCCGAATTTTGCATGGCACGCGAAAGTGCGATGGTAGTCTCATGCATTCTTGCAGTTTTCTGGGACACTTGTGAGTATTTATATGTCCGTGTTTCGTAAGTTGAACTATATGAAGGCTGCGAGTTCCTTCTGGACTTTGAGATGAAATTGCATTTGCGCATAAGGGTAGTTGATAGCGATGCTCACGCAACAATATACCGATCTGACCAGCAGTTTATGTGACTAATTCGCGACTATTAAATATGATAATAGTAACATTAGCATAGTAGAGGTATCAGTTGGTGTTTGTACACTCATAAGATTATGCATTTTACAATATACCTCAATATTCGGAAATTATAATATATTTCTTTCAATGTATACTTGATACATTACTGTAAAAACGTCGTATGCAACTATTGGTGCACTGGAAGGTACGGAATATGGATTTATTATTGCCACGAAGACGTCTGATTACATTGACGCGCTTGGATTCCACTTGTAAAATCGCACCACTGTGTTTTCGTTCGAAACTTAATAGCAACATGCACCAATAAACAACTCAAACGACAAAGTTTTAATTGCAGTTACGTAAATGAACGTATCTAACCTTTCGATGATTCCGACGCATTTTAGTAGTTTACTGGTAGTGACTGTCATCGTACGTTGTTGATGTCTCATGACATGATTTTTATCGTGCTGTTTTTATTACTATCAGGATTACTACTAATCTACGACTAATTTTAAGTGACCTGCTAACTAGACTATTGATTGTATAGGCGGGCTAAGAACTTTATGTGGAGACGGTACGGCAGTTTAAACCAAACAGAGAAATGAGCGTTATCGCAAAGGTAAGAAAAGTATATGAAAAGAATGTAAATGCACCAATAAAGTTTTCAATATATGGATATTGGGAATAATTTTTGAGGCCTAGCCTTTCTGCCATATTAACTTTTCTTCACTTTAATAAATACGGAATACAAAAAGTTGGTGTAGTTGCATCAAAGTCGTGTAAAACAATATGCATATAGCGGTTATGGAGGAACCACAACCCGAAAGCATTAGAGCTGTTCAATAATCATTCTTAGGGATGTAATGAATGCACAATTTCATAATTTAGGTTGTTATTATATTGGGCATCACTCTCTGTGTTGGTGGACAGGATTACGTGGATTCATATTCCGAATCCGGCGACAGTGATTATGACGAGTATACAGGTACTATTTCGTTCAGACACCCTTCGGGGGCGACAATTTTATTAATGATTTCGCTCCCAACAAGGCTCAGGCTTAGCACTCCTACGTAACTAGCGATTAGCTAGTTTTTGCAATAAAATCGGTTATTTTTACTTTCAAAATCAACGCTACTGCATTGCAAAACAATGCGCCATTGATCTTCGAATAGCAGCCATGTGATAAATTACCCGAGGCCAAAAACATAGGCCCAAGAAGACGCACTATTGGTATATATATATGAATATATCATGATCATCGGTGACCTTGAGTTTTGCATGTGTTGAATCGGAGTGTATGAAATGTACGCCGCGATATTCGTGATTATTTTATTGGTTATCGGTGTCCGTTGATAGATTGTAAACCCGAAATAATGGCGAAAAATTATTCCTATAAAGCGTTTATCATATAGTAGGCATATACAGTAGGCTGAATATCCAAATTAGTTACAAGGTGTGTATGATGAAGTATAATATCGCTATCGCCAAAATTGCTTTGGCCATTTCAAACTAACAGTCCAAGCCCGACACGAGCCAATTCTGAAAAAAATCAAATGAAAAGCCAATCCCTTTCTTGTACCTCAGAATTTAGCTTTCAGCTTGTACTTTCATATCTTGCTTTCAAAGTAAGACCAATGGGAGGTAGTATTAACCCAATAGCTTCGTTTTTGAATGTGAAAAGCTTCACAACATTTTCAGGGAGAGAATTTATTTCGTGAAACCACTGAATTAGATATAACTATCTTTCTCGGATACTACTATATTTTGATACATTTTACAAATCAGCCATTTTTATGTTATCGATCCAGACACGCCTGATCCTTTTGCTGATTTATCGAAGCATCGGGAGTTGGTCAACAAATGGTACGGCTCAGACAAGATAGCAAATGAATCTCTATGGACCAGATCATCTTTGAATTATAACGACACAACATGCTCTCTGGACATGGCGTGGGTCTTGAACGAGGCCAGAACTACTTTACTCGCAAGAGGTTGGTACATGCCCGGTATATTTTTGGCAACATAAATTTCTTACATAAGTTTTGAAATGCCTAGTGTTGTACATTCTATCGTCAATGCGTTGCGCACATATTAGCACAGCTTAGTATTAGCACAGAATACCCGTCACAAAGTCTTGAGAATTCACAAATTACTTGAGCAGATATGAATTTTAATTAAATGGGAAATAAAAGGATTTTATATTTGATATCTGAACAACCTTATTTCCTGGGTCCTTTGCTAACCCCCAAAATAACTTGTAAAGGAACCACGTTGACCACTGACGAGCAGAATCTTGTCATATCAACAATTGACAACCTAATCAAAGATGAAATCGACAAATCAATGGAAGACGATCACAAGAATAAAAAATTAGCACTGGGGAGTGAAGAATGTCTGACATTATTCGACGAATTGAAAGACTCCAGGTAAATCAAGCATTAAAAAGATTATTACATCTGTTTAATAATAAAGCAGGCTATGCTACAATATATCCACGCTTTACAGATCGCACCTGGATTGTGTTTTGAGTCCTCAAGTGGTTTCGAGTTATTTTACAAATATGTTTCCGCCGACTCGATGTTGGGAATTCACAGAAGGACTATGGGAAGACATTATTGCCGCTGGAAATTTCGACGATAGATGTTCCAGTATCGGTGCATACACTGATCTAGTTCGTGTTGCGCAGGTAAACTTGGGTAGATGTTAAAGGAAATATAAGAAAGACTGAAACACAAATCCTAGCATTGGTAAATGTGCGTGTGAACTCCGTAAAATAATATATACGATAATGGAAGGGCCTAATCTGTTACAGGATATTCGGTCACTTATCATCTAATAGCATATTATGTCACGGATGCAACAATTAACAATTTTTCAAAATTGGGTATGGTTACAGTTTCCACGCATTTTGCCATTAATCTGTTGAAGAGTTTACGTGGGTATATGCATACTAGTTCTATAGTTCTTGTATTGAATTTAATTAATGTCTCATGTTTGTTCTCTGTGTCGATGTCGATTGTCAATACGGACAATAGCAAAAAATCACATACATTTTTTCCATTATCCATGACCGTTAAAAGTAGTCTATATTAAGACGATCGCAGTCGCACCGTTACGATAAAATATAAGTTTCATATTTCATTATTTAGCGTTTTCATTAACCGTCATATCTATCGTTATTTGTACAACGTAGATTGCCAAAGCACGATACAGAAGCAAAAATTGGGATACAGGAGATTCATTATTACACTTAACGTTGATGGCTAAACTATCGGAAACTATATCATCACCAAGTCATCTTCAATACCTAAACAAAATATCTTGTCCTATTCATCCACCAAAGACTACATCTTGCCCAGAAGTTGTCAGCATCGTTCGTTCAACCGTCTGTGGCCCTCTTTCGTAAGCTTTCTTTTTTATGACTCTCTCGGAATAGTTGCTAAGGTGACCCAAAAATAGAACTTGGGTCATTTGTAACATATTCTGAACTGAGAGAACAGAACTTTTTTGCAACGGAAAACTTTGGGTCAATCATACACAAACAGAAGTTCATTTGTTAAATAAATTTTCTTTATTTTATTGAAGTACTTAAAAAATTGATGGGTCATGCTTTTTGGGTCACCCTATACAAATTTGATCTTTATAATGTTAATGCAAAAATCTTCTACGGGGTTGAATGGCAACTGAAAGTGAACAGTTCTATTTTGCTTGAGCTATGGGTATTTAGAGTCGACTGTCAGATTACAATATTATTCCCATCTTTATGCGTAATAAAAAAAAGGGTTTCCGAAAAATTTTGATCAATTTGATTAAAAGCCCTGTTGGCTATGTTAATATGTGCATAAAATAATTGTTTATTTCAACTTACTAAAGCAAGCCGCTTTTAAAATCGCAATATTCTTTAAGGTTATCTACAGTGAAACAAATCGAGGATATCGTAAAAGCAGCGCCGATGTCACACCCGTCTACAGCAATAGAGGATATGGCCATCATGATGGAATTATTAGGTGATTTGACGGAGGTTGTTGACACACTTTCAAAATCAAAAATTCAATCCAGGGATTCTATGGAATACGCCGTCAAATCTTTAAACACATATCTCGATATTGTGGACAACACGATTGGCGAACATTCCAAGGAAATATGGGCAGAGGTAATCATTCCTTCATTTAAGATTTCATCCCGAAATATGAAATCTATCCCTGGCAAAAATGTGCCAGGCATTCATGATACTAGTATTGTTTTAAACTATTAAAAGGCTATTTTGTGGTGTAAGTACTTCATGTACATGGATGGAAAAGAGCGATGATGTGTATATTTTTTTACGCTTATCATAAAGATGCCAACCGATAAAAGTCAAGAAAGGTTGCAGTTTGTCCTGGTTAACAACGAGCAATATGTGGGAGCTCTGACAGAAATCATGTGGAAAGGTTTGAGGGATGTCAATACTACAGGATTAGAAAAGAAATCTATGGCTCTTCAACTTCTAAAGATGCCAAGAGATAGCGCAACAAGTAAGATTAGAATAATGCTGGAGCTCTCACCACACCAGATTCGTAAAATCGCTGAAGCGTTTGTGTATGTAATTGATTGATGGAACAAAGAAATAAAAAAATTCTTCCCCACTCGAATTTTCATAAAATCGCTACTTTAAAATCTCATTTAATTAATTGATTTAACTCTGAGATTTCATCTTGTCGCACAAAAATGAATTTGAAAGTGAGTAAAAATTTTGGAAAAATTTGAATTTTTTTTTCGAAACACAAAATCCTGTGACTCAAAGTAGCATAGTGGTCTGAGCGCGGGGAAAAATTTTTCATGCTATTTAGGATGACAACACCAACGCCTCAAAGCATCGGAAACTCGCAACATTGGGAATTCGGTTTATAAAGTTAAAAGAAAATGAGTGTAATTTGGTGCTATGTTTCATAACACTTCATTTCTCGGTTGAATATATCAAGCACTGTGAAAACATATTTTCGTAAATCATGAATCAGGAAATGACTTGCTGGTCAGTTGCTAACAGCTAGTAACTGCATGGAATATGGTAGAAATATTTCCCGTACGTATATTTCTATAGCTCATAGCAAAATTCAAGCGACGCTGAAGTTTTCCACGGGAAGTGGTTGTGACGTTATTCAAAATATATCTACATACAATACATACATTTTCTACTTTATTTCGAAGGGAGTTTCGTTTGACGACGTTCGTTCATTTTATCTATTGATAAAATATACTATAGGGCTAAAACATTTCACAACCTTCCTATATATATATGTGAGTCATCTATGACGTTACTATTCAAATATCTATATTATTTATTTCAAAAGAAAAAGTTGGATTCGAATTTGACGAAGTGAACATCGAGACTGATTTGGAAGGAAGCGCAAATCAAACTGGAGATGCGTACAAAGGTGTGTATACCCGTGGGCGTCAGTAACTGTTTCAAACTCATGGCCTTGTGTCCGAATGGATACTGCATGAACATGGCATACTGTTTAGTCAAAGTCAAATAAATCTACTGTGTTGACTATTTCATAGTGAATGCATTGTATTTTGCATTATTATGAAATATTGAATACGAAGTGAACCTATAGGTTGTTTTAAAATTATTGTGCAATAGTTGCTTTTTATCTTTGCAATTACTTTTATTTTTTCAAATTTTCCATGAGGCATGCGGGACCCGTTATTACGCCTTAAATTTGTTGGTTTCTGTAAAAGCATTTTTTAATATATATTCAAGTTTTTGGCACAAAATTACTCTTTTAATCTTCTCTTGCCCTAAAATCGATTCTAGCCCTGTATTCAACATTTTCAGCGTCTGTACATTTATGTTGAGGCTCTTTATGTCTTTCGATGCACCAGAACTTGGAAACAGCATTGCTTGGTTTGCTGTGATAGGTTCCCGTACATTTGAACCCCCGACAATCGCACCTGTATACTATTGCACCTATGGAATTTTTTTTGTTTCACGGATATTTGAACCCATACTAACCCTAACCCATGAGTTTTAGCCCCCGCATATAGATTGAACCTGCGGATATACACATGGGTTCAAATGTACGTTCACCGTTGTTAAAATCGCCCATGTTGTCTTTTATCAAGTATAAACAAAGTTTCATCTAAATTCCTCAATATAACAGTGTTTGCCATTCATTACAAGTCATGGGCTGAACTTATGGGAAAAACAGGATTGTACTTCGGTAATACTTCGCTCGCACAGAAGGACAAAACCTTCATAGGGAAAGGTGGAATCATCTCTCTGACTGCTCATATGGACGAAGAGAAAAAATCGGTCCCTGTTTCATATAAGTATGTATAAGTTTCAAGTATTCGAATCTGTATTTGTCATGAGACAGCTGATATATTGGCTCATAACAGTAAATAAAAAATAAACATTTTTCATGCAATAAATGTAAACGTTATTGAACTTAACGACATTAGTATGAAGCGGAATTGTAATGTGTAACATAGGAATCATGCAATTTAAAAATTGATTTATGCTGCACAAAATATCACTTTGTTGATAGCATACCTAGATTCATATTAAATATTCAGTAAAATGAATGTTCGTCTTTCAAACACAGTTCAAATTCCAATTTTTAATTGAAATGTTGTCCATCCGCATTTCGTTGTCTGCATTTCTAGTAATGTAATATTACAACTCACAAATTTGTTTCGAGAATTTCGATGACGAGAATTATCTATTATAGTTGACTGTAACGATTATTAGAGTAGTTCACGAAATATCAAGAGGGGCTGATTCGTGACAATAAAGATAATTAGTGTGCTAATTTGGTAATAACTTGGTAGTTTTATGCCTGTACCAAATCACCTATCTTGTAGCTGTTTCGACAACTATCATGTTCGGGCTAAGAATTCGCTAACCAAACTTTTCAAAACTTTAATTCAAGTACTGCATTATCTTTATACTTTACATTTAGAATGAAGTTTGGCGACAAAATTGAAATTTCTGATAATTCATCTGCTACAAGATCGAAGCATCGTTGTCTATCTTGTGAATATCTAAACACGACAACAGGAGAATGGCAAAATACTGGATGTTACGTCGAACACGCGGATGACCTGGGAGTGACTTGTCATTGTGATCACACAACTAACTTTGCTGCGTTTATGTCCCCTGTACAGATACAGATCAACATGACTGATGCTCAGTATCAGGTAAAAAAGTGTTTAGCGGTGTTTAGAAAGAACATCTTACGTTTGATACTTAGAAATAGGCGATATAATTCTTTTTCGAAAATATGATCATTCCTGATGAAATCCCATTCGATGCCCAGGTTTCAATGAGAATAAATTTTATCGATACAAAATTGGAAATTCGACTGGAAAATTCTCCTTTTTCTATTTGACACCTTTCTGACGCTCATCCTATCATTGCATTTAAGACGCATTGTATGACGTATAATGAAGCGTTTGAATTTATACAATGAAACAAAAAATAGAAGGCAATATACAATAGTTAAATATGAAACCGAAAGCTAGTTCAATCTCATGCAGTTCTTTGATATAATTTTCATAAACAAAAAGTATATACAACATCGCAAGCTACAGCATTTTTATCAACACCAAGTCCACATTATGGCTGACCACGATTTTTTCTGATTTTCCAGCAGACTAGTAGGACTATGTTTACGATGAAGAGTATAATTGCCAATCCAGATCCACATGCTGCTAATATTACTATCGCACGAAGCTGTTTAAATTTGTCTTCGCTACCCGCAGCCTGAAAGGAAAAAACATGTTGTCGCTCATTCATATCGAGAAGTTGTTTTGGCCTTGTCATATTTTGCTTAACTCCAGTGTACAAAATCGACAATTAATGCGCTGCTTCTATTCTGGGATTTCTTGATAAGCTCGAAACGCTAAACGTCTTTTTCATACCTATTGAATTCCAACGAAGTGACATGTAATCATCGTTTACCAAAACACACTCTATACAGGCATCCGAGTTGAGTTTACATGCGCATGATGACCAAAAACAGAACCCACAAATTTCTCAGTTACTTCTACAGCAATGGCGAAAATTTGAATATATTTAAACTTTGTTTGGGTATGATTCGACCCAAAAGTTTTAGTAATCTAGGACGCTTTGCACAAAAGTTGTGGGGGTCACCCTGTATTTTCACAACTTGAGAAAGACAAAGCCAGCCCTGCACGTCTAAATTGTGAACTTTGCAAAGATGGTATGTGCATTATAAACTAGGGATTTTTCCCATATCACAAAAATCAAGAAATAGCACTCTAGCTCTACCATATCTTTATATATTCGGGACGGAAATATAATGAAATTATGATTTGCCAGGGAGCATTAATATGATTAAATATTCCTTAATATGATATTAATGTATAAATTAATCCTTGTGCGGTATCTGATAATAATATATATAACTACAGAGTAACAACTTACCTTGTTGATTACTTGATCGACTTTTGCGTTTAGGAGATCGATTTGATTTTTCAAATCTTTTTCCAAGTCTTCCAGAGCCGGGTTCAGAACATCTTCTACTGCCTCATCAGTCAGATTTCCTGCTGAAATTCCATGTCGAACCTTTGCGTGTATTTTTGCAACTCCGTCTTTCAGGTCCTTCAGTCCAATTTCAGTACGACCTAGGCCGGCAATGATTTGGGAATCTCTAAATATTAGGGAATTGGTTATTGGATTAACCTTGCCGTTTAAAGAGATAGATTTGTTTTTGTGACGAGCCGTGTTTAAAATTATCCACACATATGACTGAGGTTTGGGACATCAATAAAAACACCACCCTTGCTCATTTAGTTTGTTTATTAAATATTTCAAAACTATTTACGTATGAAGGACAAATTGTAATAACTTACCTATAAATTGCCACTCCGAGTACTAGTCCACCTACAATTAATGACAAAATAATCAACAAAACTATGGAAAGACAGTGCGGTCTTGGCTTGTTGTTTGAGTTCGCCATGATTTTTGTTCTCGTCGATTCCTCTCGTCAGTCGTTCCTGTTAATGGATACGAAATAATGATTTCGCTTTTAAAAGTCAAAACATGGTTGTAACACAATACCATCTAATTGTTCAATTTCATAATGAGAGCGCGCCTACGCGTTCCTATGATATAGTGTACAACTTCTGCCCACTGGAATCCGAACATCGGTTTGATTACATGTACTAAGTTACATATATATTTCATTCCCTTTAGGTTTACCCAAATGAAATAAAATACGAACATAATATACAATGAATACTTGATCACATGATTTGAAATGATTCTCAAAATACACATTGAGGAAGGCTTTTCTATCTTATTTGTCTAAACATTTCCACTCGGGAACAACCTGTGTAATATGGCTTGAACGTTTGCAGTTCACATTCGACCTAGTTTAAGGCCCCAAGATTGCTGTAATTACGACGACGTAATCAATTATTGCGCAACTTGGGACTGTTCCGCGTTCCCGTTAGTACCGTTTTTCCCCGAAATTAAGACTGGATCTTATTTCAATTTTTTTTTTCGGAAAATATCACTGGGGCTTATTTTTGGGGATGTCTTTTATTTTTATTTATCAAAAACAAAATTACTGAGTGGAGAATTACGAGATTTTCGAATATACAAAATATGAAAACCGATATCCATTTACTTATAAATAACACGTTTTTATGTAAAACAACTGCTAAACATAGGTTATATGTGCAGGAGAGATTTCTTTAAGGCTTATATTAAAATCATTTTTATAATTTAGGGTAGATTTATTTTTAGGCTAGATCTTATTTTCGTGAAAACACGGTAGTGAAGACTGCGGTACGGGTAGTCAAAGTCACTTTGCCGGTAGTCTACTGTGACAGATTGCATTCCCGTACAACTTCGTTTTGGCTTTCTTGTCAATATATTTGAGCATCGACCTGGCGTTTTATGCATTGCGTGTGAGTTCCATTCAGGTTTGGTACTCGAGACTGAATTTAAAAACTACCAAATTTTATTTTCAGGCTAAACAGATTGTGGGCTACGTCGGTTCTGGTGTCTCCGTGTTGGCGTTAGCTTTGTCTCTGATCATATTCAATGTTGTTCGACCAACTATTAGGAACGACAGATTGAAAGCTCACATGAATCTTGCAATTGCCCTGTTCTTTGTCCATGCGACACAGGTGAAGTAGTTGCTCATTTTATCATATTTAATTTCATGTTACATACATATAGAATGAAATTTGTGGTGTCATATCTTTTGTCAATTTGAGTTCACTACAAGCTGTTGCCTACAATCAATGAATCAATATAAAGACTAACGCTTTATTATTATTAGGAAGAAACTTCAGTATAATAAAGACAATTTATGTATGGATTTGCCTTAAACAAGCTTATACTCTCGCCAAGTAGGAAAATTGTCTAGAGAAATGTAATCAATGAAAAGATAGAAGCTTCTTAATAGTTGTTGTAGTGTAGAAAACTACTACAATCAGCGGGATTATCTGTATAAAAAATTGTCGAGCTCCAAATCGACTGGATATTTTCGCCAGGAACCAAGACCGTTTAATTTAATTTTAGCATTAACCTTATATATATTTTCTATTTTAGCTTACAGTAGATTTTGCTATCAACAATGATGTAGCCTGTTTGTCGACAGCAATCATTACGCATTTCTTCTTACTCGCGTCATTTTTCTGGATGCTCATTGAGGGAATATTTTTGTACTTATATGTTGTACAAGTAAGTGTTTTATAGGTTTTGACAAGGCTTCCGTGCCCCACGTGTCTGTTTTGCATCCACATGTTTTGATGAAAATACCTAATACTACAGCCGTATTTGTGTACTTGTGTATTTATCTATACCTATTTAAAAGGGGGGGGGGGGGGATTTTTAGAATTAACCGTGGGATAAAATTTTGTTATACAAAAGGAATATTTATTTTTTAAATGTAGGTGTAATGCATGCTAGTTAATTGACACTGCTCATCCACGCGGAATGAAACCTTATGGTTGTTGTGTGATTGCCACATACTTGATGTTTTATTCTAATTTTATGATTTTTTTTTATATTTTAGGTCTTTGTACATTCAACTGTGGAATATCTCAAATGGGTTTTCTTACTTGGTTGGATAATTCCAGCCTTGGTCGTCGCTATTTCGGCAGGTGTTGGAATTCCAAACGATACATATTTGGATCTAAAACCTGATAACACTTATTGCAAAGAAACCGAAGTTCTCTATCCACCACTTCCTACCCCCACCGGTATGTTGCCTAGTGTAAAATCGTTTTATGGTTATGGTTTGGGGACGAAAAATGCAGAAATTCTCTGGATATTCTTGCAGATTAATTCAAATCGGTATTACTTAAAATTGCGATTTTTTGAGTTTTCAGCCAAGTTCCTTATTGATTTCTAAATTATAATGTGAATTTAATAACAATTAGTATTTTTTCGAAAATCAGGCATATGTTAATTCCTAGAGTAAATTTTCATTTCATCGAAACATTCCAGTAGCTGTTGCACTATTTTGATATAATTTTTTGGGAGGTTGTTCCGCCTTTGTTTGGATTATTTTGTGTGTTTGTATTGTAATTCTCACCTCTCTTTGTTTTTGTTTTTGCAACAAGGAGATCAATTGTAAATGCAACTACCACTGAGAATGTTTTGCTGTAGTGAATTGCCCAATTAATGGTTCAAATACTTGTTCTGGGGCCTAAAAGATTTTGATAAGTTTGTTATTAAGTTTGAGTATTTCCAAATACTTTACACTGGAAACATAGGCATCATATGGACATATATAAATTATTCAAGATTAATCACATTTTTCAGGATCAAAATATGAACAATGTTGGTTGAGTGCGAAATCTGGAATGTCATGGTCATTTATTTTTCCAGCTTTAATTATTATTTTGATCAACTTCGTCATCTTGTGCAAAGTTGTTCAGGTATGGAGATGAAAATACATAAACACACCACAATTCACCATGATTCTGAATGCTGGATTGATAGCGTTCTGTGGCTCTACTCCCGTGTAGTGTTCATTTGAAAAGTAAAAATAGGGAAACAAATGTAGGTTGGAAGATGAAGTACTACAAACTATAATTATCTATTTATGTCGAGCGCTGGTAACAGGATAACAGTCCATGTTCCACTTTAACTAAACCGTCCTATTGATGTTTTTCCATATTGGCATAAGATATGAAAGTCTTGTTTAATTGCCCTCCAACTTTACTATCCAGAACTGATCATGGCTTTAGAAACGAATTTATTACTCTATTGATTGGTGGCTTAGAATTTTGAAAATGGATTTACAGGTACCACGGATCCTGATTGGAAGCAAATTAATTCGTGTACTTTCTCTCATAGGTTCTTGTTAAAGTTTCTGGAAGAAGCCAAACTATCCGCCCATTCAAACCGAGTACTTCCTCAAGTGGAAGAAAATATACTGGAAGAGACACAAGCAGTTCATACATTAACAAAACGTATGGACAAAAAGATATGGATTCACATGTGAGCCAGGGCTTGTTATTGGTTTTACAATTTTATAAACAGATGAGTTTCGTGTATGCGTCACAAAAGATTCGTTGCAAGGTCCGCATCGATATATTAAACCATGAGCCACATACAGGGGTCCGTGTCGTATAAAACCAGCGACGGGATTCAAAATTTCCTTTTGTATCGTGCTAACCACGGTTCCCTCATCTTAGAAAACCGTGCCGACGTTATAGCTCTAAAATCAAGTTCTCTGATTAGCACGGCATTCCAAGAACAATCAAGCAATCCCTGGATACAACCACTGTATAAAACTTCCTAGTTGACTATCATTACGATGATTAAAAAAACACACCTGAGTGGTCCACTCAGCAGGTAGAAAATTAAAACTATAACTTCTATTAATAGTCAAAGTACAAGACGTCAGAAGTCAAGACAAATAAACCTAAAGAAGTGAAATCGGAACCCAATACTGATTATGGATCAACATCTAATGGTCATTCAGAAAAACCACCTACTACGAAAAATATGAACTCAAGTCCACGTCAATCTCCTAGCAGGTGAGAAGATCGTTCACATTTCCCCCGTCCAAGGATTGCATTTTTCTAACAACAGACACACGTGTTTCAAAGGGCGATTCCCCGGCGATTAAGTAAAAGCATTTGGTAGAAAAATATTCTTCAAATTCTATAAAATGTTCAACCTTTGTTCTTAAACAGTGCTTCATTGATATGAACGAATGATAATAAAACTTTAATGAATTGTTACTATTCAGATTTGACGGTCGGATCCCATCTCAAGCATATATGTATAACCGAGCACAGGCTGGTGAATCAATCACCAATGAAGGAAGAATCAACAGGGAAGCATTTCGTCAATGATGTGAAGGCAGCTGTAAAAGGTAAGCACTGTAAATATGTTTTTATCAACAGAATAATTTATTTCGACACAAATGTTTGTAATTGCAATGGGCTCAGTTGTTAACAACAGCTATATGCACAATCCTAATTTTTACTCAGCAAGTTGTTACGTGTTAGATATGTTTAACTTTTCCTTCCATAAATAAGTTATATATCTTTCATTGCAGGCGCACTGGTTCTGTTGCCTATACTTGGTATACCCTGGATTTGCGGAATGTGGGTCTACAACAGCTATGAATTAATGATGTTTTTCCTGATCATAAATTCTACGCAAGGACTTGTGATTTTCATTGTATATTGTTTGATGAATGGAGAGGTATTTTATTTTTGGTTTTTCGGTTTCATGTGGTGTGCTCTTGCTTCTGGGTGTCTGACTTTGTATTTTGTTACAGATTTATTACAGTTCTGTTCGGTGAAATGTAAAAATAAACATGATGAAATTTTCATTTATAATTTTCAAAGCAAGAGAACGACTGAAAATCATGAAACTGTCGATTATAATTGGCACACGCTGACGCCAATTCATTGATAATTTTTCAAAATTGCTAGTTCGTGTATAAGTCAAAGAATTACTATTTATTCATTGTATCAACTATTTTGCTTGTTCCTAGGTTCGACGTGCAATGCAACGCCATATGCAGTTAGCAAAGATCCGTAGTCAAAATGGTCGTTCAAGAGCCAGTAGTACAAGTAGTCTTCGATCACTCAACAGTAAATTCACAAGAAGTTGGAGACGAAAAGTGTCAACAGAATCTCATCCAGTTCACAAATAAATAGGGAATTTGCTGTCGATGTGTTTTATTTTAGCATCATCATCATTGCGACTCAATGCACAGATTTACATCAGAAACAAATTAGTTGCGGTTTAACAGCAGTGACAGCTAAATTAAGAATTATTGATGGCTGATAATAAACGGCTGAAATGGCTGATTGAATTCTACCAAAAATCTTTGTTGCAAGGATTAAACCTAATTATTTTTCAGACGCCTTGAATCTGAAGATATTGTCCGACACGGGAACAGTTATTGTAGTGTACCTTCTATACTTTACATTGCTATATGTATTAGCTATTTACTCAACGCCAAAGTTATCATTTTTCAAATTAAAGAAATTTCGAAGATTGCTTGCAGATTTCTGTATTGATTTTATGTATAGTTATCAACTTCAGGTTACAGGTATCGTGATTTCCACAGTTCTCAGGAACAAAATGTAAATCTGATTAATCCCTTGATTTACTTAATGTCATCCAATTTGCGTGACTTTGCCCACTGTCGACATATGGTGTCAGATATGACATCTCTTTTACTTCAATCTGAAGTTTTTTTTAGCCTAATTTTTTTGTTCAATTCCATGATATTTTATATAATAATTGCAGTAATAGTTAAGATTATGATATTCTGTATTAGCTAAGACTCCGCTCACAATTCTTCAAACCCATAAGTAATATCTTCAAATATAACGAGAATTAATGGTCATCTTTGTTGTGGACGCAAAAATAGGCGAGATCGATTGCAAGCAAAGTTATATTATGCCTTTATATCTCACGATTGCAGGATTTTTCCAGGGACTATATCGTCACAATATTTTTCTGGTTTTGCTTGGTATATTCTGGTTTACAATGTTTTGTGCGAAATCCAGGATAAATTCAGAAATTTTTGTTTAATAGCATTTATTGAAGGGGAGTATACAATGCTTCCTTTCGCTACATTCTTACCGCATTTTTGTGTATCATCGCTTGCTATCTTGTTTCGTTATTTTTTCTTAACGTTTGACACATTAGAATAAAAATTGATACTTCTTGCTGTCTAAACTTTAGAAGTATGCATCGTTTGTTTCATTTGCATACTGGAAAATGTTTGAGTTGCATACTCGAATCATAGTGTTTTACCAAATCATTTTCTCGGGCCCCATTGAAGCTAGTTTTGACAGTGTTCATGTTTTTCGCTTTTCTCTATAATTACCTGATCCACGATCTTGAAACTAGGGTCTTCTAGAATCCAACGAAGTAATTTTTAAAATTTTCTGGTTCCTTGTGCCCACAGTTGTCACCCAAACCTCGCTGGCATCGAAATCAATTGCGCCACCGCGCGGATTTTCGACTTCTGCGTGGTCTAATCTAGGCGGATGATGACAGTCGCCTTGTAGATAAAAAGCACCGCCGTTGAATATAACAAACTGACGATGCTTTCAAGAGGAACGTTGTGTATTAATATCATCTCGACACGCGATTTGTTGTATTTCCACGGCGGGTTATTGCAAATACAAAAGTTACATTAAATTGAAAGGCAATGGCTCAACGCTCAAAGCACTTCGTAATACTATGTTGCGTGTTTGTGTCGGCTGCCGATTCGCGATGAGAAATTTTGTACGAAAGCAGTCTGTAATCGTATTTTGCTAATGTTAATTGCTCGTAATTTTCACACTCAATTCAGTCATAAATAAGCTTGACATAACATGACCCTGTTTGGTAAAACAATTCTAATTGGTTAATTATTGACAAAGTTCCTCAGACGCTAGTACGCAACGCAAGTAGTTACTGACGCTTTCTATCAAATTACATATATTTAGTGATATATATTGACAAACAGTACTCAATATCCAATGCTCAAAGCAACACACGATATTTCATTCCATCGAACTTACAAATCTATTCGAGTGAATTTGTTCGCATCCCGAGCAAAAGTTGATTGTCACTAATGTACTGTCGTGTGCGAATTATCTGTGACTGAATTTATTAAGTTAAAATTATGGTGTTAAACCCGAAGTAAAACTTTGAAAAGTTGGCACAAGGAATATGTAATTGAACCAATGTAATATAAAAGCACTCTCCGCCATTAGCAGTGAAAAATATAGTTTCGTACGAAGCGCCATTTCCGTGTCGTCTTAAGCAATCATGAATACAAATAAAATAAAAACAAAATGATTTTTCGTGCTTTTGAATAAAAAAGTGTTCATAAATATTGAGAACTAAATAAAATTACACTAGTTCGATGGAAATTGGATGTTATATAATATTATATACATTCTTTTCTTGTGCAAATATCCGAAAAACCACAGGTCGGGCATCACAGACTGTAGTTACGCAACGTTACACAATGCTAGTTACGTAACAAATATTTGTTACATATGAATTAATACAAGAGTCTGGGCGAAGCCTCCGAACACACAGTATTAAACGAGGTTATTTGCTTTCTCAATGGGGTAGGTCTGCCTCGTATGAAACTAGTAAGCGAATGCTGGCGTTGGTATTCTTATCAAGACTCTTCCAGTTTATGTTGCTCGTATCTCTGGAAACTCACAAATTATTTGTTTTTGAAGTTATGTAAAGTCGATATTTGGATTAATGTCGTGTCTTTAATCGTGTCTTTTTATCATATTCACTGTGGTCACAAAAAGTTGAAGGATAAAGTTGAGTGCGAACAGTGGCGAGGCAATACAAACAAATGACAAGATAATATTAAATTCCGCTAATAACGTTATTTTTTCGGAAAATTCAAAACACCAGAGACTAGACGGTTGATACAATATTATTAGACAGGATTAGTATATTAAATTGAAAAGTAGGCAGATGATACTCCAATTAATTTTTTTTTGCAAGAGGAGGAACTTCATTCGCCCTTTCTAAAAAAACGTGCTCTGCTATCATTAGTCGATTTGCTAAATGATTGGTAGCGGAGCTAAAAAGGATGCGAACATATCGCTGCAGTAGAACAAGAGTGACTTATGTCCCATTTTGACATTCTGAGAAACGAAAATTCAATAAAATAATCAATTGAGGATTATAGGCATAGCATGTTCTAAAGAAGTGTTGCAGTTTCAAGTCCTACGTAAATGAAAATTCCATTAAGTCTTATCAAGTGTTGTGATAAAATGTCATGCAAAACATAATGTAAACGCTTCAGGGTGATGACCTGAGTAAACTACTGAGAGAGTGACCACTTATATCCATCAGAATAATGTCTAAAAATTGAGTTCCATGCAGTTGTTTCAAAATTTGTGAAACATAAGCTTTTTTTAAATTACATGATTCTAAATCACAATCGCAAAGCATACCGACAAACAGCGCAGACAACGGAATCCATTAGTAACATTCTGTCAAATTGCTGACCATGAATAATAAATGTAAGAGTGTTTAAAAAATTGTAATTGGCAGGTACTAAACATCTGGGTGCATATTAGTAATGATTGATCAAACTTTAAAGGCAGCGCACGGGAAGAGCATAGAAGTTTAGTATATATTGATTTACCGGATAATTATGCAACAAATTCGGGCAAAAATCATACTGGTCAACAAAAGTGACTTGACACTTGAACGGTGATGTGGATAAATTAATACCTTCAAATTTCTATAAAATTTTGAGAGGCGACGAGGTACAAGAACAACGATATAATGACAATTATTGCTGACAAGTAGCACTTCAGAAGATGCTAAGTGATTAGATCAAACGTAGTCTCCTTCGACCAATGCGTTCATTCGTTCATAGTGTTTCACGTGGTGGAGAATTCTTAGAATAAATATAGTGCTCTTTCGTTTTTTAGATAGCTTCAGCACGTGAGTTCAACTTTACACAGCGATATTGACTAAAACCTTGCTGAGTTATAAGGGTGACTAAGAGTCATGACACATTCTTTAGTAATTGTTTGGTAAACCGCTATAGGTAACATACATCATTCTTTATGAACTGAACTTGAGTTGAACAAAGCTGCAATTCCTGGTTACAGTGGGCTGAATAGCCTTTTTACCGTTTTTTCTTTCGCTGAAAGTTTTTTGTCTAGTTGCTGTAATGTGTGCTGGCTGTCCATATCACGGCCCAATAGCCTTTTTCAGAGAAACATATTATAGAAATATACAAAAATTATGATGCTAATATGTTTTAGACTGCTACCCGTAAGTTGGATGATATGAAGTTGGCGAGCCAACTTGTTGTGTCGCACTAATCATTCCTTGCAAAAATAATGAGGTAATAATAAATTTTTTTATCTGACATAATTAATAATTGTTCATCAGTGAAAGTTCAGTAAATAAGATAACTTACTGCGTGATTTTAACAACATGAGGTGCGAGTCTGAAGTTTGTTCCAATAACTGCTGAGTCATAACTGAGTCGTACCTTTAAAACCTATGAAAATTGACGTCAAACCATAGTCAGCCTGAAGGTTATGTACGTGGTTGTGCTTAGAAAATATATTAAGTATAGTAGAAAAGAATATACGACGAGGGCCTGGTTTGCTGGGGGAAGGAGGAATGCTCATTTAATTGGCAGTAAAAAACGATTCGTAAAGTCGCGCCATAACCTGACAGTTATTGTGTGTATTTAAACTACCTATCAGAAACCAGTTCATATTTCATGTAAAAGGGATCGATTTTGCTTCTTAAATTGAAGGCTTTGCTTGCCGAATACCGTTATTTGCTGATCTTTACAAAGTCGATACGTTTTAGTAAAAGTACCTATTTATTGTAAATTGTAGATGTCGACTAAAGGTTGTACATTTACAACTCAACGTAATTCAAATTGAGTAAACTTTCGAGAATAAGTTCGTGCGATATGTTTCCATTGTGATGTAATACTGCTGATATCTATACTCGTAAAAGTAACTTGACAATTGGCAGGTTTTTCTGCACACGACTCGGAAATTGGGATGATTCGTATTGCTCAAATCATCACATGGAACAGTTAAACGATTTAGTTGTTGTTTTTTTTTGCTTAACATAACGGTTCTAGAAGAGGATTTTTCATTTCATTAGAATATATTTTTACAGTTGATAAATTAAGTATATAGAATAGATCATTAACAACAGCCAACAATCATGCGACAAGATATAATTGCACTTGGTGGTGGACTTCTATTCATTGTATTCATCCTTGGAATGATGTGGCTGTGTGGGGTACGTACGTACATTCAATATAACAGTTTATTAAAGTTATTTATCAGGGTAGTTGGCAATTTTGATTTTGTAAATCTTATTGCAGGCCGATTTCGGAAGAAACAATGCGAGTGTAATCTCCATATTCGATCTTAACTGACCTTGTAGTTTAAATTGGCTACTCTTAAGAATTTTACCTGTCGAAGGTAATTTATTTGACGTTAATTGTAAATACATAACAAGTTAGTCCTTAGAGTTCACTCGAGATTGATTCAGGTAAACTGCACTAGCTTACAGAATTTCCATACTACACAATATGCTAATGAACGAATCAATACTTTCCTAGGTGAACTCGTGGATTGGGATGCCAAATCAGGATACACGCATTATGAAGTTAATTCATCACAAGATCGACTCATGTCAGAACCAGATGGATGTAATGATACCAGTATACCTGGTACGAATATTTTTCGTTAAATATATGCTTTCCATTTACATTTATGGTCAAGAAACTTTATCAATATTTGAAATACTTTTCTGCAATTTTGGATATTTTTTTCCAATGCAGCAGCATTCATCTGTTCCAATGTTGTTGGAATATATATAAAGTTTGATTTTCGGTTAATTGAATTTTAGGACGAAGTGGAAACCATTGCACAAGCACGTGGTATTACTGGAAGTTACCACCTGATGAAACGTCAGCATTAACTAGAGCGTTCGTATGGACTCTCTATGCTCTGCATCAAATATTCATTTGGGGATTGATATATAGAGCGCAGCTAACTGTAACAAAGAAAAAGTACGAAGAAAAACGAGGGAAAACATACAGGTATATAAAAAAAAATGCAGAGAAGGTCAAAATATTTTCACAACAATATTTCACATGCCATTGAATAGGAGTTCGGTAGGATGATTGCGCTCAACCTATTAGTTGAACCCTACTTGGAAATACGAGACAGTATTTATAGACAATGTAGAATCCCGCAAGCGGGCCCCGAAGTTACATAAATGAAAAATTCAGATTGTCGCTATGAAAAAAAAAATTAAACTATTGCCGTTAGAGTTAAAGACGCAATTTAGGTAGATTTCAAATTTACGCTATAATTACCGCGCTGCTATAACTTGGTTTTTGAAGACAGCGCGTGCTTGCGTCGTTCATACCAAGTTTTTGCACCAAGCGCTCCCACGATAATTTGATTCTTTTATTTCCTAATTTTAAATTGACTCTCATTCTAGATCTAAAGTGAATTAGTTTCAATGATTAATACTCGCTCTGCTATTTTTGGAAGTGATTTCGACCAACGAGTGTTGCTGACCACGCTTGCTTTATTCGACTTTTTAGGTTTACCTAAATACTCCCAATGCAAATAACAAGACAAAAGCTAAGCGTTAATAAGATTGCTTGTTTATGGCTATTGTATATTTGAGTTGATTCAGATTGACGAAAAGCGACGACAAAAGGTCATTTTATATTAGACTCGCAATTTAATTTCGAATGATATAACCTGAGTCAACCAAGCCAGTTGCTTACGTGAGCAAATATTTGCTGAAGCGGTGTTGACACTGCGACTTGTTATGTAAAATTACTTATTGCTATGCTTGCAGATGCATGAGTTTTTTTATTCGAAAAGAAAACAAGCAATAGCCACAAATAAAATTAAGAAGTTTTGTTTTTCTGATCACGCCTATTACAGTAGGAAAATGTTTGACGTTGATTGGCCATATTAACTCGGTACATTGAAAATTTCATATACACTCCAATGGAAGTCAGTAAAATCCAATCTACACGCCGCGATTTAATTTTGTCGAGTCTCCACAGTTTGTCCAGAATATGTTATATATATATATACATATATAGTCAAACTTTATATCAACTAACAAACTTAACTACACTTTCATACTTTATAATTCAACATAATTTAATTATTGAATCTTTTTTTCAAGTACGGATCTACGATGGTTCAACTGGTCAATGTTGTTTGTAAATGCTTTGTTTCATGTGCTTCACCTTGTCCAAACCCACACAACGTATGATGCAACAGCCCAGGACGTATCTATATCCACGTCTCAGGTAAATTCACAAAAATAGACGAGGTTCACACAAGCTGGAATAAATTGCGAGTTAACTTAAAATATTAGGACTTTACAATGGCATTTCTATAGCACAGATTGCACGGCAAAAATTTCCAATTTGGCACAAATCGCATAAAAAATGCTTAAATTTATAAACCAATCATCCTGCAAATAACACATAATTCATGTTGTATTAATTGAATGGAGCAATGCCTGAGGTACTCACTAACATAGACGCAAATATGTCATTTATTGACGATCAATAGAGCAATAAGAAATTGAATATAGGTGATGTCAAACCTGGTTAGATTCCCTTGATGCAAATAAGTAGCTTTTCATACATTAGTGATTACCTCCATCTTGAGATGAAAAATGATTATCTGTCTTTGTGGACATTCGCGCAAGTTATCCCATTTGAACTAGTCTAATCATTCACGTTTAGAGTACCAGTGTTCATCATATAAATGTTAGGAACTGAAATATAACGAAATGCTGAAAAAATATCCAATCGAAAATTGATGCTAATTCATTTGCACATCAAGTTTTTAGAATAAAGGTGAAATCTTCAAAACTCATCTTCGATTTGACTTGCTCCAAGTCAATATGTCATCTCAGTATATCTCTGTTTCAGGCTTCGGTTATTATGATGCTTGTGTTTATTCTCTTGATGGAATATAAAGACAGGGGATTCATGTTCATGTGGCCGAATTCTCAATCAGACGATTGCATATCCAAAAAACTCAGATTTCACTTAGGACCGATAAAATTGATTCGGAAGTGAGTTTTTAATGATACAAATTCAACTACAATTTCCCAATTTTTGTTTGCAATTTAAGTTCTAATTTGACTATTCATCTCAGATATTATTTAATGGTTCATTTCATGATAAATCGCAAAGTGAACAATTCTTTCATGTATTGTGAATACTCATATGCATAGTTTTCATTTCTCCGTTAACTCTTATCATGGCGCTATTTTGTGTAACCAATTTGAAACCAACTGACAGCTTAATTGTTTTAGATACCACGGCTTTGCATTTGCTTGGGCTTCAATTTATACATTTTGGTATCACCCGATGGAAAATACATGGGGTCATACGTTGGGATTCTTTCACACCGCTATCGTTCTTTTACAAGGAAGTTTGGTTTACACAGAAATACATCTCAATAGGTAAAAGATAAATTCTGTTTATTTCAATGTTTTATTAACTATCATACTCAATTTTACTTGGTAAACTAAAAGCGGTTCGGATCGTCGTATATTGTTTCCATTGTCTGATACATGATAGGTCTATTTCATTTAGACGTTTTGAAGTAGTATTTGTTGTTACACTAATGCCAAATATTTTAGGTATTGGCGGCTTCTCAATGAATGTTGGGTATTTATCCATGCTACAATCGTTGCTGTTCAGACCGGTAACCCTGCGAAGGGTAATGGAGACATATGGCCAATTTTTACATTTGGATTTGGATTTATTTTTGCATTCACTCAGGTTTGTTTGATTCCGCAATTAGCATAATACTAGTAAATTGTACCATGTAAGTATTTACTCCAGTTTATTGTTTCGTGAAAATAAAAATCTTGCGTAAATAAAAGAATAAAACGAATGAATCAAATGATATGTATGTATATATATATATATATATATATATATATCAAAACAAATACAGCAGGATCAGGCTAAAATGATAAATGGATAACGTTGCTTATTGGCCGGCGAATAACAATTATTGTTTACAGGTGTTCAGCTTCCCCTTTTGGAAAAAGATATCAGCCTGGGTCCGCATAGTTCCTGTAATCATTTATTTCGGAGTTGTATGCGTTTTGTGTGGCACAGTAGTCATTCCAAAAGAACCCGACCAAAGTGGATTCAGTCGTATGTACGAAATGGTATTTATTCCAGCTGAAGAATACATGCAGTTACTACTGTCGTGGCTTTTCCTTTTCTTGTTCATATTGATAGAGTCAAAATTCTCTTCAAAACCTGCTGCTTACGCTAATACTACAGAAGATATGAAAGTTGAACAAATAGTCCCAGAGAAAGGATTTGTATATCCATCACCCACCAAGCAAGCACTATATCTATCCGGAATTATATTGATATATGCATCTTTCATACTTGGATCTCATTTTTATGAAGCTGCGCATTATGGCATTATTTTGACCACCTCTATGATATTTTGGGTGATTGTGTTTTCTCTGGGAGTGGCCATCACAATAATGTTTTTCAAAAAATTGATGGGACCGATGGAACCACTTTACGTCTCAATAGATAATAAAATTTCAAGTAGAGAGGGAAGCATATCTGAACAATCGGCAGCTGAAAATCCGGCATATGTAGGACAAGAACTCTAAGTGTAATATTTTTCGAAAATATTGTAATATTTGTGTTTATATTTTGCTTTTCATTATATATAATTTAATATAATTTTCTATTGTGAATTTTTAATCATTTTATGCAATTTGTGTAACACGCCGATTGTTCGTTATAAGTTTCTGATATAATACAATACAAAGTTACTCAATGAATATTAGATGTTTTCCTAGTGTGGATATAGTCTACTACTAAGTACAAGGTTTGGCTGATTCATAGAGATCCAGGGGTTTTCAGTCCGGATTGAACGAGGGACACGTACTCTACGATATTACTTTTTTCTCACGTTGATCGCAGTATATCAATCTGCTGTTCGCATAAGAACGAATGATTGGTGACTACTTTTATGAGCATGCTAAGAGATTCATTTGGTGAGACAATTTGTATGGTTATTCGAAGTTCGCCACAAATAGGTTGCCTCATATGTAATATTGATTTTACGGTGAGTCGAATCAATCGCCTGACCCAATGTAAGCCAAGGAAACTGTATAGAACATGCCACACATACAAAATCGCTATCTGTGCGAAAGCGAGTTAAGTTGGCATCCAAAGGGTAATGCAGAAGACTTAAGCCTGGCGTAGTCCAGCAGTAGCTAGCTGTTTACGGTAGCTAGGTTTAGTTGACAGCGACGATTTAAAAAACGTTGAGGTGTTCACGGTCAGGTAGAAACAGGTCGAGGTGTAAGTGTTCGAGTAGAAAAACAGAGGAACGATTAAATCATAGGACCTAACTTAATGACATGACCTCCTTCCGAGCTACTTGGATGAAAAATAACGCACCTCGCGCTTGCGATCATGTACTTATTGCTCGAAAGTAGAGTAGGCCAATGAGCGTATATGTATATTATGCTCATTGAGTAGGCCTATCAGCAATGTTCCCTCTAATTTTTGTAGTATGTGTGCACAGAAATTTTGGTGTGTGCGCACTTTTTTGGAAATGACTAATATTTGTGCAAAAACCAATGAAGAAATTTTGGCGTTCTAACCGGGTAATAAGTGGGCTTATTAACTTAAGAAAATTTTGGTTATTCAATAAGTTTTTCTATAGATTGTAAATGCTTTAGTGAAGGCTATATGTTATCAGTAGATAACAATGAACATACATGGAAAATAATAAATGAAATTGATTGTAACAGATGGTTTTATTTGTATTCAAATAAAGGGTGAAAAAAGAACAAAAGAACATTGTTACATTACATCGAAATACGTCTGTGCGCAGTAAATCTATGCGTGTGCGCAGCCTCTGAAAGCTGTGTGCGCGCGCACACGCGCACACCTTAGAGGGAACACTGCCTATCAGTAAATGCACTCTGACTATTACTCAAAATCACGAAGACATAAAGTGTCACGTGTTCCCGATATTCTAGAATTTGGTTCCCCATTGAGAAAATGTTAACAATTCAGGCGTTACTCATAGTTCTAAATGTATTACTAAATAATGGAAATCTTCTACCTTCGCCCCCCTAGAGTAAATTATAAAACTTCATCATGGAAGAATCCAGGGTTTCATCGCCTTAAATATCGCCGGGTACTTGCCTGATGACTTGCACCAAAATACATCACAACGATCTTCGGTGAAATTCATCTTCGATTCCTCATCATATACTGCGGCCTCCAGTCTATAAAATAAATCTTTCATACATTTGCTTCAGATTAATGGACTTGATGGTGAGGGAAACGGTAACGACCATCGGCTACGGCTCGAGGGTCGGCAACCGGGCGGCACATATTTTTTGAAAGTTAAAAACGGAACAGCGCGCGAAGACTGCGAGAATTCATGAACTCAGCTCAGTCGTCTTATTAAAAAATTACAAATGACATTTAATGTGTCACTGCCTTGTTGCGGCAACACGCTTGATAGCTTTTCGATATCGGCGGCACACTGAATGATTGAAACATTTTCTAAAGGGGCATCACTAATCCTAATTCTCTGCTAGTTTTTTTTGTAATGTTCATTTTCGAAATTAATTGTTTGCACGCATATGTACTTCCAAACACCGAAGTGGATTTTTTCGCATGGTTTGACAAATTTTGATAGAGATTTCCTTTCAAGAATATACATTTTTATTAAAATCATGCAGTGAAGCACTTCTCGACCAAAATATGAATTTTTTTCCTCATTGCATTTTATCTCAAGGAGCTCCATTAAAATATTTTCTGCGCTATTGAACCCCTGCACTCAGCATCAACCTTTCTGTGTGTAGGCTCATCAAACGAGTAGCTGGCTGTTAACTGAATTGTTCGGAGATATTTTAATTTAGTCTGCGTGTCTCACAATAGCGTGTCTCACAATAAATTCTGTTACGTAAAAATTAAAATCCACTCCCCGATCGTAGATTATAAAATTCAATTATCGTCAAAACCTCCGTTTTGTCGCTATAATTCAGTGAAGTTTCATAGGTTGTCGGCCCCTCGGCTACGCGAACTACCCTTACGGTGGGGAGGAGTCCACGTCCAGCAATCATCTCGCGTGTGAGTATTGCCTACGGGAGAGTACAGTTATCAAGTGCACGATGAGCCAGTCGCCGAACAAAAACAGGTTTTGCGAAATCGCCCCCCTCTGTAGCGTTTCCGCCCACCGGGGTGATATCATCCACTCTGGGAATCACTGGCCTAGTATATTAATTTTGAAGGAAGTTTAAGACGCCGGAAATTAATTTTTCAAGTCTACCGTTTTCAGAAATTGTGTACAATTATGTGTGTGCGTTTGTTCATTGGACTTGCAGTCGTTTGGGTGCAACCGGGAATGTTTAGGTCACTGATATATATGCTAATTGTTTTTCTTATATGTGCGGAGTGTGATATATTACATTTGCAATATTGTTTTGTGTGACAATGCTAGAAGCTCACTCACTCACTCGCATGCTATATCAAGTTTTCCCAAACTTTATAATCTTAAATTTTGTCGTATTTGTGTTTTGGCAAAGCATCAATATTTCTTGATATAGTTGCAACAAAAATTTTGTTTAAAATTTTGTATTCCCACTAATATTGCACCACATCCCAACCGTGACTACGAAAAATCTATCAATTTTTCTATTTCTTGTAAAGTGTTGCCCTGTTCTTCTTCTGATCAGTGTTTGCATAATTGAATCGATTTATTTGAAGTTATTGCCCGATTCTGTATCGTGTATTTTTATTTTATTGTGATATTTGACTGACACACTAAAACATAGTCAACTGTGCTGTATTTGAGATAGATAACAGATTTACCTTAAAGCATTACATCTAAAATGGTAAAATAAAGATCAATTCAGCAATATCTACTCAGGACTTGGTAATATGCATCTGTTGATGATTTCATGTGTTTGTTTCGAAAGTTTATTGACAGTATCAATTCTGGTTTTTGGGGATGTTTCAAAAAAAGGTTAAATGTAAATAAGTTTTCACAAAATGTCAATATTTGAGATTAGTAGAAAAGTAGAAAAAATACTCCCATGTTTTCTTCATTTGATAACCACGCCACAGAATTTCTTCGATAAATATACGCAGCAATTGCGAGAGGCAGAAATGCTAAGTTGGGATTTCTTGTCAAATCTATGTCAGATGAGCGTCATATTATCGAATATATATCAGTAAAGGAACAGTGCAATGGGAAAAAACATATAAGGCGTAACTTTTAGATATATGCAATCAAATATTCCTATTGTAGAATATATATTTAAAAACATTACGTCATGCCAACCGCGGTCCGAAACTTTTTGTCTCTGGCTGAGCTTAGATACCAATCGGCGCTCATGTAAACTTGTGAGAAGCAGGTTTCATATTGAAACGCCACGGGATGGATACTAATATTAGTATCCATCCCCCAGCTGTCATTTGAGTGGGCACTGCTGTTTTTATTGCAGATAATACTTATCTTTTTGTATTAAAGATTTATCGGCATCACCGATTAAAGAATGTCAAATGATGGATATCAATAAGCCAGTTGAAAACCAATACGCAATATTCCAAAACTTACTTCCAATACGCGATTTAAATGAATGAAAAAGCTGAAACTAGTATTCTTTAGAACAGCATACAAATTATATGGGATGAAATCATACACAAAAGATCGTAAAAAACCTGTAGGTCAATTAACAAGTGGAATTTGATGCATGTGCGCAAAAATGTACGCGTTACCACGTACAACCGAAGCACTCAGAAAAATGTGTGTGTGTGAGTGTGATGTTCTAATGATCAAAATGTTTGACTCAACTATGTTGGCATAACATATGCACATCTCGGCTTCGCATACAAAGTCGATGCTGAACCTGAAAGGTCTCGGTTCTTCCAAAGGAAAACACGTTACACATCGTTAGATGTCAGTGGATGGTTTTACATGGCCTTGTTCAGCGCAGAAGACGAGGTCGAATATTCCAATCCGTTTCAACTAATAAAATATTTCCCAAGTCCCGAAGCTTTAATCAGGAAAAAGAAATGCCCGCGGCAACACAAATATAGTTTGAAAAGTGCAAAAGAAAGTGACTAGATGCTGTCGATGGATCTTGGCTTATATTTGTGAAATAAACTACCATTTATTGTAATAAAATTGAATTTCTGACATTGTAAGGAGATTAAATGTTACTATGTATTCAAAACTAACCCATGTAGTTATGAAACAATTGTTTTTAACAAAAAAGGTGCCCCCGAAGTATTCGTACCAAGATGGCGCACAACCTGAACATTGCATGTGTACCAGGTTAGAGCTCAGGATGTGCGTCATCTTGGTATGAATAGTCCCGGAGCGCCTTAAAATCAACTTGGAAAAAATTGCTCAACATTATATACTCCAGACCCACCTGGGTATCATTATTTATGTCATCGACATTATATCTAAACAAACTTTATGTCTCAAAACGAGCTTCGGCCACGATTCTGCCGGACTAATATATCAGTCCATTAATATAGCATTGTCTACTAATATACTTACTACTATAGATAATATCATATTTTAAGTACCGCCTCGTTGCCACATGGACAGTTACAAAATTAGTCAAGTTAGTATTCTAATAAGTGAACAAATAGCTCGCACAGTCCCTAGGTGTCCCTCACTGAGCTTTGTGACTCCGTATGGAGCAGTTTGAGGGGTTTTAAGTTTTTAACTAGGTTTTGTTAACGACGACGATTTAAAAACGCTGAGGTGATCACGGTAGGGTAGAAACAGGTCGAGTTGTAAGCGTTCGAGTAGAAATTGATTGGTTATTTGTTCCTTCAGCACTCTTATACAAGTAACAGAACTAGAGTCGCAATTTGATTTTCAAATTCGCTGGTATCGTAGTCTAAAAATGTGAGCTCTGCTAAATGCTGGTCTTGAATCGCACAAAAGATGATAATAAAGAAATGCATAATATATAACTATGAATAACTCCGTATATTATGTCGAGATAAAAAGGCGGAGAAACAATCAAATCATAGGACCAAATTTAATGACATGAACTCCTTCCGAGCTACTCCGGGGAAAATGACGCATACAGCGCTTGCGATAAAAGAGAGCATCAATAAATTTATTCTGACTATTATTCCGTGCAATAAAAATTTTGTCGCTTTGCGGCCGACCTGTGAACTCTGAGTACATTCGAATGCAGCGAAGAAAAATTATGTTAGGGTGGATTTTCGGATAGGTAACTTCTGATTGGTTAGGGTTTTTTCCACGGCAGTACATATGAAATGATCGATCACATTAGTATCTAATCTCATATCTATCTGGACTGATGATATGGATGTATGTCGCCATTCTTTGCGCTAATACCATTTGCCTTTTTGGATACACAATCACTATTCTTAACTATTCGGGTATATGCCACTTTAAAAGTACAGGAAACTGATCTTTTCGCACTATCCTAACTTTTAAGTCCCATTTCATTGCTGTCGCTAAATGAAATTCCCCCAATAAGAACAATCAATATGAAAGCTTGGGGCATGATTTCTGCCGAGTACTCAGAAGTCAGGACATGATTTTTTTAGTGATATCATCTATATCAGTGGTCGGCAACCTTTTTCAAGTGACGGACCGGTAAAGCCTGACCAAAATTTTGGCGGACCACCTTTATACAAACCAACTATCCCTGTGCAATAAATTATACACATTAGGAAATTAGTGTTATCAATATACTAGAAACGACGGTGATGCTATTTTAGGCGAATTGGAGATATGGTCGACATTGACACACGTTACGTGTTTCTTGAATCCAGCCTACTACGATATTTCGTTTTTGTAGTTATCAATATGGAAAACCAGGCCTCACATTAATAAGATTTATGGGAAGGTAACAATCAATGCCTGTTAACCTTTCTGACCTTAGTCTGGGTATTGATGTGATGTTTTGCCAAAACTAATTATTTTACTCGATGTGCCAACTTTATTCTGAAGTATAGAATTAGCACTGACTGGGTATGACCGGTTAGCTACGAGCCAGTAGTGGTGTAGTCACGTTTAGAGATGTATCGGCAATATCGGTCAATTTTTCGGTATCGGCTGAGTGTATACCGATATATTTTGCTTTTTAATATGATCCAAAATATTTTGAAAAATAAGTTAGAATCTTGAAATTGTTTTATGCTTGGATTGATCGTGAACTATGAGCCATTCACATGTCGGGAATAGGATTCACCTGTTTTTAGCTATTTATCAGCCAAACTGGCTCAACTAATTTGGCTATTTTAGCTGCTAAATTTTCAATATTACATGGTAATTATGAAGAAATATATCAATCCAATATTAGTGGATGTTCCGATGTGTAAAATACAAAATACGACGTTATATTGACATTGAACAATTGAATTGAACATTGAGATTACTAGCGTTAGTACTCAACGCATCTGAACCAATTAACACTTTTGATCCAAAAAATCAATTGCTTATTATGTGATATATCTCGTTTTCAATCTGAAATATTGTGCGCTATCAATATTTCCCAAAAGACTATTGTTTTAACCCGTCTGTCCTGCACATTGGAGGTAATAATTATTGTATCCGAATATCGGCCGGCAATATCGGCATCACCGTTTTAAGCTAATATCGGATTGGTATCAGTGACAACAGGGGTATTGATGCATCTCTAGTCACGTTCTCAGCGAGAATCATCCGGCAATATCGGCATCGCCGTTCTAGTCACGTTCTCAGCGAAAATCATTTTGTTGGAGATGCCGTATTCGGATTGATGAGAGACATTCTTATACGGGCGTAGAGGAAACAATTGACCTAGCATGACATGGCAAAGTCAGACATGCTGCTCAAAAGTGTTGTGCCTGTCTAGTTTTGGTTTGCTGTTGTTTTTCGTTGTAAGGTTAGTGGTTATATTGTAGGGGTTTTATTGCGGCCTTGTCCATTTTTGTGTCCCCTTTCTGCGGACCGGCAGTAATCTTTCCGCGGACCGGCGATGGGCCGCGGCCCGGTGGTTGCCGACCACTGATCTATATCAATCCCCATCCTATATCAATTTATGTGCGTAACCAAGGAGGAAGGATAATGTTTCATTTGGATTTAGAACACAACATCACAAACGACATTAATTGCATTAATGTGACGTATATATTTACGATGTGACGGATCAATTTGTGATAGGCAAACTCGTAGGCCCAACTCGACGACAACGAGCTAATTTAATTGTGTATACTTGGATAGTCTCTTACAATTAACTGGGTTTCAAGCCTTTTTCTTGCATCTACGGGGCTCAAATGAGCTCGGCAAAGTCGCACAAGTTGGGTAATACTCAATAACGCATACAATCAATTATTACCGACGATGTAGCTCTGTGACAGAGATCATATCCTGCCTCTTGCGTTAACTTACGACTTTTGTTATCTCGTTTATAAATGTCTACGTAACAGTGGATATACGTTAAATGTATATATTTCAGACGCTTAATATTGCTACGGACCCCCGGTGTAATCGTCACGGACCTCCAGGGGTCCGCAAATCCCAATTTGGGAGACCCTGAATTCTAGTTAATGCCCTAGTTTTTTGAATTACATCATACTAAACCAAAATAGCACAAACAGTAATGAAACAAAAGTTCTGTTTGTGTCGCGAAACAAATCTTTGGTTATTTAAAATAAACTACAAGTGTGTAAGTCCCGTTTACGGAAACACACCTGAAATAAATCACCAAGGAATTTCGCAATAGCTTCAGCTCAACGGAGGGAAATCCCCTCCGCTGTGATGGAGCTCTCCATAACGGTGAATCCCCGTCGTCGATACATATGAACGCATTTATATATCAGTCCAGTCAGTCAGTGGCATTGGGATACTAGAGTACACGGTTGACAGTTGACGAGCACTCCATTAATAAACCGTGAACAATTTAGGGAAGTTGACCATACGGTATCATGGCGACATCCAATAATACTGCTTTCAAGCAAAAGCCTAATTTAAAACATTGGTTATATCAGCAGATTTTGAGCGGCGATTTCAGGGGGCTAGAATGGTATGGCTTGAATGGATACCAATATGTGTTTAAGCTACCTTGGGTCAAAGAATCTGATCCAGACTGGAATGATTACTACATGCTGTTTCATGTAAGTTACGTCTTTATTCACAAATCTCTTATACCAGTTTACTACCTACTCCAGAACCTATCCAAACAGTTTTCATTTCAAAAGTAATAATTTCATCCCTGGATAATTGGATGTTTTAGCCTATGCTCGTGTCATCTGATTAATCTTTATTATGGTGTCTTATTATTTCTGCTGGTTAATTGCCTTTGAAAATCAGGATGAAAAAGTAAGCCTCAACCTTGAGTCTCGTGTTTGAATGTATATTGTTGCAGTTGATTAATAAAATAATGAAAATTGGGTCTGAAGCTTGCATGGAAAAACATTGTGTGGTGTCTCCCCCATAGAACATGTCTGCATGTCCTTAAGATGCGTCATATTTTATGATCGTTTGAATATGACATAAATTTTCTTTGGCCTTGCAGATCGATTTTCAGAGGGTTGAAATGCTATACCCCAAAACTATTGTTGGTGTTGGTTTTGATATACTTTATGTATATCTATGGTTATGATATAGGCCCTACATATAATTATTTGCAAATACGTTGTTTCAGTGGTTGATTTTAAGCATTGTACATTTATGTAATGTACATTTGGTGAGAAAAATTTTAGACTATTGTTTTTAAATTCACAGATTTTATAGTAACGAGAATGAATTTGGTCGCAACTGGGTAAACCACTTTATGCTTTTAAATAGCCTGACTAGTCTTATTTCATTTAGGGTTGACATAACTGGTAGTTATTAATATCTCCAATACCACAGATAACAATTGATGTAATTTTCCATTTCCTTTCGTTGTGAAATGCTTGTACCATATTCTCATGCGTTTGAATTTAATATATTTGAATATCTATTTACCGGTATATTATTTTTCTTAGAAATGGGCTGAGAGGGATGGAAAGCAATCTTCTGATCCACAAAAAGCCAAGCGAAACTTTCGGTCGGCTATAAATCATTCTCAGCATTTTGAGCATTTGAAAAATGAGGATCAACAATTGCAAACAGGAAGTTTTAAAGTTTACAGATTTCTTTCAGAGGAAGAAGTATTGGGTATTCACTTAAACTTATTGTGAAAGAAGATTGTTTGTATGAGTATACGTTTATTTCGACTCCATTTCAGCATAACAAAGTAAGCCTTTGGCTCTTTTACTTTGCTTGGTGGTTCGGGTAGCCATTGATGTTAGATCTTTTTCAACCAACCATATTCATGCATTTGAGATTTCAAAGCGTGGGACTTGAATGAATAACAGGACTAAATGTGGTAGTTTGCCATATAATAATGCCATACTAATAATTTTCCGTATCTCATGTATAAATAGAAAAATTCTCATTTCAAAACTGGGCCTTCCATTATCTTTCATATAAATGTTGGTAATACGTATTTTCAAATTGTTTTAGCAAGGAAAGCTGGTCAGCAAAGGAAAATTTCAGAGGATAGCCAGGATTCTAATGTTACCCCATCTCCAGTATCTGTGAGTCACATGGGTTATAACGTGTCTCCAGGTGCGTGCTGGTTAGCTATTTGTGCTATGGATGCCATAGTCACTGAACTAATCTAAGTTTATGATCTGATTCAATATTTCTGTCCGTTATGGTATAATCCATTTTTCTTGTTTAAAGATAATGATTGTTCGTGATGTAAGTCTCATAAAACATTGAAGTTTTGAAAATTTCATAGCATGCATTTAAGTGCTTGTGGTATATCAAAAATGAGTAAAACGTAACTGAAAAATTAGGTTTCAACATCAACAATTTTGCATTAACTTTAATGAAATGATTTAATGAATAACGGGTTACATTATAGATCCAGTACGAGTATCACAAAACCATTTTCTTGATGGAGATCCTTCTTGTAACAATCTCACTACATCAGATTTAAATCTTGGTCAGAACTTCCTGCAGGAACTACTTGAAGATCCTCCTCCTCAACTTGTAAGTTTTGTACCATGACATAGTTAGTGATTATCACTAAATAATTTTAATAATACTGTGATCAAAGAGTGGAGCATCGTGCTGGGCATTAACAATAGGTTCGCCACCTCACCTCTGATTACCCTGTTTGAATCGAATAATTATGTGAGAGAGGATTGCTGGACTCCATACCGATGTAGGGTGGTTCACGTAACTGCTGGTGGGTTATGGCTTCCTGTACGATCCAGTCATCTGAAACAAATTCTCGAGAGGTCGTGGTTCACCATATAATTAAGCCATCTTATCGGCGTTTCTCTCCCCTGCTTTAAAGATAGCTATGATAGCTTATTACGGTACTTATCGATTTTAATCGGTAAGTATGTTGATAGGTATTTGTCTGTTAGATGCACGCGATGTCTCATGAAAGCGAGATTGAATCTGCTCCAGATTTTGCATGTGCATTCATCATATGTCGGACCAGAAGCCTATTGATTTTGGATGAATTATGTCGTATAATTAGCGAGTTATTAATTAATTAGTAATTGGACACAAGGTGTCACTATGGAGTAAGAGCGCTGTTTTGGGGATCCCCTAACTTTCGATCGTCTTCGGTCTCTGACCGATATTCTCGTTTAGTCTATTGTTAATGTTATCATTCAGAAACAAAGATAAATCTAAAAATGTCATGTAAGTCTAATATTCATCATCAGTTTAAATTTCTCCACAGGAACCAATGAATGTTTCAACCACAAGTGCCACAAATTATGTTTCACAAATTCATGAAGCCGGTAATGTTCAGCCCACAGATGGTGAGCATGCTTATTGCTTAACATTATAATTTCTACTATTAAGATAGTTGCATTAGTGTGTTGTGCTCACTGCTCAGTGTTGATATGTGATTGGCTGGTTATATCTCCTTCCACCATCCATATGCATACTTTCACACCAAACTTAGAGAGTTGTGGAGAAGACACTTTCGCTTGTCACATGCTCTGGTGTGACGTTTTGTAGAGAAAAATAAAATCATATGATTCATTTAGTGTCGATGATACATCCTTATGTTGCCTTTGATCAAATCATTAGCAAGTCATATTAGACTTTGCGTTCTGGCATTTTTTTACACAAGTTTTGATTATTTTTTTCCAAAATATATAATATGAACCATGCTATTATTCACCTGCTCTTCAACACATTCAGTTTTCAGGCCATTACATTGTATTTTACTTTTAAGATGTTCAAATGCCAAGCATACCTTCTATGGACAGTGAACATTATAACTCCCTGTTTTTGGAGAGATTAAAAACGATTGGTGTCACAGGTAATAATTTTTCTCATAACATTATTTCAACTTAATATGTGGACACGATACATCTCTAATGAACTTATTTCGACAGACTTGAGACTAAGAGTATAAGCTGCAGCAATTATGTATACAAAAGGAAACTTGTGTTGTGCTATTCTTGAACTGGGAGTTTGACCTTTAAACTTCTGATATAAAGTGACAGTCAAATTGTTTTATATTAGTGTCTGGATCTTATATTTCTTTCCATAGTACAGTTGTCCATGAAACTTTCTATTTATTCCAAAGGTGACATTTAGAATTCATTCAATTTTTTTTTCTGTGAGATTTTACCAGTTCTTGTTTTAGTTTGTGGTTCACAGTTTCATTGAAAATTACTACATATATCTATTGTCTTTATTTTATTAAAAAGTGATGACTCACAACCTCGCTTTTACAGAAACTGATTTAAGAAAGTGCAAATTTACCATTGCTTATAATGATGTCGACATGCTATTTCGTGAAGTCGAAATGGACAAATTGTGCAACGTTGTGTATGGTGATACAGGCTCCATCTCGGCATTAGTAAACCTGTATGCATATAGACAATTACCGCCACAACAAATTATTCAACTTCCTTCTCATCTCGATTGCCAAAATCTTCAAATTATTTTAACAAATATGGACACTGGAATACTGTTCGGGTATGACGCAAGTGATAAAAGCATTTACATGATTCGCCATTGCAAATCTCATGCATTTTTCTTTGATGTACACAAGAACGACAATGAGCCGGTGAAAGTTGACAGAGGAATCAAGTACAAAATATTTTCCTATATGGAATTCTGGAATTCATTAGCCCTCTCTAACTGGGTAAAAGAGGGGGAACTTTCAGGTACCGAAAGCACATCAATCCCAGCTGTCTCCAAAGTTGAGATTGTTGTTGGCTGTAAGCCAAAACACCCGAATTATGGCAAGGGTGTTAGAATTACATTGCAACCACTAGCGGCTACTAGAATAAAAGCCTGTGAAAATATACTGCCGGAGCTACAACTTAGTGCGGAGGAGGCTTCGTTGGATCGGCAATTCGCAGCTATGAAAATGTCTGCGCCATGAACTTCGTTGGCAAACATTTACCGACAGTGACGATGTTCCGCCATGGCTATTATGAACATGAGTACGCAGGTGTATGGTGATGCAGGCTTATATTTGATAGATAAACTAAAATAATTTGACCTTCTTAAACTAAGACTTGTTTCTGTGCCTGTACCTCCATTTTGCTGTTGTTGAATTTTTCGCAGAAGCATTTAAAAAAAAAATTTATTGGACACTATAATGTTTATTGACTTTTATCTTCGTTCTCTTGTTGCCTTTGGTGATGATTGTAATCAAATTTGCAATTCATACATTTCATTCTTCATTTGTATAAATTGTATATATTGTGCAAGGTTTTTATTTTATTTACAGTGTTACATAACCAGGGGTGGAAACAATAACCTCGTGCCAAACTTAATCTCAGCGGATTCCTTGAGCTATTTTTTAGCTAAAACATCAAAATTCGGGTTGAGTTTGGTTGTGGCAGTATCAGGCGGGTCAGATTGGATTATCCAACGGGCCGGATTTGGCCCACGGGGCTTTGTTTGCCTGTGTCAGGTCAATGACATTAAACAACATGATGCGCAACTCCGGCATTTTTGTCCGAAGATCGTATTCGATAGCACGCTCCAATGCACATACTTGACGAGACGAAAACGAGCGGATGTGTGCTGCTTTCAAGGCGTAGCACGAATGGTGTTCGTGCCTGCTTTGACAGTTGTTGTCGATTTTAATGGTATTTTTGAAAGTTGGTGTAAAAAGAAATCGGTAAAAGGTAAGGTGAATACTATTGTTGTATATCACACCCGGGCATCGCACTGTTAAGTACATGTGGGAAAGCCAGCCTTTGTCAAATACTACGAAGTTATTAATTCAGTACGGTACGTAGTTGCCCATTTGCCGAAATTACATATTTACTTACCCCTTATGGTTTCAAATAGTTCATGCACCTCCAGTTAGATTTTTTTAATCAGTGAGGATATATACTCATTGTTGATTGCTGCTCATTGTAACATACTATTACGCATTCACTTTTATTTGCGTATTGAATCAAAGTGTTAACAAGTTCACCTAACATTTCACTCATACCGGTCTATATTGTATAGTCTGATTTCTCAAGTATTTGGAGCCACGAATGCTTGTAATTTTCTGACTAAACCCTTTTATTAGTTGGTTTATATACCAAATTCAGTAAAATATTTTTTAAATAAAACATGAGATATTGGATTTATTAGCTTTTCCATTCTGAATCATATAGACTGCTTTATTTATTCTTAACGAAAATTAATAAATCTCCTCTCTTTCTTCAGATGTGAAAGTTGTGGACAAACCCGTCTAAGCATTGTGAGACTCTTGCAGCACAAGAGGCAATAGCAGAAATAGCAAGTATATCAATCAAGAAATTAAGCCGACATAAAGCAAAACTTTCAACTATTCGTCTAATCTCAATTTCCTATTATTTATTCACAGGACAACTATAGCAGACGGGGAGATATCAGAAGTCTGGCGACATATCAGTGACAGTGTGATTCCAAGAAATATAATGCAATTGAAAATTGCAATAGAAAAACAACCTATGGAGGCATGCAAAGACATTTGACCCTCCGGTAGAGTTGTGTATGGCCCCCACATCCTGCAGGGCTTGAAGAAAATAACTAAAAATTCCAAAGCGTAAGATTGCATAAGCGGTCTTATTTGTAAAAAGGCACAAAACACGCCAGACATACTTAAAACAGCTTTGGAAATGAGGATTACGGGTACCTCACTGCACCTGTGTTATATTTGGTTCATCAACTGTTGGTAGTACTATAGAAGAAATTCCGGAAGGGGTATAATCATCATTCATGATAAAATACTATCATATATTTTTTGAACAACTTCAATCTAGACCAGGGATCTCAAACTCGCGGCCCCAGAGAACTTCCAGTGCGGCCCTCGAACGCTTAACAATAATTGTAATAGTATTTTGGAAGTTTTTATTTTTATCTAAATGTAATAGATTTTTCAAACCTTCTAAAGTGAAATTGATTATTCACACAGAAAACAATTTACTGGAAGTAGTTTTGGAATATTGATTTTTTTTTTGTCCACATTTTGACCCAATTAAGAATACACATCAAGCTAGCAAAAGAATACTTGAATAAAACACTTGAGTAATTAAATTAAACGCAAAGTACATGAAGAAGGTGGCATTTTCGAAGAAAATGGGAGTTGTAACATTTCCCCTCTTCACAAAATTCTGAAGCACATTGTTTAATTTGTCATATTTCCATCAATACAATCAAAAAACACAATAAGCTCAGCAGTCAATATGACAAATTCGAAGACCAACTTCGAACAGAAAATTTCCATGTGTTTGTATATTAATATAATTATACAACGACTTAGTTACTAAACATCAATATCAATAATAATTCAAGCAATCCTATGCCACGCAATGTAGTGCGAAATGTCTTGTCGAAAAAATCTGTCATTTGTTTTTTTACTGATCTATACATGAAATGATAAAAGTAACTTTTTTGCATTACTGGAATTAATTAAACATTCGTAAAGATCCAGATAAACCCATGATCATGTGGCCTCGTTAGTTAGAGTTGGTACTATAAAATCATTTCAGACTGGCCTTAGTATGCTGGTGACACAAAAAAGATGCCAAACGCCAGGACAAATGTAATTATTAAAACATTGAGTTTATACTGTAATATTTTTGTTAATTTTAGGTTCATATATTTAGATAAGTTATTTTTAGTGTATGTATTATTCTTTCCTTATTCAAAGCTTGTTCAAAAATGATTTTGATGGTTGTACATAGAATTTTACGATTTTTTATAATAAATACTGTAACTAGCAAATGTTGCAATAATAGTGGAATGCAAATATTAATATGTAATTGCATTTGAAATTGAAGAAAATAATAAAACTTAATCCAACTGTTTAGTTGCATCACAATATATCTCACAAACTAAAACTATCTTAAAAATATCTTTTAAGTATACATTATCAAAAACTGTTTGCGGCTCTTTTTACAATTTTCAAAATGCAATGCGGCTCTCGAAAACCCATGCGTTTGACACCACTGATCTATTCTAGACGATTCAAGCATTGCTTTGGGAAATTATATCACTTCAATTAAATTGAAATAATCTCGCTATATTAAATACAAAATCGTTGCTATCATAAAGGTAAACCAATTGAGCCACTCGAAATATATTGGCCTTCACAAAGCAATGGAGGCAAAATTGAGAGTTCATGAGCTATGAACATTTGTTCTTTTCTTTGTCTTGAACTTTCCATACTCCACAGCCCCTATTAATTTTTTTTAATTTTAATTACCATGTGATGGTCATACATATCTTTAACTTGTATTTTCTGTCATGATGTATTATCTCAATGTGCCAAACTATTAATTAGGGTGCATATTTTGCTTCCAGATGACATAAATGTATTGTCATGTTTATTACCTCAGCTTGGAGTATTGACAAGAAAAAGGTGCCAGTAAATTAGGTAAAAAAATTTTCAACTCATTGTTATAATCAGAATTCACAATCAATAGGAATTATAAACAGCCAACAATCAGTGAGAGTTATATGCGAAATCCCTCAGAATAAATTTGTCTAAAATCGGAGGAAGTCAAAAAATATAGGTAGTTTCTATCCACACAAGCATTTCAAGAAGACTTGCTCGAGCCAAACTAAATGAGCATCGTCAGGTGATCGGTAAGGCTGCAAGTTGAATTCAGCCCTGCAACCTCCTGCATAGAAGATAATATTAATTAGTGGGCTATGAGCTAAATTCTTAAATTTAAACAAACCTATCTACGATGCATTATGTACCAGCAATGTTACCTACGATTAACTGAATATGTAATATGTCTAATAAATTCACCTACAAAAGCAAGTTCGATAGGTGCAAACTTTGTGTTATGGAATTGTATCGCAGGCCGCAGCACAGTTTTGTATGACACCCTCTTTAAATGAAATTTCAATGATTAAGCGCAAACATTAAAATTACTAACTTTGAACTTTGTCATTATCTGCAAAATGTTCCACACAAATCTTTCCGCTATCGCGTTTGTAATCTTCTCTGATAAAAAAAAACGTCTATGATGTCCAGAATTGCTCTTTACAGCTTGCCTGTTATTCCAGCTTTCCAAGTAAGCAAAACTTCTTAGATATAGAGATTATTTTGTTTCGTTACAGGCGCAAAAAGGCAGGTACTACACGTAAAAAAGACGCCGAGTAGCAAAAGCGAGCGGAAAACGGACGCGAAAGGCGACGAGAAATATGTGCATTGGAGCGTATCATGAAATACAATGTTTTGCCTGTAGTCTTATGGAGTGACGTCAGAGTTGCCTATCATGTTGTTTAATGTCATTGGTCAGGTGTAGAGGCTTACTACAGCATGGTGCTTATATATATCCTAGCAATTTATCACATCTAAGTTACAATCGTTTGATGTCTGTCACTTCTCATATTTCAATCAATAGCAGTTTTTCAGTTTCAGTTACTCATAAACTTGTCGACTCGGATTGGTAAAACCAAAAGTATGCTCATTGATATCGGCCTATACTTAGCAATGTGTACACTTGATTAAGATCAGATACGTAGCCCATACACAAGATAGCCACACCAAATTTTGCGATTGACAATGTCTAAAAAATTATATTTAATCAGTCGCGGGTTTCCTAAAACAAAACTTATGGCCTTCCCATTTTTTTTATTTTTAGTATTTCACAATGCCAATTTTCAATCAATAAATATTTATGTTGTGGACTAATTGGCTACATTCACTCCCGTCGCCGATGATTGTAATGAAATAACTCATTTTTCACAACAAACTCACAATTCCGTGCGACAACCAGTAATTATCGTCGTCCCAGTGGAACAAGATATGCATACGTTGATGGAAATTTGTGATTTAAAGAGTATAACTACAGACGTAAAGATGTTTAGGACCTAAATAGCACGTCGCGCTGACGAAAACAATCAGTGATTTTAACAAAATGCAATCGCACTCATCATTACCGACTTTTTCAGTCTTCCAAAAATTTCAAACTCGCTGTTGGAAGCTTTTCGATTGAAAGTAGATTAAACTGTAGCCCATGACTTAAAGTAAGATTAGATAGTGTGCAACACTCTGCTGCGCCACATACTGCGGCAACGTGATAAGACTATAATCGTTCACTTCCGTGCTTCCTGTAAACTGTAGAGAGTTTCCACTTGCACTGCCGCTTGCTACTTTATAAACCTTGCAGTCTGAAAATATTAAAATGGAGTTGACGCAATTGCTTTGGTCAAAAACTATGTAGAGGTTCGTCAGCATTGCTACTTAGCATGTCTCATTCAAATAATAGTCGGAGGTTACCACTGACGTTCACCGTCAAGACTGCCAGCAAATACAGATTTGAAGCAGTAGTAGTAGTAAATTTCATTTAGCGGAATTTTATACAAAATAATTTTTTCAATTAGAATTTTGTGAATGAATGAATCGGATAGGGTGATATTTATTTTTAATGGACAGTGTCAGAAAGTCCAGATTCGCTTTATTTTATGCGGACCAGTCATTTTCTTACTCGTTTGAATTTGGTTCAGTAGCACTCGACAAGCGTTGTTTCTTACTGGACAGTATATGCAGTTGACGACAATATTACAACAGTACTCAGCTATGTTATTATTTTGTTATTTGTGGATAAACTCAGCATTTAAGAATAATAGATATAAAGGTTAAATTAGCCCTCTTACAACCAAAGAATGTCGTTTTGTCGTCTACCGGATTGGATATCAGGGTCCCAAAAAACTATTACTCTTATAATTTTTCTTGCAAACGCTATTTGGATTGCCGCTGAATCCAATACAAACTGGCACTCTATAAAGTATCTGCAGGGACATTTGAAACCCATCGGAAATCAGCGCGAAATCATAAGAGGACAAATAGCTGAATTTGACGCTTTTATTGATGGACCATCATTCTATCGTGATTTCTGGGCGCCTGCAAGACCGGCTGTCTTCAGAGGTGTAATTCGACACACAAAAGTGAGTACCCTACATTTTTTTCTAAAAATGTATGCAAACATATATTGCATGAGCAAATCTATGCGCCATACATTTGCAGAAGAAATAATTTATAACCCTCCGCCTAAATATCCCGTTTTATTTAGTGGCGTACATCTGCACAATTTATGGATTCCTTATTATAATTTGAAAAAATATCAATATTCTCTCGCAACACTCTCCTAAGTTTTTGGACTTTTTATTGCATACTTGTCTGAAATAGATTTTTTTGAAAAATCATTAATAAAGAAGAAAATGTACTTTTTGGCATTGCTCTGGAAGTTCAACACGAAAATCGCTGCCTGTATACCCGATATATACATGTTCATAGATTGAGTTAATTAGACGCATGGAAAGAAAACAGACGTCACGGGTACGTGACATATATGGTTGGCAGTTACAGTCGTAGCAACCCTATTGTTGAGATAGGCAGAAAATGCTGAAACCTTACAACATATGTTTCAATTATACTGCAACATCACCATACGTCACTAACAGAGTTATTCTTGTATCAAATGAAATATTGTAACAGGATAACGTATACCATGGTATCGTGACATAGGGTATGAAAATTGAACAATTATTGTATGCAAAGTATACAAGTGAATTTTGTATACATGTAAAAAAAAACATCTATAACTTTTTTTGTAATATTCCGTATATATATGTACACAAATGACATGTAGATTTTTATATTTGAAAATCAAATCGAATACAATAACTAATAATGGGCCTTGCTATTTGCATGGTGAACCATGCTTTTCCGTTTATGTAATTTCCGTCTTTCGCGATTTTATTTAAAATATAATTTCATGGCGATACACTCCGCGTGTTATATATATATTTTGTATTTACCATTTAAAAACCGAAATCTTCTTCTTATCTTCCATATTTCAAGTATGTTTTGTCGCCTAAACGAGATATCACTTTTGAAGGCAATGAAACAATTGGTGAATGCTACCTATATGCGAGAGAAATTTGGGTCTGTGGTTGGACTAGTTGATCGCAGAACATCTTGGGTCAGAGGCGGAGAAGAAGCACCCCCAAGAAGCGCTATGAATTACAGGTATTTTCAAACGGTTGTCAAACTTTATTGTAAATTAATCTTTTAAATCCTTTCACTTACCTATTATTAGCTAATGTTGTGAATAAGGGGTGGGTAAAAGTTAGATAACCTTCTTAACTAATTATGTATTAAAACAAGTTTCAAAATTAAAGTAATATTATCAGAATCACATATCAAGTCCCACTGCTGTATAGGAATACACATTGGCGCCAATAAGGCCTAAGCCGATGGCTGTTTTTTCAAAAAGACAAAAGGCGGACTGATATTCATATGGTGGAGCAATGTGGACAAAAATATCAACATGTTGAGTGAGATGTCGAATATAGCCCCGCTGATTACCCTGCTTGGCAGGCTCGAATCTCGTATATGGATATTTACGTGCGAGATAATTGCTCGAATCCTCGCCGATGTAAAGTGGTTCATGCAACCACTGGTCGGTTACGACTTCCTCCACCATCATGTCCATGTATCTGAAACAAATAACTTATGGCGAACTAATTCCATACCCGTCATAGACTGGTAACTGTGGTTCGCCATATGATTAAGCGGTCTTATCCTCTTCCGTCCCCCGGGACAAATATGTAAATCCTAAATCCTCAAAATGGTGAAATGATACACAGAAATCTAAATTGCATCTAAAATCAAGCAATTCTAAAAAATTGTAACAAAATATGATTTTTCACCCGTGCAAACATATTAACAGTTCGAGGAATGGTATAGCTAATATTATTCAGCTCATGTTAGATTGTTAGAGCCATAAACTGAAAATTCGAAAAAACAACAGATAGTCTGGAAATTACTTAGGATGCCACAGAAAGAGGGGAATATCGACTGGCGAAGTTCGATGCAGCGACCATCTCTTGCCACAGGCTGTCAAATTTAGTTTTAAAATAGATAGGAAGTGGAAATTTTTTCTAAACACAAAAAATTCAGCACGCTACTGCACATATTGCAAAACACGTAAATTAAATATCAATTTAAATTTGTCGATGTTAGACATCGCACAAAGTTGGTATCCGATGACGAGTACATATAGGTATATTTCACACATTGCTTTATTGTAAAATAAATGTTTTTATTTATTTACGATTTCAGTGACTTTCAAGATAAAATTTTAAAAGAGCAGATATATTGGGATGACGAAATTCCAGAAGGTCATCAGATTCTTCAAAATCTTTTTATTCCTCTTCCTATAGAATGCGAGGAGCTGAGACGAACGGTAATTAATTTTTCAGCCGCGTTTAATGAATATATCTTGAAACTGGCATAATTTATTTTAACCCATCATGGAGCACATTTCATCCATCATTTGTTTGAATAAAACATGTTCACGCAACCCCTAAAAATAAAGAAAACAAACGCGCGGACAGCACTTCAGAATTGTCCACTGAACTTGACTTAAATAATTGAGGGTGTTAATTAACGCGAGTTAATGTTTGGAAAATCCTCACGACGAAATGAGATCGACGGGTAAAATTTAGCCACTAAATATGTACAATTTTTTGCATTTTGCATTTTGCGTTTTGCAAATAGTAATTGGCAACATGAAAGTTTTCCGTAGTTTGTTTTATCTATATTCAATATCAATTTACCAATGGTACCTCGGTGTTTAATGGAACAATTAGAGTTGGCCAGACGGCACATATCTTAATGTTGGCCCGGTTGAAATTAAATTCTCAAGTATCATCTTAAATCTCTCTAGCAATGTTTGTAAATATGAGAACTGTTCCAAAAATCATGCAAATACATCGTAACTTGGCCCTAAATTGGTAATGTACACGGAAACTTACTTATCAATTTCAGATAACATAGAACACTTAATTATTTCTTTCTTAATTATTATTATATATATATATATATATATATATATATAAGGAACCAAAATCTCAAGTGCTTACGGCCCGCATGGTCTGGCCCTGGCACGTCATTCTGCAGATACGAACATTCGTGATAAACTGTCCGATTATATCTAGTTTTGATTAGAAATTTTCCGATCTTGATAAATCGTCAAATTTGATCTGTTATTGGCTTATATTTCATTGCAATTCGGGGTAAGATGGGGTGTGGCCTCGACGACCTTTCAGAAAAAAAAGGAAAGTACCAGACGCACGCAATTCACTTCGTTTCATCTTTAGTGCCTGCGGTAGTATGTTTTACCCTAATTATGAATAAGTATTATAGTAATAATAATAAAAAACCAAAGAATACTAGTAATACTACAGCGAATACAAAGCAGAATTCTTCCTTCAAAATGGCAAAATTCCTTACGGGTGGGAAACGTTGAACTGAATGAATGTTGTACAAAAACACTTGTTTTTTTCAGCTTATTTACATCAACATGATGGAAAATTCGGGACAGGTCAGTTACGTGTTTCACCGGGACTACGCTGATAACCTATTCCATTTTATTGCCGGGAAAAAGACATGGCTAATAGCTAACAGTACATTCAAAGATGCGGTGAGACTACTACTTTATTGACGACTCACGTACTTACATATTAGGCATTATACATTACGTGCGAGTAAAACTGTTTTTCAGAATCGGGTTTGGCGTTACCAGATTCCTACAATCTCTTAGTTAAGTGGAATGAAACAGGTATTACTTCAGAGCTGAATGAAATTAGCATGGCCAAGTGGCAACTGACGTCTGATCGCGGTTGCCAATTTTTCATAGTACCGTGATTACACGTTTTCGTATAAATTTAAGCATATACCTGTCCTATTCTGTTGGCTCATTCGCTTAAAAGCCTCAATGCCAGAAAGTGCACATCGCTCATAAAGTTCAGCAGCAATGAATCATTTGGCGCTGTCTAACTATAACACCAGGGCAAATGTTCGACATTGTTTTTCCGCCATGTCCTAATTTCCGTCAAATTTGATTGAGTATGTAATTACAGCAGAAGAAAATTTTTTTTACTACTAAATAAAATAATAATGCATTGAAAACTTCCACAAGTAAATACAGGGGAATTGGCATATTATATTACAGTATTACTAAAAGAAGTGCGTACACATTGGATCACCCCAAACAAAGAGTAAGTGTATCTTAATAGTGTATCACAAGTTATTTTCTAAAAAAATAGAGCTAAACATTTTCTGTTTAGAATTGGATGCCTTTCCTAACACATTAATATTCTAGAATCTGGACATCCGTATTTCACCGATCTGTTCATTTTTGCGTAGAAATTTTAGCTGCTTATATGGATTCTATTTCACAGGCTTATATAGGACAAAAAACAGAGTCGCCAGACATGTCACCAGTTCCTCCAGATTCCGTGGATCTTATCAAATATCCCAAAATGGCAGAAATAGACTTTCATGAAGTAGTTCTTAATCCAGGAGATGTTATGTATATTCCAAGAAATTGGCTACATTACGTAAATTATCAGAAAATATTGTATACCATAAACAATTTTATAGTAACAAAACATCTATTTTGAATTAAGTAATTTTTTGTAACATATTAAATATATATTATTTCATTCACGAACATTCAAAATAAGATTATTTCCTCATAAATATAAATGAAAGCTGTGTAACTTTTCTGTGATACCTGATATCAAACTGAATTACTTACAGAAATAGAAAATTATAATGGTGAACCGGTAATTTTCTCAAATATCTAGAAAACCGCCATTACTCAATATGAATATCCGCAATGTTTGTGAATGTTCTTATTTGTTATATGTATCTATCTTTGGTTCAGGTCAGATCACGCGGACGGCCAAATATAGCGATAAATATATGGTTCGGTTCAGAATTCGTTACGAACCATCTTCCATCGGTACCAGACTGCAAACGACAAAGGCGGAATCCAAAAAAAATGTTGAAGGAAAAATTATAAACGAGTAAAAGTAAAATGAATAGTAATTCCAATAGAAAGGAATGCTGGTGCATATATACACAATTTAAAATTTATACCTTTATTTTTGTGAAGTCGAATACTCGAATTGCATAAATTGCAAACTGTGAAATAAACAGGAATTTGTCTGAAAATTCAGATTGATAGACAATATAATTTGTTTAAACGTGTGACAAATATTGCTTTTTTCACATGCAAATTGTAGTGGATACATACAACATACGAACTATATATGTGACTTACCTGACCCTCGCTACTGCACAAGCTTCGGTTGTGACCAGGGTTGCCATATTGGCTTTTTAACGCCAAATTTGCCATTTTTGGCTTTTTTCAAACGCGTTTGGCGTCAGAATTTCCGTTTGGCTTTTTGCCGTTATTTTGGCTTTTTTTAAGTCTATTCTAGTGTTTATTACTGAAAACATATGAAATACAATATTTAGTGTGTAACAACGTACTTAGCTACTTAACATTAGGATTTCCTGAAGCATCGATTTTCTTGTTTGTTACATTAAGTTAACTCTTAACCATATCCTATTCAATAAGAAATAATTGCAGTTTTTGCAGCTGCTCAGACAGATGTTCAAGCAGGGTTGTAAACATTGCCTCGTTTTTATAGTTTTGCCTATACGTCAGTTTTACATTCTGTTTCCAAAAAATAGTTGTATAACTTAATTTTCATTGTGCCTGATATGGTTTATGTGAGCTTTAGTTTAATTCTACAATTGCAGGAACGATGTGATTAACTACGCTAAAATTACTGAATTAGATATCAGTGGTCCACCTGTGAGCGGCAGGGGGTTAGATAATTTTTTAATAAAATTGATGGTTTATAAATTTTGAAAGTGGAAAAAAAATTTCAATAGTAAAGAAGGATATAGGGAGAATTTTTCAAGGCATATCACAAGTTTAAGTAGAAACATGTAGGTATATTACATACTGACAGACTGAGGCGGCACCCTGTATTGTATATATATATATATTGAATGGTAAAATGATGCTGTCCGCTTGATATTTATTTTACTTTCTACAGTTCTATAGGAACTTTACTTTCTATTTGTGTGCCTCACTGAATGAACTGATGGCTCGACATCATCATCAGTACGTTGCCAAGGGCTTAAAATCTGACAAATCATGGGACTTTTGTACTTAGTAAAATTGTTGGCTTTTTCTGACTTTTTTTATGTCTTGATTTGGCTTTTTTGATCGCTGGGGTCTGGCAACCCTGGTTGTGACTTTATTTGAGAAGATTTGAACCGATTCGAGTGAGACATTATGTGCGTAAAGCGTTAATAAATCTATAGATCACCATTCTCAGGCAAATATATGAACTAAAATGCTTCACAAAAGTGCATTATAACATTTAATTTTCAGTTTACAATGTGGCAAAACCATTACGTCGCTTAAAGCTCAGCAAAAAAAATGGTTGTACTGCATATGAATTTCCCTGTTGCTCAGACCACTACCACCCTGCAGGCTCATTCACCCAAAACCGTTGGCCTAGCGCACAACAAATTTCTGAGTTTGGCAAGATAGAAACATGTTGTATTGCTCAAAGCAGCCGTAGGACATGCACTCTGACACGCTGGCACAGATTGTGTTTTGTGACAGTTTGATATCCGCGGTATTGAAGCAGGTTTTGCTGCCTATTATCAATGCAGCACCTGGAAATCATTTGTGGGCACTAATACCGCATACATATTTACATGGAAAAGGAATCCCTAACAAACATGCACGCTCATCCGCTTAATTAAAACTGTTTGCTAACAGATTACAAAGTTTTGAATCCGCTTTTAGTTTGTCTCGGCTCTGCTTTTATAACCATTTCATATATATGTTAAATTAGTAGAAAATTGTTTATGGAATATTGTCAATTTGTAAAACACTTTTAGGAGCAATTTTTACAGGTAAAATATACGTAAGGAAAGTATGGGTTTGCATACGGCGTAAAGTAAAGCTTGACAGGTGTATGACGGTACGATTTTGTAAAGAAACAAACAAACAGTATTTTCAACACTTGATGTGCCGGCAAGAAACATGTAAACAATTGAAATTAATAACTTAGCAAAATTATGCAAATCGGAACTGAACTCGAATAAACACAAATAGTCCCAACTCAGTGAAATAACAGTCACGGGTGTTACAAAAACAGACATTCATAAAACGCTCTACAGTCGAAATACTCCCTAAATATAAAAGCAATAAACTGAAATACGTACTTGACAGTGTAGCTTGCAGCTTACAAAACAATCGAAAGTTGGTTAGAAACAGTTTAGTAAAATTAGGTTATTGTTATTGATTCTGAATATATCAAAAAGACAATTAAAACCTTGCACCAAAAATCTGCAATCCCGGAATTCCAAGTAGGTCGAATCAAGATATCTTCGGAGCGTCACACTTTGCGAAAGCCCGCGAAGGTATTATGAAGTCACAATTAGTAAACCAGGTGACTTATTAAGTACCACAAGCGCCTCCAATGATAAACAGCAGAAATATATTAAAACAGAAGAGGCAGTTTCACATAGTATCGCCTAATCTGCACCAATCCCCCGAATCTTTGTCAGACACTTTAACGATACAGTATGTTGCACATACTTCACTTCATTAGCAGCTGATTGACTCTTTCAATTCAATCAAATAGCGGATAATGAACTTTTTATATGATAAATTTTGAATGAATGAGAATGTCCCAAAAATATGTATCGAACCTATCTAGTTACGATTATATGGCCTGGGCTTATCAAACCCAGTTATGTCCACCCTAAAAATGTTTTGACAGTTTTTAGTTTTCGGAGAGCTTGATTAACTCGCTTGACTCCGCTTCATATTACTGATTTGGAAAATACCAACTATTGTGCTATGTTATATATAGTAAAATCTTACCTAATCATTCCTGGATTTATTCTATTGTAAATGTGTTTTTATTATACACGGTGACCCAAAATAACACAACCCATGATTTTTTTTATATATTAAAGAATTAGGCAATTTATAAAGTTTTTGTTTACGCTTGAACTTCTTTGCTTCTTAGCGCTTACGCTTCAACTTCTGATTTTTTCTAATTGCTGTGGCGCAATTTCTGATGCCCGGGCATGCAAAAATCAAAGCAAATATTGATATCCTGGTCACAGTACCTCAGAAAAAAGTCTCAACGAATTTTACACTCCGGGAAGTGCGCAGCATAGCGAGCTACATATTTCCAAACATTGCATTTTGTTTTGATCATAAAAATTAAGCAGTAAATATGTAACATTATGTGATGATGCTGACACAGTGTCGGGCATCATTTGGACGACTTGGAATGATTGATTGAGATGATTAGTGGTTACAGCAAAACGGGATGACCCCCCGCATATCAAATGACGCCATTGACTGGTTGGGAAAGCGATTCCAGAGAAGGGTGTTCAGCAGAAGGCGTGGAATCGATAGGGCCCTTATTCATTGGACTCGAAGACAGCAGATTTTTTTTATTTGTTTGAGTATGCCAAGGACAGTGTGTATCAGAGCATTGCTCAAACATTTGGTGAACTTATAACTGCAATTTCAGCAAAAACAGAAAAATGCTCATCGGGGAGTGCGTGCGAATGGTTGACAATTTTGAGCACACAGATCACGTGTGTCAGTTTTTGAGAGATATGGAGATATTATAAAATGCAGATTACAAAAATATATATATCAACATTTTCAACATCATAATTGCTCTGATTTTCTAAGATTCCATTTTGATTATAAATTCAACATAATATCATTAGAATATTTTTCTGTTTTATACCAACGCCCGTGGGATATACTATATATATACAATAATTTTTAAGAGATCGAAGATATAAGGTTGGGTGAATATCACCTAAGTCTATCTATCGTACGTAATTTCCCCCTATATTTGGTAATGTACGATTACCGAAATGCAAATAGATTGACTCGGTGCGAATGTGCAATTTTATTGAAACATAATAAATCATGTCTTATTAATCATGCATCAGCAGCGATTTAAATATATATATATGTAAATCGCATTTTCATAGAATAAAATACAAATAATAGTATACGAATTATTTATGTGTAAATCATTATGCTATAAGCTGCAGAAGAATATTTAGCTATTGTTCTAAAAGTCAAGAAAAAAAAAATACGAGTGAAAATATATTCAACGACGTAACTAAATAGGTGACATTTAACGGTAATGGAAATGATATTGTAGTTTGTTAATTTGGTCACGTGTCAACATTCATCAGGGTGGGTGGATGCGCGTATTTCGTTTGCGCTTTTCCAGCGCTTGGTCATGCGTTAGTTAATCGAAGATAAGCATCCAAACTACCAAAGAACATAAATGAGTGATAAAATAATATTATCTGTTTGTTATATTGCAGCAAGTGCATTAAAATCACATGGTATAGTAGTTTAAATATCACCATGTTTTTCTCCTAAGATTATATGCTCGAGATGTTCATGCCTGACATTTAAAGTTGTGAACGCTATTACCAAAGACAGAGACAGGAATTCCGTTTAAGACTTCATGTGACACTAAGATATGGAAGCTGGGACAGATTAAAGCTGTAATATAACTATCGTGTTTTCGTAATTCGTTAACTGCATATATATACGTTTACTACTGGAAATTGATCTAGAAGAAATAATAGCCGATAAGTTGACTCTTGATATACGTGGGTGCAATTCAGCGGCAGCATTTTTGCAAGGGCCTTAAAAATTTAATTATGCAATAAAAATATAAAATTTCAGAACCTAACAGTGTATATTTACATAAAAAATCATAAAATCTTTATCAAGTATCCTTTCTACCACCCCAGTTTAATTTTGTTACTTATGAACCCTACATCTTAAGAATATCCTATATAAGGTATTTTAAATCAAATGGGCTTAAATTGCTGTTGGATCAATTATTTAGTGCACCGATATTACCGTTGTACTTGACGCTATAAAATGTTGTGGTATGCGTCTGACTTCAGGGATATTGATTGTAAACCAAAATGAAAAACATATAGACAACAAAGTTTAAAACACATAAATGTTAAAAACAAAAGAAAAATTGTGAAAATACAAGTCCGTATATGAATTCCTATATTCATGTAAAAATTTTCTAAATTTGTGAAAGACGTTATATTTCCTTGAGAGGTGAAATTATAAGTAAAAGGGCGTATTTTAGACAGTTCAACGACTTGGAAAATGATTGAGCCATCCGTTTGACATAAAATTAAATTTGCTGATACTAATTAAACTGATATGCAGCCTGAAACAACGTATAAAATTGAGGGGTGATATTTTTAGTTGGGTTTAATTCGATCCATGATCGCACCAGTTTTCAGCAATTACGCAAAAGTATAAGACTTTCAAACGATCGGCGTCTTTAATATATTAATTATATATTAAATAATCCAATAACTTGTTTTATAAGATAAACAATAAAAATAGTGAGTGAAAGCGGAAAAAGTGCCCCACATGTTAAGTTTGAGAAAATTAAATAGAAATATATATCTTTTAACTTAAGTACAGAGGCCTATATATATACGTGCTACTCCAGATTTATGTGATGATGCAAGGAAACCCACAAAATTAGGATGACTCACGAAAAATTACAACGTAATGTATCTACTACCAGTTGTGATTACTAAGGTTTCGTTTGGTGAATTGAGGTACACCTCCGTGTCTGTTGAATAATAGACCACGGACTCAAGCACGGACTTCCACCATTGGTGTTGCGCGTGGTGTCATTCCTCTTGTGTAAGAACCTGACATTTTTCTGGATTGAGAATTACCCACGCCTCTTTTATCCCATCTATCGAATTGCTCTTTCAGCCAATCAGGTGTGGGGTACCGTTCTGTGAGGTCCATTGATTTTGGAATGTAATCAGTTCGATATATCGTGTGATCGTCAAACGGGGCTTCACTCATGAATGCCTTTCCATCAGGCTTGCATGATCTAGCAGGCGGAGCTGACAGCCTTGTGAAATGAAGTCGTGTTGTAGACTCCCCTTCAAATTTCCCTGAAAATAAAAGACGTAAGTGACTTCTGGAGTGAAGTTCTGGGCGACGAGCTATCAGTCAATACCTGCCTGGAATTGGGTATGAAAAAAATTACGTAGAGCAGATTGTCACCTTACCCTGAATAAACAGTTTGCTCGTCAAGTGGAGCAATTCCAACCAAAATCGCAAAAACTCAATTATATAATTTTTATAAACTAATGTTTATTTTTATTACCTGAGGGATGTAAGCTTTGCTCCCGTATTTTTATGGGTTCTCTCGGAACCTGCCATTTCTTGAAATCGGTATTATAATTTGTGATGCCAACAAACGGCATCGTTTGAGCTCTTTTGACGTCGGGTTTCTTAGACTCAGCCGGACGTGAAATTACATGCTTGAAGTCGAGTCGTTGAGTCGTCTGCAAATCAATTTCTCCTGGTGGCTTTTTGTATTTATCCATTTCGTGACGATGTGGTCGCTCAACCGGCCACGCAACAAACTTGTCTCGAAACTCTGAGGATGAAGCCAGGGGTTCTTTCGACATAAATTGGGTTTGTGGCGGGCGCGCACTTTCAGCAGGCAAGGCCTTTGCGCCTTGATACGACTGTCTAAAAGTCGTGCTGGAATCCATAGCGACCGCAGGAGGAACGTACTCGCGAGCCTCTCTTGGGGGTCGAGGTTCCAGCCGATGAGGAACAAAATTTATTTTGTGAATTGTTGCACTCTGAAGCGGTTGATCGGATTGAAAAGCGACGTTTGGAGGCTTTGCAGATTCGCGTGGAGCTGCAGAGTGAGCAATATAGTCCTGGTGACAAAAACAAGAAAAGAGACTCAAGAAAAATAAAAATTACAACGCGAGTCTTTTTATTTTGGAAATTGGTCAAGCTTTGATTGTTTGAACATTAACTTCCTAATGCCATCTTCCTATTGATAAACCTCGCGAAACATTGACAGGCACTAGTACATTAATTTGAAAAAAAAAACAAGATTTTAAGCAGCTGTTATGCTCGGTTTCATAATTAAAATGAGAAATATAGTAAACAAAGAAAAAGTCTCACCCTTCTAAAAGTTGAAGTATTTTCCATCTTTTCTGCGGGTACTTTATATTCTCTATCCGCCCGAAAACTTGCTCGTGGTTCTATATTCCATCTTTTATATTCACCTGAACGAATTTCAAACAATAATTCCATCAGCCTGTCTAACCTTACAAATGCTTGATTGAAAGAGGAATCTCACTTTATATTTGAGGCACAATACGGTGCCAGTTTGTAATGGAAATCAGAAAAACTCTTTCTTCTAGAATTTTGCAATACAAAAATCTTACTTGTATAAGTGGGAACTGTATCGAACTTGCCACTGGGAAGTTTTCTCGCTTCACTTCTTTTTGCGAGTTGGGGTCTATCACCCTTTACAAGCGGATAATCTTGCCGATACATGCTAACACCTTCCATTGCAGTACCAGGTGGTTTATAAACTTCTCTTGTAATGACTTTCTTTTCGGGTAGTGGGTGAGGTATGTAATCTCTTCTGTGAATTGAAAAATACAGCAAATGTACACAGATTTTCAGAAGCGCGCGGGCCACATTAATTTCCGCCTATAAACAGTGAAGGGTTGACTCAACCTGAACTCAGGTAGGGTTCAGGTTGTGCGACATCTTGGTGCGCATACTTCAGGAGTACCAACAATTGTCACATTAAACGAATTCAGATTATTCAAGTAAACAGGTTTTGAATAATGCTCAATATTTTTCCGTTTAAGCCCTTCGGAATATTGGGCCCTCGTCACCAACAACTGTATTCTACGTTTCCCAGACATTTTACTGTCAAATTTTAAAACTTAAGATAGGGATAAAATGAACGGACAGTTACAACTAACGCTTTGGCAAGTAAACGACATATATATTAAAGAAAAGGGCTTTCGCGCTCTTACAAAACAAAAGCCGTACAACAACCATTGGTACGAGATATAGCTGTGCGCAGATAATAATAAATATATATATGGGCATTTTGTTTTAAAGTGAGGTCGTTCGGGGGCTTCAAAAAGATTGCTCACGGGGCACAGTTTGCCGACCACTGAGTACAGTAGACTATAGACTACTAAATAAACGATAGACTACTCATGATGATTTATCGAAATTTACGCAGAAAGATTACGTTAGATAATTCACTATGAAATGATACCTGAAAGTAGTTTTTCCCGATATTTTTGCATCCGATTTTCTCATATCATAAGCAGGTTTGCACGATTCAGTAGCTACAATATTGCGTTTGAAATATTCATCGATGTACTCTGACGTCATACCAGGTTGATGGCCGTAATTCAAAAAACCTACTGGTCTTGGACGATGCCACCTGAATTAAAAAGTGAATTTATTAAATCCAGAAGCATAACAGAAAACATCATTATGATATTATTATCCACCCAATCGTTTTTATGTTAGTTATTTTCAACTAATTATGCTGAAAAATAAAGTATGTTTCGAACAATATCCAATTTTGTTATATAGTATATTCTGAACACCATAAAATTCTAATCCTATTTGTAGCTGCCCTTTTTGTCTTATGGTTGCTGTTTATAAAATAATATATTGGAATTTTTAGCTTCGTCGGGAATCGCAGCATAATCGGTCTCAACTCGCAACATGTGTCACAAGTTCGGACAAAAATAGGATTTAAGTTTGGCTATGTCTATATTTTGCATGCTTCGTGCAATAAAATATCTATCTCACGAAGCCAACTTTCGCTATTGTCATTTCATAACAGCTGCGGTTTGGATCTAATAAAGCCCGAGACTGAGTGACTTCTTAATGTTATTGTATGTAGATAAGAAAAGAATGACAGCTACAAAAAGAATCACGAAAGTTCGTTGTCATGTTCGTTATTTCATCTATCCACACCGGATTGTACTATTTTGAAACACAGACTTTGAAAATTAAACGGAAGAAAATGATATTCACAACATTTGTGGCTGGCGTCAGTACACACAAAATATTAATTCGTATTCATTCAGATACCAGTTCAGTGCATTGTACTCTGGAATGTTATAATCATACGGGTGTAACCACTTTCAACATACTTCTTTCTCGAGTTTGAGCCATATATATATATATATATATGTATTATACTCCAATCGTGAATGGAACATACTTAACTAATCGATGAAAGAGAGCTGATACTAAAGCTACATGTTTAAAAAACTCTGTCGCCGATTACGTTTACAATTTCTTTTGTTCTGACGAAGTGATATAAACAATGAGGACGCGGCATTTAATGAACATGCACGCCTAAAGAAAAATTTGACTATTATGTGTTAAGGAAACAGCATGGTTTCAGTCATTTTCTTTACTCTTATTTATTCATTTACTGTCCCTCACAATATCATTTACGCAGGAATTCATCCTCATTTCGAATACAGTTTTAAGTATAAATATATGATTTTAATGAAATTTGTTTAGCAACAGTCACCCATGTCCCATAATAAACTCTTTTGTGTGGTTAACTAACTCATATAGAATTTCCAATATTTTGTTTGTGTCATACATTCATTAAATTGTGCTTGATTCATAAATGAACGGTTTGAACACATGATAACATAAAATCGTATGAATTTGATATGATGTTCAGGTCCTAATTGCTATTAAAGTAAAGTCATTATATAAAATATTCCACATCCATATTTTTGTGTATGCGTGATGTCTGTGTGATATTAGCACATGCTTCTTCTATTATTATTTGGAACGTATTAAATTACTAAATAAAACAAATATACATGTTATACTACGTGATGTAAAATCTGAAAATTTATTCCACTATTCAGAAATACGAAAACATGTAAATACTCACCATTTCTGGACCTTCATAATTTCGTTTTTTGTCCAAGCCTGATGAGTAAAAACAGTCTAGTTTTTAGATAATTAATATGATATTCAATATTGATAGAACCTATAGGTACATCATTTCAGCATTGTGCTTATTAATACTATTTAAGGGCACCATAGAAGTTACTTTTTTCGAAAATCCATGTGTCACAAAACAAGAAGTAACGAATCAAATTATGTTTGTAGGTATCAACTTTTTGCAGCATAATGCCTTTTTGGAAATAAATTGTAATTATGTCCTTAATCGGCTCACTAAGGACTGTTTACTGAGCCGACAGATAACCTCACAATAAATATGTCTTGTTACAATCTATTCTCTACACGCAATCAATGCCTTACATATCTCTAATCGATACTTCTCTGATCGGGTTATGCGCTATCAAAGCCTTACAGCGCGTGTGCAATGGCGCAGGACCGTTGCCAAGAAGCCATTCTCTGTAACTAAGCGCTCTCGAGCGCTCTCCAAATAACAAAACGCTTTTCTCGTTCGCTCTTCACACCAAGCCGGGGCGACACAATAACCATGGTTGAGTAAACTTTCGTCGGCACGCACAAAGTTTGTCTTTTATGAACGCTCGCTACGTAACGGCGTATTGTTAGTTTCTTATAGCTTGTAGATTAAATACACAATCACAGAATACTTGTCGACAAGTCAAAAAAATTCGGTGACACCGCCCCGGTCGACAATATCCAACTTCTTGTCAAAGAGGCAAATTGAACCACATTAAAAGTTATGTGGAAAAATCGTCAAACAACATGTATAAACTACGTGACACAACTGATCCTCTTGAGATGAACTCCCATATGTGTTGTACAACATATTATTAGCAATGAAATCATGGTAAAATTCTAACACAATTGTAGTATTTTTCATGGATGTTTACTAGTTAAGTGTGTAGCAGAAATTATTTTGATAAACCGACTATTTTTTTGCCGAATCTAATCCATATTGGCTTTGTTTAGCCATTACCACACGTTACAAGTATATTTGTTTTTACAATATTTTGGAGATTGGAGGTGAATTCAGCTTCGATGGAAAATAGATTTCTCCCTATATTTTATTTTTCTTCCTACACCCAGAGCAAAGATGCAGTTCATTCCCAAACAAACAAGTCATTATTCCCAAAACATCTACTTCAGTTACGGTATATTGATGTTTTCCTTATTGTAATAATGTGTACTTTGCCAGAAATACCTTTTCAACCATTTAGAATATATTAATATTACTTGTTTGCTAAGGGCCATATTCAGCAGTATGTTTTTCGCTATATAATATAACTTTAGAATTCGCTTTTTAAAAAATGCAGATATCGTCATAAAATGACCACATAAGCGTCAGTTTTGACTCGGTAACCCAGTGACGTCAATATTAGAAACTCATGATCGCCAACGAGCGGTTAAAAACATAAATACAATTCTCAGAAATAGGTAAAACGAATGAACACAATACTAAGGTAAAATACATAAGTGCTTATTCTCCACTTGAAACTACTTGGTTTCAAAACATCATTATATGTTTCCACTTTCCAAATCTGTTGCCATGTTAATCTACATAATTATACGTAACAATTCGATATGCGTTTCAATGCTACATTTTGCCCATCATGAGTTGAATGTGTTGCAGCTATAAACTTGTAATGACCGATTAAGAATGATTGATTCTTCAGTGGGTATATGGTAGAGAGTTTAGATTGAAACATATTGTGGTTAAAAGTTAATACCAGATTATCATTATACATAATTATGAGTATATAATACATTATAAGAGTATAATGTGTTGTAAGCTATTTTATTTTATAAATAAATCTAGTGTAGCAATAGTATGCGTACGGTGTCCTTACAAAATAGAAAAATTTTCCATGCTTCTATTATATTTTATTGATAAAGAAGAAATTTCGAAATTCTGAGTGCATGGTTACTGGTATTTTCACTCTTCCCGTAGACGGAAACTGATTCTATCTAAAATCGGGATGACTTTGAGGTCAGTGAGCTGGGTCAGACTATGTCGACGTCTCGGGTAAGACACCACAAATTCCATTACATTGCCAAATAATGTAATCAATTTCCTAGGCTCTGCCGAACAGGAAGGATTATTGGGTTCAAATAGTAGCCGACGATACAGACAAGCAGTCTGTTTGTATTTGAGTTTTCTGCGAGCAAACATGTAAAACACTCCATAATAAGTTTGAAAAAATTGTTATTTTATACGTATTTATATTTAACCAAAGTATAATAATGGCCATAAATATATATGTGAATAATAACAGTGGGCCTAATGGTAATAGATGACTATAAACCATTATAAAGCGAGATTTATGATTGTGATTATAGTCAGCTTAACTACCCTTTACAGGGTGAATAGAGCAAACCATCATTTTCAGTTTACCACAACTAAATGTTAAATATATCTGCATATCATACTCTTGTTAAGTATGGCCATTGAGTATGTAAGTGTGAATTGGAAAGAACTAATATGACCTGTAATTGTTCTCAGACGCGTAATTATAATAATATAAGGCTTTATGTTTAGTTCAAAGATGACCAGGTACAGATATAAATTTTTCAATATATGTGTTCGACAAAAGTCTCCTCTTGCCCCCGAGATAATTCGTTTTGACTTCATCAATATTTAAGTACACAATATGCATTATACATAACTCTTGACACTCGCTGATGAGTATATGCAATAAAATATCCGGTTTATTCCATATTCTGCGGAAAGAAAAAGAATTGCATAATTTGAACCACTTTCTCGTTTTCAGAATATACATTGTACTGGGATACTGAAACTGAAACGAGTCATATTGGTACATACTTATTAACTTGAAGTACTGTGCAGAGGTAAAGCGAAGATTTTATTACGGGATTGTTCTGGTGCTCATCTAACGCGACAGTAAATAAAAATGGGTGCTGGTGCAAGTAAAGGTACGTATTACGTTTATTTTCTACACGCAAGCACATATGAATATGTATAAGTATTAATTTTTTTGGAGAAAACTAAACAAGATTTATGAATTTAGATAACATTATTAGTACTGGAGATGTATTCTCTTTTGCATCATAAATTGCTTGCTGTATTATTTCATATTATGCATGCACTATGCGCTTATTCGTAAATATATATATTCGAACTATATCAAGTTGACTTATGACGTTGTTCATCACATCGAAATCATTAGTCATTTTTAGGGTTGAAATTAGAAATCATTCCTTCTGAAAATCAAGCCGTATTATTTCTTTCCGTGTAGTAGTTTATATCTGAATAGCAATTTCTAGAATACGATAACCCAAATCAAATGCGGACTAGCACTGTATGACATAACGATACATTTTATTGCCATAATTGACTAGCTGACTTATATATTACATGACTTATATAATATTATGGTAATTGAAATCACTTTTTCATTTAATATCATGATACATATATGCGCGATTTGTTTAATCATTTGTAGTATCGAATATTCTTGTTTTGTTTGCTTTGCACTGCATATCAATTTTGCGTAAACGAACATAAAGTGTCATTTAACTTCAGAGTCATGATATGTCAACATTTGCTGACTCTAATAGCTTTAACATCCTTAAATATGTACTCCACATGTTCTAGTTTAAAAAAAAATTATCTTTAATTCTATTAGTTCGGATCGACATCAGAACGCTGCAGAGCCTATAAATTGTTAAATTAATTTGGTATCAATTTGGCAAACTATGCTAAGATTAAAACACCTTTTGTGTTGTGATCAAACAATGTTCTGCTGAGAAAGCAGCCAGATCGCTATGATGCACGGCTGGCTCTCGTCGTTTAATGTGCTTAAAATGCTATATACATTTGCTTGTTTGTAATTGAAAGCTTATTGTTTCAGTAGCAAGTGCAGCCATCAATGCCAAAATGAACACGAGTAAGTACCGTCCAAACTGTAAACTATCGTCTACATCAGGGGTCGGGAACCCATGGCTCGCGAGCCATATATGGCTCTTTTGGTGACGGCATATGGCTCCCAGAAAAATATAATATTCTAAGACTAAGCTTACTATTGTTACGAGATCCCAAACTCTTTTATAGCCGAATTTGGCAGGAAATTCCCAATACGTTTCAGAACACGCGCCCAGCACATGTCTATGTTATGTAAGATATTACTAGACAGGCATTGTGACAAACAAGGGGATTCTGGAACATATATTGTAACATCACAAAGCGATATAGTTTTAAAAACACTACGGATATGCCTAAACGAAAAAGGCTGATGAGTATCGTAGATTTCAACTTGGGCTGCATGTGAGCAACCGTTCAAGACCCGCAGCGACTACATGCAGCATCAGAAATCACATTAAATGTATATTGACATTATATGTGTTGACTTTTGAGTAAACATTTCAGGCCTGATTAAGTGAAGAAATGGTATATGGCTCGCACGGAAATGCAATTGAAAATATGTATATTTTATGGCTCTCTTGACCAAAAAGGTTCCCGACCCCTGGTCTACATCAAGTCAAATAGCATGTTATGTACTTGCCCCCCGCAATCCTGAGATTATTTTGTTTATGTCGCCATGAGGTATTATAATAAAATAGGAATTTGAGACATAAATAACTGTGCTATTTGTGGTTTATGTTATAAAAATGTTAGCTTTGCTTCTTTCTCACCAGCTAAAAATGTTAGTGATATAATTGATTGAATGATTAATGCATTGTCAAACAAGAAATATTTATTTTTAGTGCTTTCTCAAGGATCATTGATGAAGACAGAATGGAGAACTTTATCCTGGGATGAACAGTATGTTGTTTTAATTTGATAAACTTTATCATGCATGTTGAAACGTGGCAACAATGATATCTGAGATTAGATCTATAAAATTTATAAGAACTAGGATTATCAAATTAACCAACCGAATACCTTCTAATTACTGCAGCAGAATGTCATGATCGTGAGTTTCATTCACTAAACTGCAAATCGTGTATGTGCTGCAAAATGACAAGTGCGCTTGCTACCGCGTGGTGGCTCAGGCAATCCGTGATTAAAAGCTCAATGTTAGTCATTGGATTTGGGGTAGTATAGAAAAGGATTCTCAGACCAAAACCGAATAGATAGAGCTGACCTAACTTTTACGACTAAGCTATAGCCCGTATGAAATTGGCACACATATAAAATGACAATCGTATTCTATTCGCTGTTAGAAAACTATGACTAGTTTGTCTTTTACTTTCATATGTGACGAAGTATGAGCAAATTGCTACGTTCAAAATTATATAAATACAAATTTTTTATTGTAATAATCCTTCAGGACGAGATCTACGTTGATTGAATCCATTCGAGAATATAAACCCCTGAATCAAGTGGGTGTGTCGGCTGCCCGTATATTGTTGCTTGGTCCAGTCAATGTCGGGAAGTCGTCATATTTCAACACGATCAACTCAATTTTTCGCAATCACGTGACTGCGCAAGCTGCGGTCGGAAGTCCATTAGATGAGGCGTCTATAACTACCAAGGTAAACCGTAACTGGTGGTGTTTTGTATTGATTTTATTGATTATATAAGTTGTTGATTGGTATATCATAGCTAATAGAAACTAGCTCTTCCCATATGCGAAGCGTATAAGAATGCTTTAATAAGCATGTTGGAATGCTGCTTCAAATTGGCGTTAACTCCTCAGGACTAAAAGTCTGAGTCGAATACATTGTATGCGTAGGAACGTTGGTGTATCCACAAATTTATACAATAAGATACATAAAATGAAGGTTTGTAAATTGACAGTTAAAAATGTTTTCCCGGAACGCACCGCCTAGTTAATATTAGAAGAAGACTTGGCCGCTTGTCTTTATTCGCAACATCAGATTTCTTATACACCCGTATCAAAACGTTTTTTGAAGGTCATATTTGGAATAGCATTTCACACCATTTTATGGCTTTGATGATATTTTTAATTTATCTGTGCGTGTGGTCCCTCCATAAAGGCTTGAGTCATTGTGTTCGACAAAACAACGATTCTATTTTTTTAAAAACGCAATAAAAGATTTAATCGTGATTTGAAAGATATCAATATTGTTATTTACTTGTAGTTACGAGCATACCAAATTCGTAACGGTAGAGAGGGAAAAGTCCTTAATTTTCGTATTGTCGACACAATGGGTCTTGAAGAAGAAAGAAAACAAGGATTCGATCCATCGGAATTGCCATACATCCTGGATGGACACGTACCCGAAAATCACCAAGTTTGTATCGTTTTTGTTTTTCATTTGGGGTAGGTATGCTGATCAAATTCAACGCAATCAGGAAAAGTTCGGTTGAACGGAATTCCACAATATCCCATGCAATATATAAGATTTTTTATAGCCATAACCTGTTGTAGCGTCTATAACATAAGCTGAGCTATGCAATCTTTTGCCGAAGGACCTCATTCTTAGTGGGCACCTGGTAATAAATACCGAACTGTTGGGGGAAGACATCACATTTGCAAAAGAAAACGTTCTTGGTGACATTTCAAAAAGTTTGCAAGAAACTTTCCTTTTGACTGTAAAAAACAATATGACGCTAATGGTGGAAGATTTACAATGTGAACGTAGCCTGGCCATTTTTTTTTACTAAAACGCAGTCCGCAATGAGTATATGTTTATAACCAGACCTCGGGCTATTCTGAATTGAGTCAATACCTAGCCGGGTATATATGAGTCAAACCCATTTTGTGATATAAATTTGTTGTGATGCAATCACAAACTTTGGCAATGATGGGAGTTTCGGCATATTCCATTTTATTTCTCGAAATACTATAATACTCATTTTATGATAACTACAAATAGTACATGTAGTAGGCCTATTATAATTTTTCATTTTCTATGCAAAACTCACAGCTTTTAATTTGATCATTTCAGCAATCAGTAATATGCTGACATTGGCAGTAATTTGATATCTGTTATAATATTCTTATGAATATTTTGTGTGACCCATGAAATAATAGGGAATTAAAGAATTTTTGCAATGTATTTTTACCCAGGATATGCGTTATTGGCATTCTTGCAATATTTATGATGTGCGTAAAGTAAAAATATGCATCCACACTTCTGAATTATGCTCAAATTGCCGTAATTTCAAACTCGATCAATAATTGATATTTTGTGTAAATACAAGCTTATTTTAAAAGCTCTTTGACATTTTGCTTAGTACGTGAATACATCATTAAGTTGACATGTATACTGCCCAGTAATAAGATGCCAGAAAAATTCCTGCAGTAGCCAGTCTGAATCTCTGCTTTGAAAAGGGAATTATCCACTAATGCGCACAAGAATTTACATCAAGTTGCTCTACTTTTCTTCACTTTGTGATTTATATGAAAATTAAGAAATGCGTTTATCATTTGTAGACATTTGCTGGAAAAGCTGGGTAATGAAAATCAGAAAATTACATTTTCAAGATCTGTCTTTCATTACAGTTTGACAACAAAGGAAATATTTCTCAAGAAATGCACGGTTATATAAAATTGCCCAAGTTATCAGACAAGATACATTGCTGCGTTATTGTTCTGGACGCAAATTCTATATCCAACATGGGAGAAGGGCTTTTGCATAAAATTTCGGACATGAGGGGGAAAATAACCTCTAGAGGTAAAAAGGATTTTTCAAATTTCGGGATTCTTGCAAAGATTGTACGCTTTTTGATTATAGCTAAATTAAGAAGTATTTTGTGATTATTTTTGCGTTATAATAGATGTTGATTATTTTATGAAATTATAAATACGGATTTATGCTGATTTTATCAAAACGTTTTTTTCAATACCAATCACTCTAACTTGACTAAATGAGTTTTTGAATTAAGTTTTATAACACATATATATGATGTTTCAATATCATTCCTTATTGGATGTACTATTTTTAACTACTATATTACCGTTTTGATCTCCGAAACTGATATAATTGCCCTGCAACGACTAACACAAATTTATCTAGTATTGTTTATTTCGTGTTTCGTAAACATCACGTCAAATCAGGTAATACCTGTTTTTTAATGGCAACAAAGACGACAGCGCTTAGAATATCTTATTTCAACTATAATTGCAAGTTATCATTGACCATTGACACGAGTAAAAATGTACGGTAATGTTAAAAATGCATTGAATGTGTTAGAAACATACGCCACTTTTTCGCACGCAGATATCCCACGTCCCTTACCATAATAAGTTAGTAGGGAGGGAACAATCGTAGGTCGGTACCTATTCTCGCTTCTTATATATATAATTAAATTTCAAGGTATACCAATGATTATTCTGCTGACTAAAATTGATAAGGCATGCAGCCAAACAGCATCCAATGTTTCGATGGTATATCGAAGTTCGGTTATACAAAATATTGTAGCCCAGGTGAGTACTTAGTCCTAATTATTTCTAAATATTCTGATCTAACAACATTTTATACTTTACCGAAAAATGTAGTATTTTTTCAGCAATATGAGATTCCAAGTAGTTAATAAATACAGTTTATGAATTGAAAAAATGAAATATTTTTTTTTATTCGAATGATCATATCTTTTCAATCCCAGCAAGGTGATAAAACGTGTCTGGTTTATAGAGGTAAATTTGACGCTTGGTGATTATGAATAGTTTGTAGATATCCGAACTTGGTGGTATCTTGAAACGTACTTTTTGTCTTTTCAATTCTACATTGTAAATGAGCGAATGCTTGATCTTTACTCATACCAGATTACATTACTTCTTGTAATAACAAAAAAATTTGTATTTATTTTATTACTGCAGACAAGCATAAAAATTGGTGTTCCCGTGAGTTTTATTTTGCCGGTGAAAAACTACACTCATGAAATCGAACTTGATCCTTGGGTAGATGCTCTGGCACTGAGCGCACTACAACAAATGCTGAGATTTACGGACAATTATTTTGATGAGTGTCTTTCGACCTCAGAAACTGGGTTAGATGCATCGTGATTAATTTGTGATATGCGAACTGTTGCATGAATCGATATTGTAGCATTTGGTCAATTTGAAGAATTTTCAGTTGAACTGCTTGTATACCAGTGAATTATTGCATGTACTATATGAGATATATTCATGGAATGAGTGATTTTTATGTTGGTATAGTTAAAAGCATTCATTTCAAAAATAAAAGTTGTTGAATTATTCATACAACCAGTAAAGACAAGTAAACAAATGAATATTTTGAATGGGTTACTTTCAGCAGTATTTTGTTATATTTAATCATTCAGTTATTTTAAATATATCTATATTGTAGTTAGATTTCTCACAGTAGTTTGCTAATTAAAATTATAAATCAAAATCCACCTATTTTAAGAATTCTATATTTATTCGATGGCGATATGTACACAAAGTAATAACAAGAATAATATGAAAATACGTATATATAAAGTATATTTAAAAATATTACTTTATACTTGAATAACGCGATTTTATTCAATTTTTAAACTGAGTAACTTGTGTGTATTGTCACTAAAAGTTTTCTGATGTTCAACAGTCTGGTATTATCGTTACTTGCATGTCTCTGACTTTCTATGTTTGCCCTGAACTTTGTTCAATATTTACGAATGATTAATTCATGATTAGAATTTAAGCGTTTATAAAATATAGTCTTGATAGTTGATAGTAATATCTACATGTTAATTCTATTAAACTGTTTTGTGTAGAGCAATAGAACCGTTTGAAAATATTGGGTACAAAAATATAATATAGGTTTGTTGACTCTAAAAAAGGGCAGTGTTGTTCGTTTATATATGCAGTGGCTGATTTGCGCAATAGCTGTCATTCGTAAATATTTTGGATTTTTCTTAAAGTTTCGATAAGTCCATATAATACATAATGTGTATATTGTTTTAACTAGCGTCTTTGTAATAAACTAGCGTCTCTGTTGCTATTAATAAATTTTCATTTGCAAGTATTATTTGAAATTCATTCTTTGTTTGGCCAAGTACTTAAAAATGTTGAGTTTCTCTGATGATAAATATTTGATGTTGAGACACCAATAGCAGCATTGGAAATTATGACACCCGAGATGTACTGTAATACTCAAAGGTGAAGGAACATAAAATATTCATTCTACAGAATGAGACTGAACTTTTATGTTTATTCGTGTTTGGGTCATTCGAAATTTCAATCAATATTTAAATTATACTATTTATTTTGCAATGTATGGGAATTGAAACTTGAAATGATTTCAATATATTTTTTTTTATGTTCTTAGATGTCCATTAACACATTTTCTTTGATAGATATGTGCAGCCAGATAAACCCAGCTCAGATTTGTGGACACGAAATGCAACCTTGCCGAATTCTGGTCAAGTGGACAGACCAAAGCAAATTTGGTCGCCTAATGGAGTGGGGACGCCGACAGCAGTTGCTGAGCGCATCCCGAACAGCGTAACGGGGAGTATGCTACATCGCCAACGCCTTTCTGCTAACGACAGCGTTCGTGCATCTCCAAAAATTGCTGGTGTTGCTTCTCCTCGTAGAGAAAATCTTGATGAAGTTGCGGAAGAAAACAAAGTAAAAGATACGACAGCTCAAGATGTAGACGACATTCTGGCGGATGATGATGTAGACATCGCAAAGCAAAAAAGTCCAGCAAAGTTAATAGAAGGAGCTTTGCCCATTCCAGGTGCTGTGCCGCAGGAAGCAGCATAATAAAACTCAAAGCATGTCTTTTATATATTTCTCTCTTTTTTGAAAAATGGCGTATTTTGTGGCCAGACGAACAATTTCTTGTGAGGATTTCTCCATACTTTTGTACATACAACAGATTTCACGCTCTTACTTTATAAAGTACAACAAAAAGTTTATTATGTGATCGCGTGTAACTGTTTTGAATAAAGTAAAACCACTACGCGGGGAAGCTGTTTTTCAAATGCCACGGAGGTCATATTGTGTCGTAATTTATGAAGAATTTAATTAGTTTACCTACACGAAATTGTCGCTTAAATGCAATTTTTTTGGAAATTTTTGGTACGTAGCCGCTGGGTTCAACAAATGTCGAAGACATGACAGCAATAACCGCCACAATGCAGTGAGTTATTAATTAATGCTATTATCACATCAAATCTAATCTTTGAATCATGTCAAAAATGCGCATGTGTTGCAGATTCTTGTCTCCACTCTGGGTATACAATAAACTGAATATAAATCTAACACCTGGGGATTGAAAACAACATGAATAAACCATCCTTGTGGCAGTAACCAACAATGATTGTTTGTGAATGAAACTATTCTTTTCAAACATTCTAATACGTTTGTAAACAAGATGAACGTTTTCCAGGTATAAAGCTGTTAAGCTGCGGGCAGGTGTGAAAACTTGACATTATTATTGGCCTCATAAGCTGGATTATCGTATCTTTGTTTACGCTAAAACTATATTTAGATTCAAATATTAGCACGCGCGTGGACATGCTTTTTGGTTATAACGACGTTCGGTTGTCCGAGTGAAATATTTGCCTCCTTTTATGATTCGCTACCAGTATCGGAACGAATAAATTGGTTTGAAATCAATCGTTTACGAGCAAACCGGATTGAAATCTGCCATAATTACCTAACTTCATAACTTATGCCATTTCATACAAACCATGCTGGCCAGTGCTGGAGATAGCGCAAATCTCTTACCCAACCCTACGAACAGCGGGTAATGCACTAAATGCAGAGTAGTTGTGAAACGCTCATAAACGAATCCAACCGTAATAATCAAGAACAATATTTGGAATATTGACTATTGATCTAATTTGAATATTGAATGTTGGTAGGAATAAGGCCTAGTAGTTGACTGCCAATATTTCACAGTTATGTACAAATTGAACACTTGTGTCCAACCAAGCACGAACGAACATTGTTGTACTAGTTCTCATCACGTTTTTAAGGCGAGAGGATGAGATTTCTCAGAATTTCAACCTGACAAGAAAACGTGATCGAATCTGTCTTTTTTATCACAGATTTCAATTTATATCAGATTTCAAATGCTGAACGTCGAAATCAAGCATTGTGCCAATCCGCATGCCCTTCAACCTCAAAAACAAACCCGTCGCTTTTCTCCCCTACCGTATGCGGAAGGCAACTTTTCTAGTAAATAGATGTTATTTTAGCACTTATCTCTGGCAAAGAAAATAAACTTTGTATTAATATTTGAATGATCTCATAGAAATGTCGCGAAAATTTTTGAAACGTGCTACGCTTAAAGGATATTAATCACTACAGGTAAAATGCTAGAAAAACACCCAAAACTCACTTGGCATCACGCAATGTTTTTTAAATCGAACCACATCCTATATAAGGAGAAACATTACTCTCGCCATAATCTTTTCTGAGCGATTCCAGTTTAAAATGTCTATAAAATGCTTGTATCGGAGCCTTTTTCATCTGATTTTAAAAACCACTACAAACTCTTTAACAACGATTGCTGGGATTAAAACGCATAAAAAATTAGTTTTACGGATATTATTGGCATTGTACATTACTTGTTATTAACGTGATAATAATTACATATAAAATGAATCATCTGAAAATGGTAACAAGATTTTAATGACTTCAATGCGGTCGTATCGTTTTTAGCAGAGAAGCATAAAATCCAATTAAATCAAAGTAAAAGAGACTTGCATTCGGAGCACAGGCTATATTTTTATGCAAGTGAGATATTTTTGCATATTTACGCCAGCATCAAATATTAAAACTAAACTAAATTTGGGCCTAAATCATAAATGAAAACAGCAAATGAAATTCATAATTTGTGACACAATCTATCATTTCATTCCAGTTTTGGGTGCATGTAAGCCTACCGTTGACATATTTTCCAATTTAAAATTGGATAGATAAATACAAACAGAAAATTATAGTATATACTAAGCAATGGAGATAACGAAGAATATTCTCTGCGCAATATACTTAGAGTTGATATATTTCTACTTGATGTAAGTGTAAGAGTATACATGTTACTGTGATAAACTGCGTCATCACTTTTCAGTTTCGAGACCAAAGTGCTGTAACTGGATAAAATTATGTTTATTTAATTCTGTTATGTCGGGTTTGATTATTGTGGTAGCATCCGAATTTGTATTGTCTGAGTATTGTGGTAACATCCGAATTTGTATTATAAGACTCCAACCACCCATTACACGTGCGAGAGTTGCCATATAAACAAATCATCAATCCGGAATCTTTACTTCTCAACAAAAAAAAATAATGAGGACATTCTCATCAAGCTAGACTCGTCATCGAGGCAGATTTCTCACGTGTAAGCATTGTTGGGTAGAACTCTCTGAACTAAACCCTGAGTTGCGAGCCAAGTCAAGGGTGTTCTGTGGCGCAAAAGCGTTTCGTTGTTTGTGAAACACAGTGACCTGATCCGACTTCATCATATCACGACTAATAAATTATTTTCAAGCTCACAATTCATTACATCACCTTATTTGTAATATCATCTTAGGTTCGACCGGAACATAGATGTTCATCGAATATCATATTTTTTCAAGACAAATTTACAAAATTTTATTTACAGCATATCATATACCAGAAAGACTTGAAAAACCAAACAAATATGTCGCTGTCAAATCTTAATCATGCCACACCTAGAAAAAACCTTACATGAATTTCTCACTGGATGCTTTCGGTAATCATTGCGTAACTGTACTTCCTATACAACATGATGTATACGGCGTTCAGTCATAAATATCAAGCTCCCATAACTTAAGGTATAATTTCAAATATAACTATATTCGCCCTTCGAATTCACTATGATTTTGTTTTTCAATAAAGAAGCAAGGCTCTACCAACAGTTGACGAAAAGCCATAATAAACAGTTTGTTTTAATTTTTCCACATATTTCGAGTTTAGCGCGCACAATATTCACAAAGACCAGATAAAGTTTCACTGAAAGTACTGTAATAAACCGAGCTAGCCTAAAACCTTTGTACCGGTACTGTATTTTCCATGAACCTAATTTCAAAGATAAACGCTATACTATGTTTGATTAGGGTTTCATACACAATAACTGTACTGACCACATATAAAAGAAACGTAGCATTAGCATTTAAATTGAACCACATGACAACCTTAATTTAGTTGCATTGGTGCTGTGACTAAGAAAAACCGGACAGGCAAGAAATATTGAGACATAATCAAGCTTCATGACAACAATAGACAGACTGATGTTCACTCACTTTGTCATCACGTCATGATATGTTCCTGGCGCTACAGAACGCAAATCAATTATATATTTTCTCATTCACTAGGCGAATACACAATCACTGAACAAATGTGCCTGTATCCGGCTCCGAACTTCCAATCGGCGATTTAGCGTGCCTCAACAACAAATACACAGTTAGATGAACGTTAATTATAAAACAAGATTTCATTTTTGATGACACTTATAGTATAACAATTTTACGTTATTTTCAGAGGTTTCGGTAAGGAAAAACACATCTGTCGCCCTCATAACCACAAAAACATTACTTTTGTGACAAACTCTTGGTGGCTTGGAGACAAAATGCTTGAGCAATCTGACCTTGGTTTAAATGGGCCGAATAGAGGACTTGCACGGGTCACGTGACTTTGTTTACTGGACGGCAAAAAAACAAAATCGTCCATTTGGCTCCTGTCAGTTGCAAGTCGGATTATAGGTTTCCGTTTTGTTTGGCTGTTGAAAATGGTTATTTCGTATTGTTACGTTGGCTGTACGTATATTATAGACAACGAAATGGATCTTCAGTTATATTCCACTGTTTTCAAAAGATCCGGAACGTCGCGCAATGTGGATATCATCTATTGGCAGGACTGCTTGGTTTCAAGTCTAGAAGTCATCTCGCTTGTGTTTTATTGTTTGCGGACAGCACTTCGTTGATGGTGAATGATAATGTGCCGTTATCGATTTCTTTGAACATTCATAAGCTTTCTCATTCCAATGGAAAGCATATGACAAACTACTGTTATTGGTAGGCGATGTTGCACCTTGCACACTTTAGAAGAAGCCGCCTATAACCATTTTCACTAGAACCATAACACTGTAAAATATTTGAAAGAAATTACCCCTAAGGCATCAATATTTACCATTTGAAAGGGCTGTGGAGGCAGATACATTTTTTACTCTAAATTATGGAATGTTTCTTCCAGGTTATCTTATCCTTGCATATAGATATTTTGATGTTAGTGACTCCAACTGACTGAAAATTCTCTTGTGTACCGATAAAATTAAGCAGTTGGAGCCTTCAGACCTTGAAAACAGTCGAATCTGAGCACGATGGATTCATGTGAAACACGTGATATGCATTTATAAGCAAAAATATCCCATCTGAGCAGCACCGATCCGCAACCACCTGCCTATGGAATCAAAACATTAGACAAATTGGTGTACTGTGCGAATCAAGTGACTATTGCAGGTGCATTAACTAAATCATATGGCGAACCGCACCACGTCTCTCGATTACCATTCTATGTTGGGATTAGTTAGCCAGTTATTTGTTTTCAGAAGCATGGACTTGGATGGTGGGGGATGGTCGTAACCGATCAGCGGTCGTGTGAACCACCCTCAGTGATTCAAGTCTGCAAGTAGGCCTACGCCTAGGCCTACCAATAACAGTAGTTTGTCGTCTGCTTTCAATTGAAATGAGGGAGCTTATGAATATTTAAAGAAATTGATAACGGCACATTATCACTCACCATCAACGAAGTGCTGTCCGCAAATAGTGAAACACAAGCGAGATGAATTCTGGACTTGACACCAAGCAGTCCTGACAATAGATGATATCCACATTGCGCGACGTTCCGGATCTTTTGAAAACAGTGGAATATAACTGAAGATCAATTTCGTTGTCTATAGTATACTATACGTACAGCCAACGAAACAATACGAAATACCCATTTTCAACAGCCAAACAAAACGGAAACGTATAATCCGACTTGCAACTGACAGGAGCCAAATGGACGTTGTTGTTTTTTTTGCCGTCCAGTAAACAAAGTCACGTGACCCCTGCAAATTCTATATATGAATGCTCAAGGGGTTATGATAAAGCAAGATGTCTTTCCGAAGCCTTGGACAATATTGAGCACCATTTCGGCCGACTGACAAGCCTCTTTGTCTGGCTCTTCAAGATGTTTTTAAGATTGAGGTATTGGAACTGTGATACGTGTCGTTCGCCCCAATCAACATCAGTATCGAAGGTGAATCTGTGGAAATGCATCACAAGTCTGTGCGTGGTGATAGTGTCGGATTTATTGTCAAAAATGTATTTGTGAAGGATATCCGTAGAGGGAATGTAGATGGCATTAACAAAATGAATTCCCGCTCAGGAAGTTTCGGATTTCAAATTTCAAGTCACAGTCTTGAACTGTGCTGGACAAATTTGTCGTGGCTATGTACCCCATGCGCTTTATTGCCATGCAGCTCAAATTGCGTTCAAGTTTGCTGATTTGAAAGAAAGGATGGACATAAGATACTGAAAGCTGATTGAAAAAAAATTAAAATCTGGTGACGCAGCTTTGGTCAGACTTATCCCAAGCAAACTAATGTTTGTTGAAGCGTTCAAGCTTTATCCTCCTCTTGGACAGACAGAGACAAAGGCCAAAAAAACAGAAAACAGTAATTGAATAAATCTATCGCCCATCAACCAGTGTTGCCAACTTGAATTATTTCAATCTAGGGTTAGATTATTTTCGTATAATTCAGATGTAAGACATACCTATTTCGATGTTAGATTACTTTAGTATTCATTTAGATTATTTTGACAAATGTTATTTACTTATTTTGCAGTAGTGGCAAAGTACAGAAGTAGGGAAGTGCAGCTTAAATCAGAAAATACTGTTGTTCACTAATTTTCGCCCTATAAGGAGGGGGGGGGGGCAATATTGAATAATTTGCTATTCTAAAATACTCAAATCGCATCCAGAATACCGAATCCGATTATATTTGAAATTTATTCAAATTTGGGAATTCTTCCATCCTATTCATGGATTATAATTTAAAAATTCAAAATTGATTGGGTTATATTGGTTACCAAATAGGACAATGGAATAGCCTATAAGAACTTTAACAAATGCCCTTTGCCTTGAATTGTTGATCGCTAAATACTATGTTAAAACAAATCGCGTTTAGTACTAAAATCTTAGTTTTCAGTTATTATCATTATATAATAGTATTGCATAATGTCCTTCAATAGTAGAATGCCAGGTGGAAGAACTGCCTTCGCCACGTGTGGCAACTATTTTAATTTATTGTTGACTAAAATACCGCCCGACACTCGACCAAACTTGCGTCGAGCTTGGACGATAGGAATGGCTTCATCGGAGATTTAAATTCCGAAAAATATGTATTTTATCGGGAGTTTTATAATTATGTATTTTCGGAAACGGCGTGCCCGGTTCGCTGATCTCATAAAGTCTTGATTGAAATACTAAAAACAAATTCAATTTGTTCTGAATTAATCGTAAATAATATTTTAATATCTGACGTCTGCCACACTTCCTTTTCCGTGAGAAGTCAGAAGGCCGCGAGAATTTATTTAATTTTATAGAATTATATAAAATAAAAAATGTTTCGCGTATTCAATGTTCTATTTACTTACAGGATCTTTAATGAATATCGTATCTTTGCATTATTCAATATTAGTGTATTCGATATTCGTAGATTGCAGAGAGAGAAAATTACATCCATAATAATTTGGTACTTTTTACTAACGTTCAAGCCTCCACTTATAAACAGCAGCTATAAGTTGGAAAATAATTTAATTGAAAAATACATACACACATGCCAGGAGGCAACAAACTTTCTATTTTCCCTATGATATTTGATAAATACTCAAGTTATCCTAGTTATGTTCCAAAAGACGTATTGATATAAGTAATTATTTTTCTTCATATTATAATTTTCGAATTTTTATCGAAAATGTAACTTTGATATATTTGAATTATTATTTTTTTTAAATATAGATTATTTTTTAATGAGATTCCAGATTATTTTATCGCTGAACATTTGGTAACCCTGCCATCAATAGACTTAAAAAAACTATACCATGTTTTCAGTTGAAGTATGCCTATTCGACGACATATATAGTCCCATTTCATTTCAGTGCATATTCTATATATTTCGTCGGCGTTTCACAACAAGACACGCTGAGTTCTAGATCAAGCCTGAAGCACTTGCATATTAGCTCCTGGATATAAGCACAATATACCGTACTTACTGTTATTTTTATTTGACATGTATGAATGCTAAGCACGAATAGCAGTGGAGACAAGAAAATGAATGCAAATATTCTAATCCATCAAAGGTATCCAAAATCCAGAAGGATTGCATTTCTCAGCAACTCTCCTACTAAAAATAAATTTGCTATTATATACAGGATAACGAATGCTATCATGCCGTTCTCTACTTTATAAGTAGGTATCAAGATGTATTTATCTAATATATAAAACAGGTTAAACCAATGAATTTTCATTCTAGTGTGATAATGTTTGTAGATAATGTATATTTATATAAACTGTTCGTTATACACAAAAAAAAAACGCTTATATGTAGGCTACCGGTAGCGTCAATGTTCAAATTATACAGCTTGTCTCAAATGCATTTGGCACAAAATAAACACGATGATCACATATAATATTGTATTTATTCATTAATTTGCGAAATACCCAATGGTCCTTGAATGCCATGAGCAGAGGTGTCGTCGTAAGTTGGAGTTAAGAGTTGCAACAAGAGTTGTAGATTATGTCTACAAAGATAAAAACAAGAGTGTAATGGTGAAATATAATATGGACACAAATATAAGGATAAAACGCTTTTTTACCAACAGATCCCCAAAAAGATATCCTGAACGAAGCTGAAACTGTGGAACCTGTACGGTAACGTACCAGTACCTGTATCAGGGTATCGTTAACGTTACCGTACCGTACTGCCCTAGGTTTCCCGTGTCCTGTGACGATGATGATTCATGCTTCCATTCTCAACGTGTATTAAAATACCAAATGATCCAAGTCACAACTGTATTATCTAATATTCAACAGTTTTTGTAAGTTGTAACGTAGTCGACCGTGCTTCCGGAAAACTTCCGACTTTCGCTAAGCACGAGATCCGCTGCCATGCGGTCGCGGAACCGCTACAATAAACTTTTAATTTCGTTGACGTCACCACACAAAACGTCAAACAGAAAAACGAATCCCTTAAAGAACACATTTGGAAATAAATAAAAGTAACATCCCGCTAAAAACAACAACAATTTTTAATCACTGAGTTAAGTTACTGGAAAAAGAGATTTTTTCACGACAACAAGAAGAAAAATAACAAGGTCCATAGGTCAATTTTGTGTCCAATTATTCCGAGCCCGTCCATCGAGGTCTAATTAATTGTTGTTAGGTATATCCGTACTCATACTACCGAGTTGAAATTTATTTTCCACTACTTGCAACATACCGACACAGAAAATCTTAGTAAAACGCCGCGCTTGGAAAGCATGTATATAATACTTTCCAGTACATCTAGTGTACTATGATACACATGCTCTCAGCTTAAAATGAATGGCCTACATTTGCGATTCCTCGATTCATTATATAAAATATAATACACCGTATATGCTCTGCGGAAGGGATTGAGTAATGTAATCGCAGAACATCACAAATATACGCATATTAATGAAGTGTACATGCTTCCACAATATCATTGGAATATTCATATTTGATATAGGGAATAGCAAGGGAATCCGTTAATCATTAAACGAATTTAATCTTTCTAGCAATATGTATAATTATTATTTGTGTCAGCACTTTGACTGGGGCTCATAGAGAATGTTTAATAATATTTATCATCTATAATACTTTTGTTTTTAAATTTGTCTGTGACTCAATCATACTAAATAATTAAATCAAACCAGCATTGATTTTCCAATTCCTGTTTATCCAATGAATATAATCATTCTATCGTCCTAGTTTCACGTCTTGATGGATTCTTCAGACTAAAAATAGGGGATATATATAACTGAAGCTCACTGGCCTGAAAAAGTACGTCTGCAATTTATAATTCTTCCGAATATATTTTTCATTTTCCAGCGGTACTACATTTTAATTATCAGTCTTATAAATTTAGTCACATAGTAGTTTTGATTTTATATGACTTGATGTAAATATATTAATTATAATATAATAATTGTTGAACACAACAAATCTGGTACTATGTTTAATTTTACAATGTAATAACACTAGCGATCTCTTCTATTCTCAAACAAATACAATTGTTCGAAAGTTCTTTCTAAGTTTTAATTTTGAAGTTAGTATAGAGCGGTAAAATTTTTTGAGCAACACATCTATCTAAAATTTCGATTTTCAGTTCCTTTCAAATCACATCTTTGATAAACTATGTTCTTGGTAAAAGCATGCAAACGTTATTTATAAAATAAAGATTACGACAATTTCAACCTTAACCCTCTGACGCATGCGACATCGAAATGCCATAGAGAGAAAATAAGTCTTCCCTAATGACTTTGATTCATCACGTAAATTTTTTTCTTACGGGTACAAATCGGAATATAAAAGCAATTGATATTGAGTTTCTTCTCTATAAAAGCTTCGTTCCTTCAATTGGTGATCAGCTCGGAACGAAAATATATGAATGGAAGATATTGGAATCTTGAAATACTGATATTGTTTAAATGTATAAATATGACTAAAACAACTTCAAATTTAAACCGTCGAAGATAGTATATATCTATGCTCAGCTTCAGCAGAATGATAAATGCCAAGTTATTACAGAATTGTGCATGCTTAAATGGTTTCGTGGTCGGGATTAACATCTGAAGCGCGCGACGTTGTGAATGAGATTTGAGGCGCCAAAACTCCGTAATCCTTGGTGATGGAGAGTAATTTCGGATGATCATTGACGAGAAAATTGTATCTGCAAGAACTACTGATGGAAAAAGCTATATATTCTTAGAGACGCCATGTGTGCAATTTCTGTTACATACACCAATTATGTTTTTACACTATTTATGATATATACCTATTTTATCTTATTATTCAGTTTTTAAGTAAAACGCATATTTAGTTAACAACGTTTTCAAAATGAAGATATCAAGCGTTATATGTTTTCGAGCAACTATATCATACTCTTGTATGATTTCATCAATATACTTCGTTCTAATACTTCAGGTGAGAGGAATACTGGATAATACATGTATATATATTGATAAATATAAGAAAGAGGAGATATTTTATATCCACAATTAAATATATTTCTGAAAGACGGGACGAGAATAACAGCAAACGTGAAGAGTTTTGACGTACAATACTCTTCAGTAGATAACTATACACACGGCTCGATGTATATTTTTGAAACTAAGTACATTGTAGTTTGGTGTACCAAGTAGATTTTGCTGGACATGAGTAAAATGACTGTCTTTACATTTGGTGATATGAGAGAATGCTGATAAACCGCGAAAGCTCGTTAGTGCTTAATGAGTTAAAATTCGGTTATTATTATATACCATATTTTTCTATAAATAGTGGAAACCATGTTTTATAGAAAAGTCATTAATCAAATTCATATGCCATTCTCCCTTTCCATCGAAAATACAGAAAGATGACGGGTCGTTGAAAACACAGAGAAAAATTTCGCTTTTTTACTAATGCCAATCGCACTGTTTACAACTAAGTTTCCAAATCGATTTAATACTTTAGCCATTAAGAATGAATTGTTGAGAATTATTCTAAATTTTTGTCAGATTTCAACACTCGTGAGTTCGTTACCAACAAGCAGTCGCCATCTTGCTTCAACTTTGCCAGAAGAATTTGAAAATTTACGAAAATTTGAAATTAATGAACATTCTGGGGATCCAGATGAATACATCATAATATTTCAAGGATTTTTATCAGATTTAAAAATGCTCGAAGCTCTTGTACCTCACAAAGGTAAATATTTATATATATTTAGAATTTAATCCAGTTATAATTTCATTCTAAACGAGGAAATCCTGACGATTTCACTCGAATCCAATCATTGCAGCGTTTTCTCCTCTATAAGCTGCAACTGCATATTTGTTGATACAACTATATAAATGGATTTTTCAAGACAATAAGAGTCCTATATTATTCACGAACTTAATTTGCTTTAAATTGATGATGTTTAACAGTAACCATAAGTTCGTTCTTTCGTTCGTAATATAATTTACCAAGAATGGTATGATCATCTGAATGGTCTGATTATAACCTTTACTAAAAAAATCGACATTTTCTTCAATGTATATTATTTTTTTTCAGAGTTTTTCAGAAGTATTTTCGAAGATAAATCTATAACTTCAGAAGAAAGTCGAAGACTTAAGAGCAAACATCACGTAAAGAGAGGATTGAGAAAGTAAGATGGAGGTTCTATTGAATTTAAATTCAGTTTTGTGTTACTTTAATATATCGTTATACTAATACTTTTGTGCTTTCCTTCGCTCGTATTACTCGCTTATTTCATACATTTAGAATTATTTTTAAAACTAATAGTCTAGTTTCCATATATTCAAATTGAAAACCTCTCGTGTAACTGATTCGCTGGACATGCATTCTGATGGAGCATTACTTATTGTTTCTTGATCATTTTTGTATTACATCTGCGATTCCAATTATCTTCCATTGCTTTCAAATTTGTCTGTTTATATAGAAAGTGAAAAGTTTTCCGAGCCACTTGGAAAAGTCTATATACGACAAGCGCATTAATCGCCTAGTTTATGATCCGTTTTTTGAAAAATGCAACCAATTTTAATAATCATCATTACGCGATTTCATGGACCTATTTTTGTGACTAATTATCCCGCAGTTGATCTTTGTGACATAAGTGGTAAGCGTGTGGGCAATCGCACGCAATCTGCACATTTCATCCATAAAATTTCGATTTTTGAATTTTGTCTAAAGAGACATAATGCCACAAATCGTTTATGCGATAAACAAGACAAGAAAATACACTTGATAGATCTAATCGAAGATCGTCGAAAAACACGTTTGCTGTCAACCAGGTCATCGCGTGCTATAATGTTGGACGCTTGTCATTTTTACTCCAAATATGTCGAAACAATTTTTAACTGCCCTAAAGGGTTTTGCTGGGTGATTAGAGGTCCAGTTCATTAGAGATTGAACAAAGTCTGTTTATAACATGACTTTTATAATCTATCATCACACATAAGCTGTTTTTGCTATGCACCTATATATAACCGCTTGTTTTTATCGTATCGCACGAGTAACAAAATTTGAAAATAGTCGAGGAAACAAATGGATGCTTTTGTTTACATTGGTTTTTGTAGGTATCAGGAAAAAAAAATTGAATTTCTAAATGCCGATATTCTATTTACAGTGGTCGAAAGATGGCTCGACTTTCATGTCAGAGGAAAGGAAAATGTCGCATCACGACCTGTCCATTTAATGTGCCTCTTGATCGCATCTCATTCAGCACTGGATTTGGATGTAGAACGAGGAAACTGCCTCATGTTTAGAAGAAGAAAACGAGAAACGTCCGCAAATAAACTTCACTGTAACGCGTTAGCCCAGGCTGATTTACATACACGCATCAAATAATGCACAATAAAAAAGATGCGTATCAGCTTGCGTATAAAACAGGCACTGTTCTTTGGATTTATTTTTAGTACTTGTATGAAAATTGCATCCTGCTAAATATTTAATTGTAATCTTATTCTATTCATTCGAAATATTGTATTCCTTCTGTGATATTTATCTGTTTATTTATATATATATTTATTTTTTATTTTACAAATAAAAACACTTTTGCTAAACCATGGCAATGATTCGCTAACTTAAATGCACCGATCTTGGTAGTTAATCCAAGTATTCACATTTTCTCGGGCCCTGGCCCCCATGGCAGGACTTAGTTCAGGAAAAAAACGGTTTCTTACCTTCCGCTCATGATATTCAAGTTTCTCGATGATTTGTAATTATGCTCTCATTTAATGCCTATGTATCTGCGCATTCGCTACATAATTTTCTTCATTTTTTGTTTTATCATTTTCAATAAAAATATTTAAGAAATTATACATGTTTTCAGTTTAGGCAGTTTGACGGTTTGAAGGTTTAGTTTCATGACAAAATGACCGATTCCACGGTTGCGCAAGTATGCAGAATTTCCAAGAAGAAAATATTTACGATGGTTATGCTACGCCCTGTTCTCCACCAATTTATTTGTTTCATAAACACAATAGAACACAATTTCGCTCAATGCCAAGCAAATTCGAATTTTTCACTAGATTTCTTAGCGATAAGAAGCTAATTACTACATTTTATGAATCGATGTACAAATGCCGTGTCACGCTAGCTTTTGTTTTCGACTTGAGTGTTGTTTAGTATATTATAGTTTTTATTCATTATAATATGCGACCACATAATTGTAGAATCCTTATAGCGACACATTAGCGGACAACGTATTTAGTGCGCATAGGTTGCCCCAACAACCGAAAAGTCACTGTTTCTTCAATGACTTCACTAGAAGCGTTTTCTTAACATTTTATTTGATGATACAAAATGAAGTGTTGGGATGGTCTTCTTTTTTTACTCCATGGTGCTAAGCGTTTCGAATTAAAAAATGACTTGTTGAAAGAAAAACTTCAGTGTGTCCCGAGGACGGAGATTATGAGACGCTATACGTATGAATTTACTCAATAACGCGTAGTCGGACATACGTTGAAGAACTTTTATTCGTGCACATTGAAACCTGTAAACACAATGGGACATTCAAAATATGTAAATACAAGATATAAATATATCAAAATATCGTTTTTATAAACATCCAACGTAACACTAATCGTTGACCTATATGTTTACAGTTATTGTAAATACCAAGATGCACCTTTTTGCTTTCAGAATGCACGAAAAAAGTAGCCATTTTCACTCGGCTAACTTGCACGTAGACAGTTTACCTTTAGCAATATGGGATATTGTAATTAAATTCCAAGCCCATTGGTGTACAGGTTGTAGGTAGTTAATAAAAAGTTATCAAAAAAGATTTTGTTCATTACGTATTAGGTAACGCTTAAGCCTGAAAATAGAGTGCTCGACTTGTCAATCTCCTTGTCCGCAATATACATTTGATTTTTAGTTATCTTAAAAAAGTTTGAAGAAGTGGGGCATCTGCAACATTTGCGTGGGAGATCACGTACGAATATTTGAGGTTCGCTTAATAATTGAACAGTCCTACTCTCCCCTCACTATTGTTTGGGTTCGCGTCTACAACAACGTTGTTTGATATTATATCATGGTGCACGCACGTCTCTCTGTATCAACAAAACTATCACCTTTCATTTCAATATAGGTAGGCTGTTGAATGCTTTTGAATGTGGACAGTTGTTTTATGTGAAATGCAATGGCATCGAATTTCGGTTGTATGTTTTACCGATAACTATTAATAGAATCCGCATTTGCTGGCAGACAGTGAATGGCAACCTCCGGGGCATTAAAATGATTGAATTTATTTTCATAACGTAAAATGATTTGATGTGAAGCCGCAATGCCATTAAGCAAGACGCTACATCCGCTTAGGAGAAAAGAATTTGGTTTCGAATTCTTTTTATCGCAGATGTATTAGGCTGGCATCTTTCTTGGATTGAAATGCTTTCACCCCCCATATATCTACTACCCCTATACACCGACTATGCCAGTGCCTCACTCACTTACTTCAGTCGCGGATGATAAATTTTAAAACATGAAAGTCACCATTTTGTATTGTTTCATATATATTTATTGTTTAACAAATAACGTTAATTGTTTATAAATTTACAGTGTAATGTTGAAGACAATACGCAAGCAAGCAAACTTATCACCAAACGATTTTCGTTCTTTAACTATAATATATAGCTTATTATGAATTTTTATGATGCCTTTCTAACAGCATTCAAAAGCACGAATGTATAAGCACTTAAGGCTTTGCGAAATCGTTGATGATTTCAATAAATAATAGAAAAAATTTGTATCGTTTAAGATAGGAAAAATACAATGTAACAGTGAAAATAAAACCGTGAATATATTGCATTGCATCGATATTACTACCGCATAAATAATATTACTGCAACAAATATGCAAAAACTTCACATTGATGTTATTACAATTCGGTATTTTCTGGTTCAAACTGACGATAATCAGTGATTGACCAGATGCACTCCACAAATTTTCATCAAAAGTACTTTCAGGATTTCTTGTAGTTTTCAGTAAAGTTTAAAACATTCTTGGGCACAGTACATATTATATTCACCGTAGTAACGACGATGTTGATATGTATTAATGAACAGTTTCGTTGGTTCACAGTATTCCGGCACAGAAAATGTAAGAATATAAAGATTGGGGTGTATTGTGCATGTCATACGCCCAATTGTGCAAATATAATTTTTCGTCTTTAGCAAGGCTAAAATATGTTATTTCCATAATTATATTCGCTGATGCCGGAATGTTAACGTTGGTCTGCAACCAAAAAACATATTCTTCGATATTTGATCCAAAGGTGCTCCGAATCCACACTTTGCGACACATCGACCGCGCTTGTTCTTTGCACATATTACCGTTCTAAACAAAAAATAAAATCTTATGAATACTGTAATAGTGAAAGGTATTTGAAAGTTCGAGATTATTTCTAATTTTTTTTTTGCTAGGGTTAGTGAAAATTATGATTCTGCATAAGATTTCATATAACATTTAAAGCTATACTTTGCGCATTATAGTGATTTTAGAAAATATAGTTTTGCTCGTTTGAAATAAATCAATTAAACAGATATTTTGTGGAAATAAATTTGGGTCGTATAATTCAGTAATAGATGTCATCTCATAATATTTTATATCCATTTACTAGGGTGCTCACAAAGTGTGTAGTCGTAAAATGTATAATGTAAGTAAGTTAGAGGGCGTGGATATTAGACCGGAGGTCTTTTGACTTCTATTATTACAGTTTTCCAAATAAACTCAATGGATTTACAATTCGTGCGATAAACAATTTATAAAACAAATTTGGAATAAGGCAATAAAAATGTATTCACCTTTTTCCTGATCGGCTGGGTGTTAATCCCGATTGCCTTTTGTGTTGTCTTCTGCCATCGTAATATTGCCAATCGTAATTTCTGTATCTTCTCATAACGTTTGGAGGCGATACATAATATTCCGGACTCACTTCCCCAGATTTTGGCATAGTATTATAGCTGTGAAGGAGTCGGCGCAATAAATGTGGCATCCCTGAAGATTTATGCTGAAAAAGAGGTGTGTCATTAGAACAATGTTTTTTTAGGTATGCAATGTGAAATATCTTCAGTCGACTAGTTTTGTTTTAGTAACTCATCATTTGGTATTTTTAACGTAATAAAACCTTATGTCATTGTACTGCATAATGCTTTGTAAACATTTGTTTTAATGATCGTAACTAATTAAACACAAAACACCAAAAATAACTTACTTGAAGAACCGGGCTTGAAGTGACGAATGTGAACGTAATCGCAATTATAATAATCCTTATAAATATCGTGATATCCATAACGTAAGTATCCTTTAGTTTGACAGTGATTAATGAGCTTTTAATGACTATGTCGCATACTACGTAGAATGTGGCGGGAACGAAAAGTTCGCGCGTCGGCGTGAAGTTGCTGTTGGGAGCGGCGTCTCTTCTTTTTCAAACGAGATTCTACTCTCCTACTTGATAACTTGCGAGAGATATCACTTGAACGTAACTTTGCCAAAGAATCCTTCCGAAGTCGCAGCTGCAATGAATTACTACACAATTGAAACTTGGCAGCACTCTTAAATAATATTGTTTATTACTGCTTCGCTCGGCTTATTAGAATGGGCAGAGCGAATCAGGCTAGTTAGCTTCTTCGAGTCTTGTTGAACGTTATATTATGCGAAAATATTGGCGGTGGCTTTTTATATGCACCAATTTTCCCCGCGAGATGATAATAGACAACAGTTTTTCCCTCGTCGCAACACGTCGTGAATAGTTGCGACGTCAAGGGAGACCAAGACGTGCGTCTTCAACCTGACACTTTTTGCATGGCGATGTCTTCAGGCCGAAAATTAAACGCAATAACAATTAGCCCATATAAATTAAGTTGTTGGCATGGTGGGTGGGATCACCAAACAAAAACAATAGAACGAATCAAGCGTGTATAAATTATGACGTTAACTGAAAATAAACCATGAGATATATACAAAATAAACTAATTTTGGGCCCAATGTGTAAAAATATGGCGAACTACTAGGGAATGACTTTTACAGTCGCCATAAATAACCCATAGTTTTACAGTTTTGGGAGTTCGTTCGGGTCGTCGTTACAATTGATTTAGGTATAGTTAAAATTTGCCAATTATCGATTCAAATATTACGCGCTCGTTTGAAGTTCGACTTTACCCCGCGTGCCACTTTGCCATATAGTATACGTGAAACTGAATGAATACAGCTATTTATTTCGCCTGTGAAGCATACCGGAAGAGACAACTATATGAATAGTACGATTAGTAATTACATAACTATTATTAGTAATTTGAGACAAAAACTTACGCTGTGCAACTGCTGCAATTTCTTTGGTGGAGGCTAAATTTGAATTCAAATTTTCATTATTGTAGATAAAAATCAGTAATTCCAAATTAAAATACGAATTAGGAAAAGAATTTCGAAACTTTTCATAAACGATGCGTGGTTGTAATGAATATTTAATTTACGTGTCGCAAAATTCCCCTATCCTCTTATAACTCCCGCCCACTTAATTATTAAAAATATCGTCTCACTTTTAAACTTGGACTATACTGTAAATATGTGTCCATAATAAGGGGATGCTGATATGACTATGTCAAAGAAATATAAATCATCTGTGTTACTATTTTTGCGTCATTTTTTTTATTATACTCAAAAAAGCAGCCACGCTATTATTATTTTTCAGTAAATATTTATATATAAACAATAAATTTTAGGTTTTGCTATATCAGCACTATTCCAACTTTCGAAAAGAAAGTCACAAAATACAATGGAGCAGTATGTTTTAATTAATGTATTTAACGACTCTGTGTAATACCATAAAACGACCTCTATTTCTAATTACAATTGAACAAAATTTGATACAACTACTGATGGTGATGGTTACTCAATTTTTAACATTGTACAATAATTTGTTTCGTTTCTCTTTTGCTTAATATAAGCCGTGGTGTTTGTTGGTAAATACTAAATTGACATTGTTATGCTTTGATAAAAAAAAGTTGAAAAACCAAACGAATATATTATATATAGAAACGCACATATTAGTTAATTTAAACCGTTTTGTACATATACTCCTTTTCTCCAGAGAAACATTACAATATTTATTTATATGTTTAACATATTTTGAATCGATTTTAATTACACCTAAAATGACCGTAAAAATCATTTTGATGACATCAACGGATGTGATTATTTCATTTGTTCTTTTTTTGATTTATAAACAGTTACAAATATTGTGATGTATCATCTAGTAACAGCAAAACCACATACTTGTAGACTAGGAAAAGGATTAGTAGACTGGCAAAAATAGTTAATTAAGACATACTAAAGCATAAAACCCGATATTGTCCGTTGTAGCTAGCTTTCATAGTAGATGTTAACAGACTTGTGTTGTGATACTGAAATTCGAAAGATCCCCAAAAGTCGTAAGTGTAAATTATGTTGAATGCAAAAACACGACCCGAACTTTTTCGTTTAGGACAATATATAATCCTATATATAATCCTTTAATATTCGAGAACACTGTTCCACTGTTACAGAAATCATTGAAACATCTTTGATTAGAACAAATCATCTTGATTTGTATTCTTGTAATAATTGAACAAACTTGTTCACTTTTAAAAGGAATAAAAAGACGTCATGTTTTTTTTTTCATTCGTTAGTGGAGTAGATTCATTCAATTCTGTCTCACAACTTGACAACCGAGAAATTGACAACGAAAGAAAAAAATCAATCATATAATTCCGGTATTGAAATTCATTTAATAGGAGTTGTCAACACAACATGATACCTCAGACACTCAAATATATTGGATGGACATGAAGGTTGCGTACCAACATCGGTAATACATTAGCTGAGCATTGAGTTTGCTTGAAAGAAGATCTGTGGACTAGCGTGATCAAACAAAGTGTTCCCACACATCGTTAGAAGTGTTTTCGTCCTTTTTATTAGAACAGAGACTTTTGAGGTGGAATCTTGGATCCTAAAAGACTAAAAAGAAATCTGAAAAAAAGTAGTAGTTTTCCAACGACCCCTTGCATCTTTAATTACTGAGAATTTTCAAATTGCGAAGAAAGCGATTTTTCTTCAACAATAACTAGCAAAAGGATATTAAAAACACAAAAATTCAGCAGGAAATTCATATGTACTATATGAGGTCGATAATCAGTATAGAATACATTATGCTATCAACTGTGTTTCCGAAGAACTTAGTCTGAGAAAGTCTGACTTTGGTAAACGAAACTTAACAGAAATACATCGTGTTAGTGCGTTGCAAGGCTCTTGAATTACTTAACATACATTAGCTAGCATAACATATAGAATTAATGTTCAGTAAGGGATTCTACTATTTTTTTTTTATTTATTCATTTTATTTACATCTCCACAAATAAAATTCATAATAGAAACTGAAGTAGTTCCTCGTCTTGCTCATGAAGTTTTTTTTTAGTTTTTTATAACAATAACCTGCTCAGAAGTACATTGTTGATTCATACACCATGACATCATACATCAAAGGACAAGTGAGCCTACGTGATTTTCTTGCATGAAATAATTGATACACCAGGCGAGGTAATGCAGTCCATTGTTGTATCTGATTTCTTAGTAAATGTAAAAGGTGTCATCAATGTCATAACTTACATAAACAATAGAATGTTTAACACCACTTTGTATCAACATTATAAAAGGCTCATGATACATAGTAACGTAATGCTCTATTCTTCGAACAATTCGGTACCATAGAAATAAATGCGAATTTGATGGATCACTCACACACCGCATCCATACAATGTTGTCATTTTACCAAGGTATTCTGAAGAGTCAGCGCATTTATATATAAAATAGGCCTCAAAAATCGCATGTAAAATCCCGAACAGAAACTTCTGAAATTTTGTGTCTAAATTACTATTTGTTTTCAAGTTTAGTTTGTGATGTTGAAGTTACTACCGGCATGCGTAAACCCATTTCCAACTAAAGTAGTTCTCAAAAAGCGTTTTTGGTAGATGAAGTAACATCCAAAAATACCCCCAAAGAATCGATCTAATCTGACTTTAAAAAATTCAGCGTTGAATGTATAGTTAGTTATTGACCAAATATTTTGAAATAAAATTTTCCTCAGTAATTCCTGCATGATATGTTTAAGCGAAATTGCGTTTCAGACGACGTTTTCGTTACTCGAATAGCATTAAGCGTTTGAATAAATATTGAAAGTGAACTAATTTATCTTCAAAAACACCAGTTAAATTAGTTTTTCTTTAAAGCATAGTTTCTCTTCTTAAAAGTATATTTTTATTCAATAAGTGAGAACGTGCGTTTTGTGGTGACAAATATTTTATGCCGTAATTGTTTAAACAATTACCAGAAATGGTAACAAAAATAACATAAATAGTCGAATTATAGGTAGACTACTCGGCGCGGCACGTATGCAATTATACTCAATGAAAGACAAAAATAGACTTTTCTCATGACAGCATCGAAATAGCTACACTGGAAGTCAACGGGGTTGCATATTAGGCTTATCATTGAAATAGTGGTCTTCTGAGAACTATTAGCATATCAAGATATTGAATAATCTTACTCTATTCGGAAAGGAGAAATAAAAGTTACGGTTAGAAAAATAAACAAGAAGCCCGCTTTTTTTCGAGGTAAATTCCTATCAGCGGTTACACGATGAAAAGTAAGAAAAAGTTTTGTAAGATACATCCAGAATGATAGACAAAATGTTGACACTTCTTCACTTGTAAAAGACTGGAAAACGTTTAATCATCATCATGTGATGTTTTTAGATCATGTCCTCTCTCTTAAAATGCGATTTTTTTTAAGATAAATTTAGTTACATTGCAATTTCTAGTGGTTACATAGCATACATTTTACAGAAAAAATCATAATTTTGCCATATCATAAATTTTGGAATCATGGATTCAATTTGTTTTCAGATGTAATAATATTTCATATGAACAATCAGGTTTCAAACCAAGGCGCGAGGGTCGTTGGTGTTTCGAATACGTGATAAACGTATCAGCTTCGCAGAAGCTTTTATCGCAAATTTCACCCATTCTAATTATATTTGCTGTCATGCGACAGGAAAACCGCGTGGTGATTATTTTTGTTTTTGAAAGAAAAAAAGTTATATTTTTTGAAAAAAATTGATATTTTTCGAAAAAATTTATAATGCTATAAAATTTTGAAGCATATTTATTGATTCTAAATATAGTAACATTTTTGCACAGCGCGTATTGAAAAAAAGAGAGAATTTGATATGATGCGCAAAATTTTGTCTGTGGAAGAAAAAAGATTCAGAATGATTGAGCAATACCCAATATAACTTGATAGAAAATATAGCGTTTCAGTTAGAATACTCCGCTAATTTTTCCTGAGTACAAAAACCGTATAAATGTTTTGTTTGCCATTTTTATGGTTATAGTTAACGTCGAAATAAGCTATTTTCGGAATTCAATCTACGTAACTTATCGTAAAGAATTAAGCAAAGCAAGTAGAAATTGGTGGAGTGAAGGCGTCAACAGAGAATATTGAACATAATATAAATAAATAAATAAATGAACAACCCAACCGAAATATGAATAATTATAAAAAAATTTGGGAAATTCTTAGAAAAACTCTAATTGAAAGTTGTTTTTCGTTGAATAACTTTTTCTCCTGTTCTTCAAAACTTCTATTTGATAGGTTTTGTTGATTGTACAAGATGTCACATTGGCATGCGCGGGACGTCTTTATCTTGTCGTCTTATAAT